TCATGTCTGATATGATAATTATTTCCTGATTAAGGCCAATTTGTTTGATGTCCCTCGATATACACGTAAAGTGCTCTGTATTTTCCTCCCTTGAGATATTGCCCGTTTTCAGGTAAGCAAGCTCCGGAAGAGTGTCCAGACCTGTTACCCTACCTTTCAGCCATAAGTGTTCACTGCAGCTTTCCTTCTCTCTTTCCCAGTCTTGTTCTTTAACTAACATGCCTAGACCTCCGTCTTTGCGTTCACCTCCCCTCCGGTTGCATCCCATCCAGGAGTAGCGCCTGGCATGTGCGGTGGTTCTTCTTATCTCTGAGTTTCCGCTACCCCAAACACTGTGAAATTTTCAGCCTCTAATTGTTCACGAATCTCCTCCCGCTTCATTCCATTTCTACCTCCCTGCTGGATTATGAGGCCTATATTGAGCCGATTCTTTCTCTTAGTTCTACGAGGCTTCCTCCTGCTCTCCCTGCTGTTCTTGGCGTACTCACACCCAGGAGCGTCCCCCGACTCTGGTACTGGTACATCTACACCGGTGCCCTCCGGGCTCCGTGGTTTCCGAAGAAACATACGACGTGACGCCCTATCCTATCCCCTATCGTGCTACCTGTGGCTCCACTGTAGTAAATGCCCCATGCGAAAGGGTCGGAGCGAGCCGCATACACCGCCCTGTTTACTTCTAATACGCCATACTGAAGTCGTTGGCTCTGTCTGAAAAGACTGTCCCCAGACCTCTGGGATTGCGCATATTTGCACATGCACCCTCTCAGAGACCTCCCTGAGCTTACGTACCCCAACCTCTATGTGTCTGCCGAGGTTTTGGCTCCTTCCCTTCAACACCCATCACTAAGTCCCACATGCACTACTACTAGGTTACCTCCCTCCCTGTTACCCCAGAGGTCTTCCTTAGCTTTGACCATAGCGTCTACGACGCACTTTCCTGACTGGGCCACTACCTTTTACCCTCCCGTCCCTTTTCACCCTGGCCAGTAAGCCCCCTTTAATCATTGTTACGTTCGAGCCTCCCACCACCAGTAACCTCTTAGTCTACGACTGCCTGTCTTAACTCCCTTTCCCTCCGTCACTGCCCTGCGGATGACTCCGTCCAGCTATCTGCGCCACCTCACTCTGTGTCTGTCTGTTTACCACCGCTTCCTTTACTGCCCCACAGGGCTGAATCGCTAAGTGGGTGGACAGCTCTGATATCGCCGCGTGCATGACTGAGGAGATACGCTTCTCCGTTCATCTAGATTTCTAGAAGGTTCGCTGTACTCTTACCTCGATCGAGCGTAAGAGATATATGGAGGCCAGAAGGACCTTGGCCTAGTCAGCCTCGCTCTAGCTCTTTCCCGAACATTCTAGGTCGAATATTCGAGACGACGAGCATACTAGATGAAGAGCCGAGCGCCGTATTACCGATTCATTCAATCGTTCGTTCTCGCTTTCTCTCGCTGTTACGACGCCAAATCGCCGCCAGCTTTTCCGCTGCCTCGACGCTCGTTCTCACTTTCTTCGGCACAAGTTCGCCCACTTGTGCTCCTGCCATTCGTGACAATATGCATATTCCTTGAACGGTGCTGAGTGTACGTGGTTTAGAATTTCTGATGCGTGTTTAACTATTGCTTTAGTGTGTTGCGATCAACTGCGTATACGAGCGTGTGTTTCAACTTTGACGTTTGTCCGAGTGTGCGTAAACGTATGTAGTGGCGTATGATTGTTCCTTTTGTTTAGATTCGCTTTATTCCCAGCATATGGGTGCATACTCGCTCGCTACTGCTTTATGTTTTCCCCCGTCTCACTTTCTTCGTTCGTAACTGTAAATAGCGTCTGGCATATCACGTTTAAAAAAAATTCGCCCTAAAGCTCTGCAGTGTCCTGCTTGGACAGGCCTCCGTAGCTTCAAACCCGCGCGTTAGATACACTCTCTACGGCGATTAATTATTCTACCTAAATAGAACACGAAAAGTTAAAAATATAAGCATATGTCATATTTGTAATTAATAAGCAATAAACTTTGTTTGGAACTTTCGATCAATGCGGTACCAGAGATTGCATGTTATATTGTCGTCTCCTTTGTTACGTCGGAAAACAGGGAACGACTACAATGTATTAATATCGATCTCACCTTTCTGATACCGTGAGACAGTAACCTTTCCTGATATGCGTTCGCATCGCAAAGAGAAGGGCCCGACGATTCTTCGAAATTATGGAAACGTTTCTGCGCTGGAAGATTCTTCTTCGGTCGAATATATATTCGTTATTGACATGCATTGCTGTATCACAGTACTGATATTTTTTTTTACCTTGCGTTTTGCTTTCTTAGGGAAAATACGCGTTCTTCATTAACCGTTTGAACTGTCGCGTCGACTCCAGACTTCCAGAAGGAAACTTTGTTTTCTGGCGCCACGCGTGCACCTGTGCCACCACGCAGAAAAAATAATCAGCGGAAAAGCAGTGAATGAAATAGAGAAAAGAAACTGCCTCCCCGTGACTACCCTTCTAATGATTTGAATTCCTATGAAATGCCCTGTACGTAAGCAGGGGCGGATGCAGGAATTTCCTGAGGGGGGGGTCAGGTGTTGGTCAGCATACCGTTTGTTTAGGAACCCCCTCTCCCTCGTTTGACGCCCTAAAAGTTACACGCGCAGAAATCAAGAGGGGGGTCAGGACATCCGGACCCCCCCTCTAAATCCGCCCCTGTACGTAAGTATGCGTCGAACATGGCTGCAGACGGTTGTTATATGACCGATGTGACAAGGAAGAAACAGGCAGATGTACTAGCAACGCCACTGAGGGTCACCCATACATCTCGTCCTCAAAAGAGGGTATTCCATGGACGCCATGTTTGAAGGCCTTAGCAACGCCACTGAGGATCACCCAAGCATCTCGTCCTCAAGAGAGGGTATGGACGCCATGTTTGAAGATGCTCGGAACGAGCTCACATTAGTGGGCTGCCAAGACCGGCAATCTTTCAAAACAAAAACATTACTTTCCTCTTTTTCTTTTTCTTTTTTTTTTTTTCAATACTGCCGAGCATCAAGCACGCTTCGCCGGTGTGTGGATAGCGAAATCTCGGTATACAAGAAATGTCTTTATAAAGCAACCTGCATGCCACCGGGAATTTAGGTCGCCTCATCAACGACGAAGAGGTCAAAGAAAACTGTTATAATTCCACGGACCAAAATGGCGATCGTACGAGGAACTTTGCGTTACTTTCCCGAGGATCCATCGATTTTTGTAGCATCTAAAGCCCCTCGATAAAACTCGCGCTTGGTGTTTCGAGCACCGCCCAGCACCGTTGCGCGAACGTGCGAGACACCTGAAATTTAGTACCAACATTTGCTTTCGAGGGCGGCACGGGGAATGGGCTTCGTGTAATGGCGCATATTTGACGCTGTTCACTTCATCACTCCTTCGCATTTGTCGCATTTCACAAACACGAACACATCGAGGGGTTGGAGCAGGTTCTGCTTCGCTCGCACTTACAGTCGCTTTATGTCTTATTATCAGTTGCAGTGAGCTACAGCGAACCCTCTTCGGAATGCGCGGTTAGAGATAAGGGCTTCGACGTATCGCTCGCTCGAAGCAGAAATTTATGTCACGTCAAACCGCGCATTCGGTGAACGGTGCATTTATTCCGGAGAGTATACGTGCGAGTGCACTTGATTGAACAATTGTTGCAGTTGAGGAACTTTCTGGTTTGAATATGGCTGCAAGATTTTCACTGAGTGTGAAAAGAAAGGGGGGCTCAAGCGCGGAAGACACTGCAGCTTTAATTAATTGAATTTCGCATTTTCCTCCGACTGCTCCGGTAGAAGACGACGCACCTTTAACAATCGTTATGGCTCGCATCGTTGCAGCGACGGCCGGGCAACTCTATCACTCCGTATCAGATGACTAATAAGCTAGGCGGAACAAAAGGTCCCACACGTCAGAAACGTGAAACGCCGAGGTTCTCAAACAATGGGATGATGAACAAGCGTACGGAGTAAAGGTAAAAGGAAAAAAATAAGACACCGTCAAATTAACTTTCTTTTTCTTTTTTTTTTTTTTTTTAACTGGGTAGCTGACACTAATTTTGTTATTATAATGGAGTTAATTAGGAACTTTTAGCAATCCGTTACCGTGTTCCGCGTACCGCACTACCGGAGGTTTTGAAGCATATGCTTTTAAGCGCGCGCCCCGAGGGTAATATCGTGACCGCGTGGCGCGCGTTTAAAAGCACGCTTCAAAGGCTCCGGTAGTGCGATACGCGAGAACTGTTTGATAAAAGTCCTCACTTTCTAAAGGAAACGAATGGTTGTGTTCGGAGCTGTTATCGTCACTGTGATTGAACAACATCCTACCAATATACCGGCGACGAAGCACTGGGCATCGCAGGCAGGTATTATTAATATGTTAATAATAGTAATAATAATAATAATAATAATAATAATAATAATGTTAATTCGCCGTTAACACAATGGGGCAAGCCGGGGAAAGACAAAGAAAGCTGTGGGAACCCCTTGACAGGATTTCCCAGCATGTGAATATCTTCAGCAACGGCGGAACCCCACGAAAAGTAAACAACGCTTCGACCGCAATGCCCGGTGGTGCTCCGCGGGCAAGCGCACGCGCGAGGAATCCCGAGAAGGCAGTGCACGCTCGCGCCTGTCGGACTTCCACGACGCGCGCAGAGGAGAAACGCGCACGGCATTTCTCCGTCATCAGCTGGCGGCAAGAAATAACCGCAGTTGCGAAAAAAAAAAAAGAAAAAAATTGCGTCGACTGGCTATTCTGGCGTAAGAACGTCGGGCTCCTAATCTGCTCCGAATTCGTGGGCAGAAGTGTTTCGCCAAGCCGTTGCTGCCGTCACCCAACTGAGACAGATATGGCGTAATGAAGGAGGAGGAACGCGGCGGCCCGCTGTTCGTTTCGAACGTGCGACAGCCAGGGCTCGGTGCGCGGACGCTGTGCGTTCGTCGCGACAGCTGCGCGTGGTGGTTAGCGGCCCGTTTGCTCACCTGTCCGGTTCGAATTTGCGCAGCCAAGCTCGTGGCCGACCGAAGCAGCAGCTCGTCGGTGATCGGCGGCAGTGGCTTCGGCGTTCGGTGAATCACCGAGAAAAGCGACGTTAGCAGAAACTCGTTGACCGTCTGCATCCAACGGATGACGGCGAACACACACTTCACGAGCATCTTACTTGCCACGGGATTCATTATTACGCTCGCAGAAAGGGACGCGCGGAATTAGCGGCGAACAAACGACACCCTGCGCGATCCAGCGGTTGTGACGATCACCCACTCTCCTTGGTCCGCCACTTCATCGGAGCGTCTGCTGCGATATGTATCTAATAAATAGCGGCTAACGGCTCTGGCTTCCGTTGGCTACAAAACTGACTACTAAGCCATGGCTTGCTGAGCCGTGGAAATCTACGGCGCCTGCGGAGGATCATGTTTGGATCTCGGTTGCCGTGTTGGAATACACCGTGAACACCGTGCTGAGTTGCTGAGCGTGCGATCTCGCAACGAAGGAGGATTCTTTCTAGAAGTGGCGATTCTACTGGATTCTACTGGCAGCCAACGTACTACAGCGTGACTCCCTATGCCGGCCTTGGCAACTGCGCACTGCTTTGTCGTCTGCAATGCGAAAACAAATAAAAAAGAAAACAAAAAATTGAGTTTTTGTTCGGCTTACGCGGTCGAGGATAGATAGCAGATAAGTTTATTTTTCGAGTGGAACGCATTGAGTGAACGAGTGAACCCGCAGAGCCAACGAGCAGACGCATCGCGCTTGCGCATTGGACACCGTTTGTTTTGAAGGTTTTCGGGTGTGCTGCGCTGGCTGCGCTCGGTGCGTCCGTAGCTTCGGCCAGCGCTGCTTCGGCGTTGCTCTTCACGTGGAGTGAATCAGCGGAGCAGAGATGGATTAGGGAACCGGAATACCAGGAGTAGTGAACGTACTTACGTGAAACTGCGCTGTGCCGTGGAAGTTGACGAGGCGAGCTGAGGAGTGCGGTCATCTCGGCGCACGCAGCACGCGCTTGTCTCCTCTCGGTACGTGCTATGCGTTGTCATCGGGAACGCTGGTCGTCGCTGGCGAAACACATGCTCGTCGGATCTTGGTGTTCCGCGAAGAATCGAGCGTTACGCGGACATCGGGCGTGATGATCCACCGTCGGACGCGTGTTCGGCAACGGCATCGCTGCGCGTGGTTTCGTCGGTTTCGTTCCGCCGAACGCGCAGCGACGTCGGTCACACCCGAAAGGTGCGACACACTGACATTTCCTCGTAACCCGAGTAAAAGGTGTAAATTCATTTAACACTAACCATTAAGCCCCATTAAAAGAGGCATAATAAACTGGAATCAGAGGGAAGATAGCCAAGGGCGCCGTTCTTTCCCTCTTGTATGTATTTCCCGTTCCAAAAAACGTAGTTTTATTTTTGACCCTGCAGATTGTCACTGCGTCGTCTGTTCTTCGAAAGATGAAAAATTAGCGAAAATTAGGACCTGTTTTTGTTCAACCATGGACACGATCGCTGCAACCCGAATCCGCGGTTGCAGATGGCAGTTCGTAACGTTGCGCCAGATCATGTACCCTTTGATGCAGCAATACCAGTACAGCGGTGGTGGGTACAACATTCTGAACTGTGTTATGACGTCTAACAGCTGAACGCAGCGGGGTTCCACCGCGTATTTCTCGGCTATCTGGCATGCTAGACTTGCAGCTCGAGAGCTGCTGACGACACTCGTGTTGAGGGGAACGTTTAATATTCCTCCAACCGTTATATTCTATGTGGTCGTAACTGGGTTAGTCATAACTCGGCCAATAGACGTCTGGCATTAACCAGCTGGTGCTCCCAGTTAAGAATTCCCATTAAATTCAATTTGAATTCCAACTGGTCTTAAATTAAACCAATTATCTTTAACGGGTTCCAACTGCAAGCACACTGGCCAATGGGTCTCACCAATTGGAATTATTTTTCCAGCTGAAACCTGAATGGGTTCCAAATGTTTCCCATTGGTTTCTGTCGGTTCCCACCGTCATGTGACCAATTGGTTGTCTGAAAATCCAATTGTACCAATAAAAAAATTCCAATTCGCACTTAATGGGAATTTTCAACTGGGCTGCCACTGTTTGTGTGACAGCACTATCTCCCGCCACATTGTTCGCACTCTTGAGGCCGTAACAAACTTTGCTGCCCCACAAAGCCACGGCTCACTTATGGCAGCATCAGGCAACACCGTCGCTCGTTGCATGCCAGCTAGGACAGGCACTGAGGCAGTTGCTAAACCACCTCACCAAGGTGCAGTCTAGTATAATGAAACCGTAATGGCAAGGGCCGTATATTTGTCCTCTTCACTGGGCTACATGCCCCCTGGGGGCTAGGTGGACATTTACATGCATGTTTTAAAAGGTCACAGAAGTGTGGCGCTTGCCTCCACCAATCGGACGCCACTTCTTTGACCTTTTAAAACATACATGTAAATGTCCAACCCAGGTGTGTGTGAGCCAGCGGTGTTTGTCCAACAGGGAACGAAGGGAATGTATGGACCCCTTCCTAAGTCAGTAATCATCCTGTGATTTGCGTCGCTTGAAGAAAGGCTACATATGCTTTTAGAAAACACGAAGCCTGCATTGCGACAGCTCTGTAGGTGGAGAAGCAATTCTGTTGCACTCTCTGTTGGTATGCTCTATATTCACATACTCATACCACCGACACCCTTGGAGCAGCACTTGTTCTATCAGTGACGACGCTCATTTGTCTCCGGGAGAGGATGTTTGATGGAACTAGTGACCTTTGCAATGAGTTGCTCTTGCAAACTGTGCTCAAAGCATAACTCTGTTTTTCCTTGGCATGCTAATTTAGTTTGTATTTCCATCTGCACCTGACCCCCAAATGTCTCGATTTCTCATCAAGCCTGTACTGCTGACCATGCCGCACTTGTCTGAGGTTTTCTCTCTGGAAAGTAATCCCTTGCACACACCTGCCCACTTGTTTGTGTCTCTAACGGCAGTAGGCACTGGCATTACTGTCCGGAGAAAACCTTGCAGCTGAAAAGATGGATGAAATGTTTTCGTGTCGGGGAACAGATATGTTGACCGTTAACTGTATTGGAGGATATCTGACTCTTGTCTCGGCAGACACAAATTCCGTGCATCTTTTAATTTCCTCCCGAAGCTGTACGACTTATTGTGGAGAAGGCACCGCATAAACCGTGATTTCGGTTGCATGCCTAACGATCCCCAGGTTGCCAAAATTAATCCTCAGTCCTCCGCTGGGGCGTACCAGATGCCCTTCGTTGCTTTGGCACAAAAAAAAAAAAAAAAAAAAAACAAAAATTGGATTTTGACTTTATCCCAGGGCAGTGTGTGGTGACTTTTTACTCATATTAAACTGAAACATCTTTTTGACAGAGTCTCAACTAAATTATATCAGCTAGGCAGCCACTCCTTAATCCTGGAGCTTTCTTGTTACGCTGCCATGTGCTTAGCGTTTTAATCTTGAAAACTTGACTTGAAAACCTGACTAAGCTGGGGTGAGCTCTGGCGCAATCATCGTCCGTCTTAGTCTCAATGTGCTGTTATAGTTTAGACAGGTGAAGAAATGATGAGCGTGCTACTTGGGAGCATGCTACTTGCAGAGTCTGTCGTGACAGAAAAACGGTCCAGGTATAGCTGACGTCGTGAGTAATACTTCCAATGGCTAAATGGGGCAGTCGCTATTATGTTTATCTTGCTGTTGACGCTTCTTCATTCTGGTTTCTTTTTGACTTCGAGAATATGTTCACTGTACAACACTTACTGCTAAAAAGCAATCACTATTTTTCTTTCTTTTCTACCTAGATCTGAAAGGCTGTCATCAAAATCACTAATGCAGTGGAAAGTGCTCATTTGGGACACTAATGCTAACAATAATATTTTTTGCCTTTCAACACTTTGTAGACGTAAAATGCGGAAAAACACCAGTGTCGTGTTCATGCTAACAGTGTTGCGCAGTGTACATATATAGATCCCAGTGACTTGGAATCTTAATGTGTGCTGTGTCCCTGGTTGTCTGTTTGAGAGACTTTAATTTTGTACAGTGATCATGCACGTTTTACAGTTGTTGAAGAGTTGCTGTAGCGTGATTATGTTTTCAGTGCTGGTGACATTCTGTTGCCATGACTGAGACAAGGAGTCAGTCCTGTGTCAAGAAGGAGGGAAGCAAGCGAGCTCATGGTAAGTTTTCTCTCTGGGATTTTCTCTTTTCAGTAGTGACTTAATAATTGGGATAGCTAGATGGTGCCCTTTCTTGGCATCAGTAGAAAGAAGGGAAGCCCAAAGTTTTATAGACTATATGGAGCCTGTTTTTCTGCAGACCAACATTTGGCACTATCGCAGCTTGAACACGTCGTGAAGTCTGATACTGTTACCAAGATACGGCTTAGTAACCCACCCTTGTGGTGAACCTTTACAGAAATCATGAAATATCCTTTTTCTTTGGCTAACTATAGACCTTTGCAAAAAGAGCTCTCTGGCCGCCGCCATTTTGCAAATCGAGCGACCCCTATCAGCCAGAAATGTATGCCACCCGCCTGAGCTTTGGAAACTCGGTCAGCGTGACTCAACACCTGCATTGTGCATTCGGAGTTCACCGGAATTTCTCAGAAATTTTTACTTCATTTCTCTTTTTAGGATGCTTACCCTTTGTGTGTTATCTTCCACTGTGAGAACCAGGGAATACCAGGGCTCGTTGCCTGCTCGGCCTTTGCAGGAAACGAACGAAGAGAGCGAACGTCAAGCAGCCCGCGACGCGGGCAGTTCGATGTTCTTGGAGGATTATTTCCGTTGAGATAATTTCCAAAAAGCCTTCCCGGCTATGTTCCGGGTCTTCGCAAAAAATAGCTGATAGGGTCGGGTCCAGGGTGTGGGGACGAAATAGACACGTTTGTCCTTTTGCTTTGAAGCTGTGCACAAAAGCAACTCTCTTCTACATGTGCCCCAAAACACGGCGGATTCCGTCGATCGTCGTGAAGTGACTGTCGTCGACACTGTATATTGGATATGCTGTGTTATTTGAGACCTTTCTCAAATCCTGCTCGGATAACACGGCACCGTGGGGTACGTACGATATATGCTGTTCGATTGATTAGACTCGTTGAATTTCATGTTGTGGGCGGGGAATATCCATGCAGTTCGTATATCCTGTGCGGTCAAATATTTTCGACGGTTAAGACCTTTGTAGATTGACACGGCTGAGTGTATGGTGCCGTTAAAAGATTAGCATAAAATGAAACAAACTTTGCATTTGTTCTGTTGTGCACGGACTCACCAAAACAGCTTTCATTTCTTTGTTTTTGTTCCCAAAAATAGTACAATGCATTCTTAAAAACCCCGAGAAATTCTACTCGCCATGGAACACAAAATGAAAAATAGAACGCGGCAATTTAGCCTCCATCAGCTTCCGGAAGTGCGCCTACGCAGGCTGCCACAGCCTGCGTAGATGAAAAAACCCACAGCCCAGCGCTGTCGGGCAACACTGACGTACCCTCTCAAAACCAGGGACGGGCGCTGAAAATCGCTTCTTCCAAGACTGCCGCTGGAAAGGTCTATAGGGCGCAGAATAAACTCTGCAAATGGAAAAACTGGGAATCAGCTATAATTCCTTCTTTAATATACAATCCAAAATTTGCAAAATAAGATAAAAACGCTTTTCACAAGGTCACGAGTTTTCTTTTTTCGTCATTCACTTCTTCCTCCCACTAACATGCAGTCATGACTGTGCAATGCATGGAGTGCCATTGATGGTACTTCCCCTCCAAAAGCAGCAAAGGCAGGGCCTTCAACAAAGGCCAGCAAGAAGTTTACATCTATTCTTCCGACCCTCGGCTTACAAACATTATCGAGTCGAAGAGTGGTGCAGGTTGCTTTACTGTTGCATAGTATAATTCATGAACAAATACATAGCAGCTTGCTATGCTCTCGTAACTTTCACGTGCCTGGACATTCCAGCAGACACTCGTCTTTTGTTTAATCTTGGTTCTCGGGAGGTGTGTCCAATCGCCCACATGCAACGTCTTTCAATGCCATTTCCCCAAGTGTACATTTACATGCTTTTACAGATTACGTGTCCCGTAAACAAGAATGCAAAACTTTGCTTTACATATCGCAGCCACGTTAATTCCCTTTGGGCGTGTTCTTCACATATTTACGTATGTGTGTCGTATCGAGACTCTTGTCATTCCTAGGCACGGAATAATCGAGTATTATTACTATCGTTTCCGAACCGCCTCCGCCGCTCGGGACGCTCGTCGAGACGACTCGCGGCGTCCCATTCCGGAGTCTTTTGTTGTGGGATAGTCGTGGCTCCCCGTCTCCCCCACGCCGTTGAGCCCCACACCGGGTCCTCTGCGTGTTTCAGACGAAGAGCCGGAGTTCCACTGGGAGGACTACCTGGAGGCTACGCAGAGTGAGGCCGTTCCGGCCACCGCCTTCGCCCATGTGAGTGTCCCTGGGACTCGGGGGCACGACCTTCTCGCCACACGCGACGGACCTTTTACGCTCGAGGTTGTCGCAATGTCCAGAACGCGTCCCCGACCGGTGCGTTTACCGCATTAAAAAAAGCGGTGCCTCGATTTCCGCCCGACAACGTCTGAGAAGCATCACGCCGATCGCGATTTTGGCGGCGGCGTGGCAGCGGGTGTGGATTTGGCGGGCGCCTGTTCACTGCAGGTCACCCTCCCGCTTGACGGTCCACGGGCACTTCAGCAGCCGGAAGTCGAAATGCCGTGACGACAACGATGTGCGCCTTGCTTGTGCCTTTTGTTGGAAGTTTTACGACCAACCGCCGGGACCGTGACATCTGATGGCGTGACACTCAGGCGTTTTGCGACGTCGCTCGTCGCCACTTGGGGACCCCTTTCGACGCAAAAGTGGAACGGGACGCCAACGCCCTAGTTGGAGACGCGTTCCAGGCGCCGTAGTCGCAACTATTGGCCTCGAGCGGGATCGGTTGGAGCGCCGAGATCGCTCGACGGTGACGTAGCAGCGAGTATCACGTGACGAGGCCGGGTATTTTCTCCGTTTTCCTTGGCTTTATTCGTGTGCTTTAGCGCGTAGCAGTCGAACCTGGCTGGTGTTTCCTTTAATATTAAAACTAAAAGGCACTAAGTGCCGCCCTTGCAATTGGTATTTCACTGCTGCTTTGCGGCAAAGTACAGTAAACCGGTACCACTGACACTGCCTCCATGCTCTGCCAAGTTGGTCAAAATTTACGGGGCACTCTTTGCATCATAGTGTGATTTGATATAGTTACAAATGTTTAAGAACATTTTGTTCTCGCTTTCTTGCACGTTCCAAGTTCAGCATTTAAATCGGGCAAACTTTTTTCAGATGTTGGAGTAAACCTTTTTTTTCTTTCAAAGAGCAGCTTATTGGCTACATTTTGATGTCTCCTAACTAGCAATATACTGACTACAGTTCTTAAAATCTAAAAAGAAAATGTTTTGTCAATTTTTTTGCTTAGTTTTTTGACAGGGTTGTCGTGCTCGCCAAAGTTTTTATTTGCACGTGTCCTATAAAGGCCCAATCACACACTTGCAACCGAGTACAACTGAGAGAGACAGGACCTGTTGAAACCTTTTAAAATTTCTGAGGATGAGAGAACACACTGGCACTCTGGTGACATCTATGCGGTGACTCTGGAATTGCATTTCACAAGAGCGGAGGTTTTGCGGGATTTTCGATGTCAAATGTGCGTAATACCTATGAGAAAGGCTCGTTTATAACGTTGACAGAAGTTTTTCGACCCATAAAAGAAAGGATAATGCACGAGAGAGAGATAGAAAATATGCCGGACCACCAAGTTTACACTGCTACCCAATAGATGGTGCCAGTGTGTCATTTCGTTGTAAGAGATATTAAGAGGTTCCAAGGAACTCAGTCTTAAGAAGTTGCAAGTGTCTGAACGGGCCTTAAGGATCCAACTACTACCCAGAACACAATTTGCGGCTCGAAGTTTGCTTTCTTTCTGTTTTATGGTCATGTGGCATTCAAATTATCTGAATCAAATATATTGAAAGTCGTGAGTCATCTAAGGCACACATTCAAATTAAGAATAGAAAAGAAAATGAACCCCATTTTTGTGGCCTCCAGAAAAAAATGCAAAAATGTTGATAGAAAAACAAAAAAGTTGCCCAGACCATAGCAAGTACATGTATACGTCATTCTCAATGTGGCGACGCACCGCGGGCTGAACAAAGCGATGGCGGCGCACGACGGAGCAACGTTGCGACAGACATGGAACCACTACTTCGTAACTGTTGTCCTTTTTACCAGCCGATTAATCTTCAAGCACAGAACATTGAACAAAAGAGATATAGGTGCAAAACAATCGCATGACAAATGATGCTTGCAAATTTGTCGTCGTCGTCGTCGTCGTCTGCTTCATACGTGGGATACGCAAAGGAAAAAAAGTGGCGTAGCCACGTGACTTCCTGCCATGAGCTTCCGGGCTCATGTTTCGGTTTCGAGCGGTTGAGGTTTTTGGTCTTATAAACAAAAAGTGTGACTGCAGCAAAATATTTACTGTAAATGACTTAATTTTTGCGAATCGCCTACAGTTCGCGAGAAATAGGTCCCGCAAACAAGTCCGGTAAAGTGTAAATACATTGGAATCGATATTGAGGTCCCACCGTGTCGCGGAAATTAGAACCTGTGAATTATTCCAAAACTTCAGCTTTGATCTAAATCTCGAAATATTGAGCCCGCGAAAAATAAGTCGTTCACAGTATTGGGTAGTCGCCCGACACCATTATAAATCACCTAGCAAAAAATAAAAAAACTTTTCTGGGGGATGTTAGTGTTCCTTTAAAGACTACCACTCTTCCCCGTGTTACAGAAAGAGTTAAAACCTGAATCGTCACCATCGTCCGTGGCCGTGCGTTGAGCTTTGTGCAATACGGCCTCAGTTGTCATTGCGGCATTAGAACCTTAACGGCCGGGGTCGTCGTCGGCTGCCGCGCTCAGGTGGAGCGCAGCCTGGAGAGCGGCCTGCGTCCGGGCATGAAGCTGGAGGTGCTGAGCGAGGGGGGTCCCTCGTACTGGCTGGCGGCGGTTGTGACCACCTGCGGACCCCTGCTGTCGCTGCGCTACCTGGGGGCCGACCGGGCGGCCGACTTCTGGTGCGACCTGGGGGCCAACGAGGTGCACCCCCTGGGCTGGTGCGCCCAGCACCAGCAGCCCCTGAGGCCGCCCCAGGCCGTCAGGGACCGCCACCGGGACTGGGAGGCCCTGCTCGACCAGGAGCTGCAGGGTGCCGTCACGGTGCCCACCTACGTCCTCGAGATGGTGAGTGGGCCGGGCGGAGTTTCCTTTTGAGTGGGAGCCGGAGGAGCCATCTCCTGGCTTTCGGCGTCCCCACCGAGCCTCGTTTGGAGCAACATGCTCGTAGCTTCAGCCTTTCGCTCGCATGAAGGCTGGCTTGCACGTTTGTGTTGGACTGTGATCGGCCGTGCTACGACAAGATGAGACTGCTTGCAGTGAAAGAACGGACTGCCGCCATCTATCCAGTAGCGCTGGAACCCTCTCGATTTACGTACGAGTGAAGGTTTTGCAGCATTTGCAAGATCAAATGTGCGCGATGTGTCCGAAAAATAATCGTTTAAAACAAGGCTGTGCACTTTCCGGTTTTAACCGAAAAACATAGATAAGCATCCGCCAGTGACAAAAATGCAGTATTGGTTAAAACCGAAAAACACCGGTGTTTGAACGTTTTCGCCCCAATTAAAGCCGAAGAACACTGGCTGTTGAATGTTATTGCCCTAGCGACGGCTATTTTCTTTAAAACTATTCCCCGTAGAGGTTCGTCAGATGGGTTATCTCGTGGATCCTGAATCCTCCCAGTGTCTGCTCAGATGTCGCTGTGGTTCTGCCAACGTCAGTTTGGTCCTAGGCTACTAACCTTAGAGAACTTCTTCACCTGGAGAATGAAGATTTGTTCATTGTTACATGTTTAGTTTTCAATGGCTTCCAAAGCTAGAGGTTTGGTTTGATATTACCCTGTCTTAGATTCGCTGGAACTGTTCCACTTTTTTGGATAGGGGTCTGGCAAGTGTGTATGTTCTGTCCACCTCGCAGTCGTAGAAGAAGCTCCGAAAATCCTGCCACTTCCACAGTAAAATGCAGATTCTGTGCTTCTTTTTACAAGTTTCGATAACAAAAACTGAACTAAAAATCAAGATGAAACTGCATGTCTTTTTGGCACTTCTGAGGCTAAAGTTAGTGCGCGGCTACAACAAAACAAAACATCTTGAACATTTTACGTGCCCATCGAGCTCCTTCAATATAATGAACCTCAGTTACTCTCGCTGTGGCTGCATTTATTCAAGTTGACTAAGGTTGTACAGAGCCTAATTTATAAGGTGATAGCTTTGTTGGCGAAACTTTGCAGAGATTTCTACCTTGTCTCCAGTCGTCGCCGCTACGGAAAAACCGTTCTCTCCACTTTTGGCGCAAGGCCAGGAAAGTGGGTTTTCCCGTTGGCCTCTTGGCCATCTTACCAGTAACGGCACTACGACAGGAGAGTCTTCCGTGTCGTCTGTTTGAAAACTTGTTGTCAAGCATTACTCGCGTTATGCGAAATCCCACTTCGGCAGTATCCAATTGCTACGCGTAATGTTAGATGGTTCTAGAAACTTCCGTCGCGCTCACCCACTTACTTCACGGATCACCGGTGACTATCGTCCGTGGCATTCACGACGCCAACCACGACGGCTATGAGAATTAGTTACATCGCACCTCCGTCCTTGGGTGCATGACGGCACCATTCCACCCGCATTGCACGACCGTGTTACAGCTATCGCTTCCATTTCTTCGCATATTGTGGGTGAAAAATGCAACTTTTTTTTTCACCAATAATCACCGTTTCTTGTGGTGAAAGAATAATGCGTAAAATATACGCAGGTGAGAAGCGTTCCAAGCCTACCCACTAGATGGCTCCAGTATGTTGGCATAAGCCATTACAAGTGGTCGTTGCGCTGTTAGTCACAACCAGATCGCAGCCTTTAATTGAAAAAAAATTGAGAAAAGAGGGGTGTGATGATCGCTTGCTTTTGTGCGGCAGACGAGATCCGTCCCGCGATTCGGCCTGCAGTGTGGAGAGTGTGTAGTGTCATCCATAAGTCTACAGCAGCGCCATGGCTGTTGCAGGCTACTCTTTCCCTTTCACTTTTGCCCGCACACCCTTACCGACTCAATAGTAGTGCAGGATGACATTCTTAGTTTTACTTTATTTATTGGACATTGCAGCCAGCCTTTCCAAGGGCCAAGGCAAGAGTGGATGGTACGACAGGGAAGTTTACGCTGCATGCTCCGTATATTGCATACACAAACACTTTCGAAACAAAACAAAATTTGGAGGGGTTAGGTCGGTGTTATAAACTCGCACCCGTTATTGTAAAGGCCCATTCACACACTTGTGACCTCTTAGAACCGAGTGCCTTGGAACCTTTTAATATCTCTTACGACGAGGGAAGCAGTGTAAACTTGGCGGTTCGGCATACTTTTTATTTCTCTCGCGCATTATCTTTTCTTTCTTGGTTTGAAAAACTTTTGTCAACGTTATAAATAAGCCTTTCTCATATGCATTACACATATTTGACCTCGGAAATTCCTCAAAACCTTCGCTCTTGTGAAATGCAGTTCCGGGGTCACCGCATAGATGGCACCAGAGTGCCAGTGTGTTCTCTCGTCCTAAGAAATTTTAAGAGGTTTCAACAGGTCTCGTCTCTCTCGATCGTACTCGGTTGCAAGTGCGTGAACGGGGCTTGAGGGCATACAAGAAAAACGTGTTAGCAGGCTTTGACTGTTCAAATATATTGGAGCATTTTCGAATTCTGGAAGAGACGCAAGGCACCAATGGCACCCAGAAGCTTATTCCACAGATCTATAGCCTGCACAAAAATTGTTTGCTGAAGTATATTAGGTGAGCATCTATAGCAATTAGCACTTTTTTGTTTTTACATATTTAGAATCGTTATAAATTTGCAAAAATGTTTTCAACGGCTTGCACATCCTTTTGCTTTTATGAAAGCTGCACATCTGCTCAGCACCGTCACTAACTTCGTAATCCTAAAAATAAAAAAATTGCATATGCAGCAGGTGGTTGAATTTTTCAAGCTCCTTTGAAAGCTCGAAGAGCTCTCAAAAGCTGCTGTCAACTCGCTGACATTACTCGGTGCCGTAGGCTGAATCACGGGACCACCCTCTTCCTCGGGATTGTTGACGCTTCCCCCATCTAGCCCACCAGAACACTGCCCTGGCCACTGAGGCAGCGGTGTCCGCCGTTCTGTTGCAGAAAGGCTCCGTGCCCATCGACCAGCTGCAGGAAGGCATGAAGCTGCTGGTCCTGGAGGAGGGGAACCCACTCAACGGATGGGCCGCCTCTGTGAGTGGCACATGCCCAGACTCTCCCAGGGATCTGAGATCCTTTCGCTCTCCCAGAGTAGTCAGAGACGAGGTCTGAGTTTGGGTGCGGAGCGCTCTGCTCGAGACCACGGTGGTGGGAGCCTCGCAGCGGGCAGCACAGTGTCAACGAGCGTTGGAAGTTTCCTAGCCCCAGCGACCCGCCAGTAATGGCGCGTCAACGAGGGAGCGTGGGAGGAGCGTCTTCCCCCGTTATCTGCTAACGGTAACTTCGAAACGGGTGTTTTCAAACGTTACTTGCGTCGTACGAACTCCCACTTTGGCAGTATCCAGTTGCTACGCGTAGCGTTGGAGCGTTTTTGAATCTTGTACCGCTTTCTATTTCACTGGAACATCTCTACTTCTCAAAGCTAACTCGAAACATAAAATGTGTTCTGCCAAAAGTCGTCGCCTTGCACCCACTTTCCCTGCAGAGCTTCTGCTCGTTTATCTGCACACATCTCCTTCTCCACTCGTCGCCGAACGTCAACATTACCCCCCTTCCTTCACCGCTCGACAACACGGGAAAAGAATGCGCCTTCGCTCGTGTCATCGCTGCCACAGACTCTTCCTAACTTTGCCGCCGCGCCGAGGCTGTACTTCGCCCCAGGAGCAAGCACAGAGGAAACGGCTGGCTTTTGCAGCTCGCGACCGGCGTTGCACCCACATCTACCACCGACGAGAGGTCACGCGTACACGGCGACGTGAGGATTCCATTTTGCCCGCATTACACAAGCACACTACCGCTGTCGCTTTTAGTTCTTTGAACATTGTGGACAAAAAAGCCACCTTTTTTTTTTTTTTGGTTATTTGAAGAGAAAACAAAGCAGTTAAAATTTATTTAAAACTTAGCTAAATAAGCTCGAAACATCTTGTTAAAATTATCACGCGATTCTGCGAAGTGGCTCTCTATTTGGGCCTGCCTCGTTCCATTGTTTGCGCACCACCGGTTGTATTCTCGGGGAGGCCAACCAAGTCTGTTACAGAATGGCCGCAGTTGCATCCAACGAGGCAAGATTTAATGACCAAATGGCCTCGTAGAATGCGGACTCAAGCAGGCTCGTCACCGCCATTACTTTCGGCCATCATATCTGTTTTTCGTCTCTCAGGAATATTGCCGTCACTGTCTGCGTAGTGAGTCCGCTCTTTCTCTTCAACAGTTACAAAATCTGTGAGGCAAACAGACTCGCTTCCATTTATGTCGGTGATGTTGCTGCTTGCACGGCGTCGACACGAGCGTATACGGGAGATGCTGCATGGTTCTGCCGCAGCATCCTCGGTCACGGAACTGTGGTACTACAGTGTAGACTGCATATAACGTATGTCGCGGAAGTCGTGAAAATCCGCACTGTAAGCGTTACCGCGCTATAACCAAAACATCAATTTTTCAGGCCAAAATGCATGCCATCAGACAACTTACCTTTGTAAAAGAATTTATTTTATGTTAGATGAAAAATAAAGCTTAGTTTGAGGAAATTCTGTATTTCACCAGACTAGTACACTTCTCTCTCAAGTGTGTCACACATTTTGAAAGAAATGAGCGACTTTTGCCTGGCGCAGCCTTTTAATGGCGTCGCGGGTTGCGGACGGATGTTGCGAGCGTTCAGGATTGCTAACCCTAATCACTTTTCTCCGGCGATGAAAACGCGTGAAAATTTTCATCCTTGATACGGTATGCGCCAGTAATACCGTATACACGCGTGTAAGGGCCGCACTTTTTTTTCAAGAAATGAGGACCAATTTTTAGGGTGCGGCCCATACACTCGACGTGCAATTTTTAAAGTAAAAAGAACGTACCAGATAGCGAACGAAGAACGTTTATTGCAGTACACGGCAAATGTGCTTAATCGTCGTCGCTCAACGAGTCCTCAGACTCGGAGTCCGAGGTGGTCTGTTGCGCAGCATCGTCCTCCCACAAGCAGTCGTCTTCATTACCATCCAAGCTGTTGGATATACCGGTGACCTTAAAGCTTCGGGATACAACGTCCGTCGATACCGAGCTCCACGCTGACAGGATCCAACCGAGAACAGTCGCAAGCGGTGCCCTCTTCAGCCATCCAGTCGGCGTCTGCTCATGGCTGCCGCTTGCCATCCATTCAGTGTAGAGCCTTCGGAATTCAACCTTAAAAGGTCGATTTATGCTGACGTCCAACGGCTGCAGCATTCCAGTGAGGCCGCCCGGAATCACGGCCATGTCTGTGCCGACACGGCGCAGCTGTTCCTTCACCTTATCAGTAAGGTGACCGCGGAAGCTGTCTAACACTAAAAGTGACCGTTTGGCCAACAACGCTCCTGGTTGGTTTTGCCAAACACATTTCACCCAGTCGAGCACCAAGTCATCATTCATCCACCCCTTTTCTTGGGCTCGCACTATGATTCCCTTAGGGAACACTTCGCTGGGAATCCTTTTCCTTTTCAACACAACGTACGGGGGTAACTTACGCCCATCCGCAGTCACACAAAGCATCACAGTGCAGCGTTGGCGCTCAGTGCCGGTGGTCCGCACGGCGACGCTCTTCTTGCCTTTCAGTTCGACTGTGTAGTTCTCCGGACTGTCAAACCATACAGGAGCTTGATCAGCGTTCCCTATTTGCGAAAGTAGATAATTATGTTCATGGCGAAGGCCGATGACGTACTTATGAAAACTAAGCACCTTGTCGTTGTAGTCTTCTGGCAGCCGCTGGCTCAACGTGGTTCTTCGTCGAAAGGAGAGCCCCTTCCTTTTCAGAAACCTTCGCGCCCAGCCAGCACTAGCCTTGAAAGTCCCGGCCGGTATGTTCCTCGCACGTGCCAAAGCTAGTGCCTTCACGGGCAGCATGTCCGTTGTGAGTGCAAAACCATCGTTCCGCACTTCAGTCACATAGCGGAACAAGTCTTCTTCCAGTTCCGGAAACTTGCATGGCTTTCCTCGGAAAGCGCGCTTTTTGCTGTTGGTGTTTTCCAAAGCTTCCTTTTGAGCGCACCATCGTCAAACACACTTTTCGTCGACGTCGAATTTCCTGCTGGCAGCACGTTTCCCGTTCTCGAGAGCAAACTTGATCACCTTTAACTTGTAGCCAGCCGTGTAGCTATTCAGGTACTTGCCCATCGTGCCACAACGTAAACGCTCGGTAGAAGACAAGCAAACATGAGAGACAACACGGCGTGCACAACTCCAGCAAATGGCCGGCTGAACTGGCTGAACTGCACAAGTTGGTGATGCAAACAATGCAAATGCCGATACGGATGGCACCATCTATCGACAGCGCTTAGAAACTAGCATGCGGGCGCGCATTTTGAATGCGTATGGGTCAACGAAGGTGTAGGTGCAACCCTTACGCGGGTTTTTTTTTTTTTTTCGAATATGTAGTTCAGAGAAACGGGGTGCGGCCCGTACACGGGTGCGGCCCTTACACTTGTGTATACGGTACCTTCAACTTGAGCACAGGCATGAAATGCTCCAAATAAGAAATCCGGGCGATGTTCGAAAACACAAATGCTTAGAAAGCACCACTGTAGTCGAAGTAAACAAACACGACGACACGGGCGTTTCTGCCGTCTTGAGAGTGCCGCCACAACATCGCCGCACGAGTAGGTGGATCTTCCCTTCTAGTACGTGCTGGGTTATCATAGCGACACACAACGAAAATTCACAGTAAAGGATAGCGCTTTTACGCGGAACGATGAGCTTCTACCACACCGTCTACGTCGACAATCAAAACGACGCCATGTTTGTGGATAGAAGCAGCCGCCCGCGACCGGCATGCAACGCGCGCGAACACTTCTCCTCGACCTGCAATTGGTCTGTCGTTGCGGCTGTTTCCAACCTCTCTAACGCAGCGGAGGGACGCACACACGTGAACGACACGTGCGTGCGTTCCTCCGTCGCTATGGCAACTGAAGCCTCTCTCTTCGCTTCTCCCCGCTTCTTCGAGCAACCTCCTTGCCCCGCGAGTGCCGCTTGCGGCTCGCGCCGTTATCTAGTGTCGCACAGGGAAGCGTGCTCTCTGCGTCGGTCAGTCGGCGCGGTCTCCGGGCTGTTCCGAAAACCGCACTACAACCGGTATTTCCCTTCGCGCGCCTGCATTTTAAGCAGTATGTAATTACATGGAGTTCTATGGGAGGCGAACCGGTGGTTTAAAAAAGCCGCGTTATACCCGGTCCTGCACTATAAGCGGTTACGTTGTGAGTGGTCTATACTGTATAACTTGTGGCTCTTATGGCGCGAGCGAAACCTGTGACCTTGGGCACAGCATGATTCGAAAAATTGAGAGGTCACCGCAATCTGTGCACAAACCGAGCTAACAGTGGATCCATGAAAATGGTACATTAGGGATTCTAAATAAACTGACTTAAAGTTATCTAAGTTCTAATGTAGTATATGCCATTAGGTAGATTTTATTGGCCTCCTAGATACTATTTGTCAGACGCTTCAGGTGAGATCCTGCAAGATTGAACTTCTCTGTAGTTTGCTCCTTGGTTTTCCAAATAAACAACATGATGTGTTGAAAATAAATAAAAAAATGCTAAAGTTTAGGCACGCGCAAATTCTGGTTGTTGATAATTGATCTTCATTGGCTCATGCTCAGAATAAGTGCCTCATGTTCAGGTTCGTAAAGTATCGAGCAGGCATCACCTTCTGTTTATTTGCGTAACCTTCATGAAAAGACAACTAGTATGAGGCTAAGATTTCTCATTTCTCCTTGACTGTTCTTGCCCCCTCCCTTTCCCCAGAATGGACCATCATGTGTGTAGTATACCAGTGCTATTAAGAGAAACGATACGAGGAGGATATTCTCCAGGCAGTGAATAATCTATACAGTTAGACTCGGGAGGTGAAACATTACCAGGATTCTGTAAGGATGTTGCAAAATGTAATTTTCTGAGGGAAGGAAAGGGCCTCTGGTTGGCTCGTTGCCTTCTTCTACCTACCTCATACTTTTTACATGATTTTTTTTTTAATACATAATTTAATTTGGAACTATTAAATATAACGACGTTACAATTCTCATTTGGTCTAGTCGCTAAAGTCACGTTCCGAGTGTGCGCGCAACCTTGTGCTCGGGTTCCTTCCTGAATGTGACCAAATTGCTTTTCTGCCTTCGATAAAGGAGACATTTGGCCAGTCATTTCACTGACATTCAGTGTACGTAGCCACGATTGGCAAGATATGATCACTGTGTTCATCTTTTCGTGGCGGTTTGTTGACTGTCGCCAACTCATAGATCTGCAGGAGGTTTTTTTTAATGTGCTCATACACGTATGAGATGCTGGTTCTATCCCTCATGACGAAAAAGTTGAAGAAACCTGCAAGACTAAAGTATTACAAGACGTGCATTGAAATTATACATGCTCGATCATGCTGGAAAAGACCAGGGGAGCACCGCATGCGCCCCGCACAAACCACACCCTGTGTGTCAGTTGTGCAATCTATTTTTCTAGAGTCTTTCTTTGTTTACTTTGTCTTTTATTTTTATTTTATTATTTTTTTCTGTAATGTATTATGTTTATTGGTTTATTTTTGTTGTGTGGTTTCATTTGTCTTAGTTACTACTTTCACCCCAAAACCTGCCGCTCTTGCCGGCACGTTTGCATTCAAATAAAATTCATATACATACCCCTCCAGACCAGCTGTGCTACAGTCTAAGCTCGTTATAATAGACCTTGATTTTGACCAAGATTTCGGTCTGTTGTAAAAGAAGTATGTTGTATGCAGATATGAAGTTGAGTCAATGGTACGTAGAGGAAAACCAACCGAACTTCACAAATTGGTATGTTATATCCAAATGTCTGTTGTAACAAAATCTGTTGTAATGAGCTTAGACTGTAATAGCTCAGTGGCCACGATGCCTGACTGCCACCACACCGATTCAGGTTAAAGTCCTGCCGGGGCTCTAACTTTATATAGTAACCTTATACAAAATCTTAACGTTCATAATGCTCCCAGCGTGTCACTTGTTCGTGAAGCTCGTTTGTGAAAATTTTCTCGTAGGAAACACCCTACTAAATACATTCTGCATCAAACAAAATTGGCATTAGATGAATTATTAGATGTTAAACGAAAAATGTGTGCAGCCCTTTTTTTTTTTTCTTCTTCCTAAGAAATAATAAGTATACCGTATTTACTCGATTCTAAGCACCCCCTTTTTTTCACACCTGCGACGTTCAAAGATAAGGGGGGTGCTTAGATTCGGAACATGCCCCGAAAATACAAAATTTGCACAAGAAATATGAATTGATTATAATCAAAATGAAAGAATAAATGTTCTAAAGGAAATAAATAAAGACTGGAGAGTAGCCCGCTTGCCATCAGTTTGCACCACGGCCGACTAGTCGCTCTCGCGACTAGTCTTTTGAGGATGATGTAGGGCGCAAGTTTCCGACCATCAGCTGTGATGCACAGCATTACGGTCACCCTTTGCTTCTCATAGCCAGTCGTACACACTTTTACTTCTCGGGCGCCTACATCACCCACAGTGCACGTCCTTAACATGTTGATGTACACGGGGGTCTCATCGGCATTGCCGATCTGCCCGAGTCCGTAGCGAGATTCACGACGCAGCTTCGTCACATAACGTTGGAAGTTGACAAGCTTGTCCTCAAAGTCCACCGGTAGCTTCTGGCAGATAGTGGTGTGGCGTCTCAAAGAGATATCGTTCCTCTTCATCATCCGCTCCACCCAGCCTCGGCTTGCGCGGAACGCCACACTCCGAACTGTTCAGACGTGCCGTGATTTCCGTTGTCTTCCGCGTAAGAAATAACCATTCTCTAGAACTTCAACGTGTATGAAGTTCTCTTCGCACTCATGATGGACGACTTCCGCAAACCACGTGCCCACATTGAATGGAATACGATCGCGAGGCCAACGCGGACGAATAGACTTCACAGACTAAACAACCGACTGCAACAGGCGCAAGGAGACCAAACAGACAAAACATCTTCGATAGAGGGTACGGCTAGCTTTATTTAGTGACTCTAGGTACGGCAACACACCCCCTTTCGCAACCTGCACGGATGCTAAAGTGGTAGATGGCAGTATGTGCTGCCATCTATTAATTCACGTTGAAACCAGGCGCCAGCGGCCGTTCGCGACTCCGGCGCTTGGTGATACCGGCATCTCCGATCTCAAATTACTTGTTGGGAGGGGGGTGCTTACATTCGCTTGCAAACTTTTTTTCTGGTGTTTATTTTTGAAAGTGGGGGGGGGGGGGGGGGCTTAGAATCGCGAAAATACGGTAATATTTATTTTAGTTATGGAGAGCCACAGGAAGGCAAGTTGCTCAGAATGTAGACTTTTTTTCTTTTTCATTTGTCTCCTTGTTTCTTCTACAAGGTTGTGACAGTGCACCTGTGAACCCGTAGAATACCTCTGACATGACATGATTCATGAGGCTGGCTGCGTCACACAATCTATTGGCTTTGGGTAAATGATGCCGCAAGGTGATGTCTAGTGTTGCAGAAACCAGCCTTGAAAGGCGCAGCCTTTGAGGGAGGTCACGGTTTCTTGTTCTGCTTCACAACCCTTTTCTAGATTGCACATTTTAAAATTTTCCAAGCAGTGTGCAGGTGGGCTTTCGGTCGGTGCCTCGCATTGTTTTTTATATTTTACGCAGAGGTCAAGGGCGGCATCTAGATACAAAATTCCATGTAGTGCGTTGTTCTTTGATGCGACGGGCCTCGCAGCACCCCCTCCCCTATCTCTTGAAGGTCAATGGGACCGTTCTACGTTGGCAAACGCTCCAAGCTCTCGTCTCTTACCCAAATGGGGGACTCGTCGAATAGCTTTTCGTCGTCTTCAATCGACGTGTTTATGGCCTTGAATAGCAGTAAAAACTTTCAGCCTTTCCACTCTGGTGAAGAAGGGAGACCAGCGAAGCTGTACTATGATCAGACGACCTTAGGGACGACTTCTTGGACGACCTCAAGGACGGCGTCTAGGAAGACCTCAAAGACAATGTCTAGGACAACCTCGAGGATGACTTTTAAGACAACCTCGAGGACGACGCCTAAAGGAAGACCTCAGGGACAACGTCTAGGATGACCTCAAGAACGACTTCTAGGACGATTTTGTAGACAACGTCTAGGACGACCTCAAGGACGACTTCTGGGACGACCTCAAGGGCGACGTCTAGGACGACCTCAAGAATGACTTCTAAGATGACCTCGAGGACAACCTCGAGGACGACATCAAGGACAACGTCTAGGACGACCTCAAGGACAACTTCTAGAACTACCTCAAGGACAACCTCTCAAACAACCTTAATGACGACGTTTAGGACGACTTTTAGGACGACCCCAAGAATGACTTCTAGGATGACCTCGAGGACAACCTCGAGGACGATATCAAGGACAACGTCTAGGACGACCTCAAGGACAACTTCTAGGACTACCTCAAGGACAACCTCTCAAACAACCTTAAGGACGACCTCAAGGACAACCTCTCAAACAACCTTAAGGACGACGTTTAGGACGACCTCAAGGGCGACGTCTAGGACGACCTCAAGAATGACTTCTAGGATGACCTCGAGGACAACCTCTCGGACGACATCAAGGACGACCTCAAGGACAACGTCTAGGACGACCTCAAGGACAACTTCTAGGACTACCTCAAGGACAACCTCTCAAACAACCTCAAGGACGACTTCTAGGACGACCTCGAGGACAACATCTAGGACGACGCCTAGAGAAATTCCACTCTGGTGAAAACCAGAGTGGAAAGGCTGGAAAGGTTGTCGCCATCTATGAACAAGGCCGGCAAGCCAATCGTATGGTTGCCGCTGTCGCTCATAGATGGCGGTAGCTATCCAGAGTTTTGTGTCGACATTTCTTTGCGGGGGACACGATCCTGGGGAAACTAGCCCTTAACAGCTCCGCTGTAAAAACATGGTGATGTTGGAGCTGTCGTAGACTACACAAATTTTTACTTTTCTTGGTTTTTTCATGTATTCGCTATAGTGTTAGAATATTTAAAGTACCACCTGAGTAGCGTGTAACCGTCGGGGGTCATCATTAACCAATAGACGAATGAGCCGACAAACCTTGCAGGTGCGCCGCAACGTGGGGGGCCGGCTGCTGCTGCGTTACGACGGCTGTGAGGTGGACAGCTGGGACCTGTGGCTCTTCTACCTGTCCCACCGGGTCAGGCCCCTGGACGCACCCTCCCATGGGGACCAGACCTACCGGCCCCCGCAGTGTGAGTGGGGAACCAAACACACGTTGGTCTTTACCCGTCGAGCTTCCGCACTATGGTCTTCATTCGGAGGAAACGGAGTGATGACAGTCTGATTTGATTCTCATTATGTGTGTCCAAGTGCATGTGGGGCCTGCATTCTCACTTTCGACGTGTCGCTTCCTCGGCGACCTAATGTGCGAGCTTTACAATATAGCAGTGCTGGAGCTTCTAATGGTCTGGGGCTATGGAGTTCTCTGGTTTTCTTTTTCATCTTTCAGTAAAAAAAAAACGACGAGATAGTTTGCTTTAGGTCCAGTTTACACATACATCACGGTGCTGAATGAACACTACAAACAGCATTGATGCACCCCTGACTTGAGAAGTAACTTAGCACTTTTCCTGCCTGTCTGTCATTTTAGAACAGGGGTCTCCAAATTTTAAGGCTAAGGGGCCGGATCTGGGATGTGCCGCTCTCTCAACGGCCGGAAAATAAATATAGGAAAAATATGAAAATATAATAATCTATGATATTGTAGTGAGTGCGCAGGCGAGCTGGTGGAAATTAACCATTCTGATGTTAGCCTGAGACTGAGGCAGGAAAAGAGGAAGTTTCAAAGTAGAAGAAAAAGGAACAGTCGAGGATACATTTCTAACACAGCTAAAGACAAGTTTATTCGGTCACCCTCTCATATACACTCCACAATCTTCACCACAGAACCTTCGCGACCTCCAAAGCCAAAAGATAACAAAGAACTCATCTCTTTCCACCACAATAATCAAACGACCTTGACAATTCAACAAATGTAGAGGAGAACCAAAGCAAATGCCAAAAAATAGAACTACTGTAATTCCATACTATCACAAAATTTCTCACAACTTAAAGGCTTGTGCCAAAAAGTTCGATGTTGATCTGGTTTTTAGTTCGGACTATAAGTTGAGTAAGCTCACGCCCTTCCACAAGACTGTAAGGGAATGCACAAAAATGCATCGAGAAAAGTCTATTCCGTGTGATAATGGAGTGGTATACGAAATCCCCCTGGAATGTGGTTTTAAGTATGTGGGTCAAACGTCGAAATGTATAAATGATAGATTGACTGAACACAAAAGAAATGTCAAAAACAACGCGACTGATTCGGAAATAGCGAAACATGTTCAAGAATGTAATGATTGTATACCACGCTGGTCCGAAACAGAAATAATACACAGGGAAGTAAATGACATCAAAAGGGTTGTAAAGGAAACAATAAGAATGAAATCAATGGGCAACTGCATTAGTCAAGTGTCGTTACAGCTTAGCAGCAGTGCAAAAACCTTCTTGCGGATTTGAGAGTTTTGTTAAGTGGTTGTTGATTGTGAAAGGGTGTAAGTGGTTTCCTCCTTTGTGTCTTCGGGTTGGGATCAGGTGGATTGGTATCTTTTGTTGCCGGGTTGTTTTGGGATTGTGGGCGGGGGAGGACAGGAGGAGGGTGTGCTATGTACGCGAAGGTCGATTGTCTTCCGGGAGAGCGGAGCTAGGTTGTGTTGGTGAGGGGGGGGGGGGGGGGGGGGGCTTTGTTGAATTGTCAAGGTTGTTTGATTATTGTGGTGGAAAGAGATGAGTTCTTTGTTATCTTTTGGCTTTGGAGGTCGCGAAGGTTCTGTGGTGAAGATTGTGGAGTGTATATAAGAGGGTGATCGAATAAACTTGTCTTTAGCTGTGTTAGAGACGTATCCTCGACTGTTCCTTTTCCTTCTACTTTGAAACTTCCTCTTTTCCTGTCTCAGTCTCAGGCTAACATCAGAATGGATAATAATCTAATTTATTTTGAAAGTCAATATTTAACTAATTATGAGATTACACAATAATTGGGACCCAGAACTAACCAGGCATGAATCGAATCGAATATGAACTTTTGCATGTTTACACAGGGGAAAAGACTAAAGAGAATAATAGAACTAATGCTGACAATATGCAACAGATAAAACACGGGGCACTAAGCACAAAATACATGGGAATGCGAGATTTTTAACGTACATAGTTACCCAGATATGAAACAAAGGACTAGGAATAGTGATGGTTGTGATGACCGGGTCCAATGAATAATATATTAAGCGGACACACATTATGATAGCACTTTTGTCTTGTTTTTTACTGCTAATGCACATAGCTGCATTATTTTTTTATGCTTGCTTATTTCCAGGCATAGAGAAGCTACACAGCCTGGAAAAGTGGAAGCAGATTCTGAAGGACTCCATGGCACAGGCCCAAAGTTACAACACCAAGATTCTGGCCAACATCCTGCAGGCAAGTCTGCCTGCTTATTGTCCTCCGAGTCTCCAGCCATACCGCAGGCCAGGGGAACTTTTCCAACTCGAGGAATGCCCATCTCTCTTTTGTTCGATGCACAAAAAACATTCCCTGTTCTTCACGCTGATGCAGTAAAGCAAGGCAGAAGCCTATAAACCTCGTAAACAGTCATGCAGAAATCTTGGGCAGTGTTTGGCACCAAATGTACACTTCCTTCAGGAGCAAAGAAAGCCGAGGAAATTTGGGAGGTCAGGGAACCCTTTGGGGTACTCTGACTCCAGGCTTCCTAGGAATACAGGTTAGAAAACCCACACTGTAGGCTAATGCCATAGCCATGTAAGCTCCCACGAACGGTGGCGTAACTTGGTGCAGTGTTAATGAACATTCCATTTAGAGTCAAACCCGTTTATAACAAACAACAGGAAACGCTTCAATCAGTTCGATATAGCAAGTAGTTCGATATAGCGAAAACCATTTACAACAAACTTTCACGATGCTTTTGTTGTAAGGCGAGAGCTTCTCTTTTTTTCTCATCCCTTCACTTCCGCCTTGCAACAACGCACTAAAAACAGGGTGTCTAGCGACCGGGAAAACCAGGAATTGTCAGGGAAATTTTAGTCACTGGGAAAAATCAGGGAATTGTCAGGGATATTGTCAAAAAGTGAGCCCTGTCAGGAAAAATGAGCCGGAAATGCCATCGAGTGCCTTGAACAAAGACTTGAGGACTTGGGGGCAGAAAAATAGGCAATAAATTCTGCTTAGAACAAACTGAGGGCTCTGCTCACCCGAAGTAGAGTGTGCTACCCGATAAAAAGGGAACAGCCGACAAATTCAGTTAAGTTATGCATTGAATTGGATTGGATTGAGGGCATAACACTAGGCTAGATCCAGTTAAAGCCACTAGATTTAGTAACAAACGGGAAAGCTGCAGACCGCAATCCAATCCAAGCCGAAATTATCCAAAGGTGTGCATCTGGCGGCCATGCGGCCATGCATTCGGTTATTGGCGTGCGTGATTGAGCGTCGTGTTTGCATCGTGTTTCCGGAAGTGGCCTCTTCGCTGACGATGTCGGCAACAAGAAAGTTCTTGTTTCATCCGAACTGGACGAACCCGAATATATCGGAATATGCAAGTTGGATTAAGCCCGTGCAAAGTGATCCTCACAGTGCTCAATGCTCAATGTGCCGCAAAATGTTTTCTTTGAGCAACATGGGAAACACGGCAGTTTCCAGTCACAAATCGAGCAAAAAGCACCTTACTGCTGTGGAGTCTCAGTCAAGCCATTCCCAATCTGGACTTCTGTCATTTTTTTACGGCAGCGACAAACGTTTTGGCCGGATGTAGGGGAGACCGCACATGTGACCCGGAGGAGCCTGCAGCCACCTCGACAAGTATGAAGACGTTGATGAGCGGCTTTCTACTGAAAAGCGCTGTGACAAAGGCCGAGATAATGTGGTGCTTAAACTCGGTAGCAATTCACGGATCCCTTCATTGTACAGCAGCTACGGCCTCACTCTTCCCTCTCATGTTTCCAGCTTGTGAAGTCGCTGCAAAACTTCAGTCAGCGAGTGGTGAACGACGTTGTGCTGGAAGCAGGCAGCGTGGTCAAGGTTGAAATTATTGACAAGATGGTGCAGATGGTTTGCAATGGCTACAGCGTCTTTCGAGAGAAATTGCAGCAAAAAACAGGAAGAAGGTGAAGAGGAGTCAGATGTTCAGAAAAAGAAGAAAAAAGTGACTGTTCTTGTGAAAAGACAAGAAGAAAAGATGCAAAGGCTGCTCCGTGGATAACTAATAAAGGCCAGTCTCCTGCAAGAAAAGATTGACACCCTTAAGAAGTAAGATGTGTGCTTGGACAACCCTTGCGCAATAGCTGACATTCTTAGCAGCAAGAGCAGATTGTGTTTGCATTAACTTTGTACAATATTAGACAATCTAGTCAGATACCCTCATTTGTGCTGATTATAATTGTGATCTATAAATAAAGAAATGCTTTGTGAAGGTCTTATATATTTAACCGCCTCTACAATGGTCAAGGAATTTAACCTGAAATTGTCAGGGAAAACCTGGAAAAGTCAGGGAATTTCAAAATAATAATTTGCTAAACACCCTAAAAGATTTTTTTTTTTTACATGCGTGCAGTTTTTTTGTTTTGTTTTTTAGCTGATTTTTCCTTCTGAATCGCTTCTCTTGCTGAGCAATCGCTTTGGGTTGAAAAGATTTTTTTTTCTGTGTGTGCATGCAAGTGTATTTTTAAGCTTTCTTCCCTTCTGAATCGCTTCTTTTTGCTCAATTTTATTAATAATAATAATAATTCTTTATTTTTTTAGTGCCCCAGAAGGACCGTGAGGTCTTGATGTGGTGGCATATCAAAACCTTTGTTTGTAACTTTGCTCGCAACTTCAGCTTTTAGATTTTTTGATCTTTCCTATTTCTTTTTTGGGGGAAGGGGCAGGCTAGAAGACGATTCTTTGCGCTTTTTTGGAAGCCTTCCCGGTGGAAAAAGTTTGATATAGCCAATATGTTGTTCGTTATAAAAAGTCCCAGTCCCCAGTGCCAGTGCCAGTGTTTATTAAAATTTTTTTTAGTTCGATATCGACAATAATTTGCTGTACGTGGGTTTGTTCTAAATGGGTTTCACTGTATTTACATGCGAGTCTTTTCCCCTATTAGGGTGAATAATAGTATGCATGGACATTTACCCCCTTTTCCCGTATCTCAACACCCCCTTCCATTGTATTTACTATTTATACAGAACCTCGGCTCTCAGGTTCACAAATGCAGGTCCTATCGAGCTTCCACTGGGATATGCGATCCCATTTCCTGTTAGCTGTCTTTGCCTTCTTACTCATTACGTTCAAAAGCTGAACAGCATGTTGAGGCATTGACTGTCTTGTCACCGCGGGTACAGCAAAGTTTGATGACGAAATTCTGGCTGTCGCATTGCTAACAGTGCCAACAATGTGATCCATTACAACTTTTTCATCAAGTTTTGCGAAGGGAAGGCTGAAAGAAAACATCCACTTCTATTCTTAAAATTACTCGGTGACAAATGAGCTTTATGGTCAGTGCCGTTGCGTGTGAATATACTTAGGTCCCACTAGTGCCAGTAAGCTTGCGTAAAGTGAGAAACATTCCTATTCAATACCGTTATCGGTATCCTTCAAGCATTCCTGGCAGTCTTAGCTTGAGCAACTGCTGCCTTGTGTGTAGTGATGCAAAACTATCAATAAATTGACTATCGATACTATCGATAGTTTTTCCAAGACTGTCGATAGTGTCGCAGAACTATCGATAGTGATATTGATAGTAGACTATCGATAGTAATATTGATAGTACCATCGATAGTTTTTCTATAGTTGACTATCGATAGTACTGTATTTACATGATTGTAAGTCGTTTCCCCCCCCTCACATTGCATACCAGCACAAAAAAAAAATCTTTAGATACGCATTTTACTGCGAACACGGGAGAACGGCAAAGTGTCTGTTTCGAAAGCCAAGCCTTAAAGACGCGATCGATGCCTTCTGGCGTGCTTTGGCTGCGCATGTACGCGTGCGGTGCACGGGATGAGCAGGCGTTGTCAAAACTAGGAAGTTCACGCTGGAGGTGGGACAACTGAACCTGCTCCATGTCGTTCTCACTCCGTCCAGGACTAGACTGACTCGTCCGCACTGGTGATGTCAGTCCCGTCGTCATCACTGCTACATTCTCGAAGCACGTCGTCGGCGTCGTCCAACGAAATCTCACTCTTCGCAAATGACAAGATCAACCGCATCTTCTGCGCTTGCTCGGCGATCGCGTTGGACGTCACGGGTAGGGACCGATTGCACACTTTTGCAGTGTACGTTTCAAGCCTGACTTCCAACTCCGGCACCAGACTTCGGCCTACGGAAGCCTCTCTGTTTGCCGTCACAGCTGACTCCACTGGAGCACCACCCGCTCCGACGGGTCGAACCTGCGTCCAACAGCACAGTTGTTGGTTGCTTCTGAGTAAAGAATGGCCATAAACGAGCACCAAAAACCTAAGCTGACTGGATCATGCTTGTCAATAAAAAAAAAACGTAGTTAGCGCTCCAGCATGATCTCGTCACTCGATCAAACGATGTGCTACCGTGAATCATGCGAAAAACTGCGAAGAGAAGCCGCGGGGTGAGTGAACCATGAGGCTGTTCCAGCGGCCTCCGGGGTGGCTCTTACAAGAAGTGCCGCCACCCCCCGGGAGTCGGGCGCGCCATGCACTGTTCACCGCCGTATATTCGGGTTAATTTGCAAATCGCTATCAATAATACTATTCACGCAAATAAAAAAATAATTAATTTGTAAAATGAGCACATAGAATAGCGCAATGCTAGAGGTACAGCCGGCTGAACTTGTAACAAGCTGGGGTGTTCATGATATCGCGATTGTTTCGTTTTTGCCACTGGTGGAATGCTTTGGTTCGATAATAAGTCGACCCCCCTACTTCAGATTTTCAAAAATTGAAAAAAGGGTAGACTTACATTCATGTAAATACGGTACTATCGATAGTACCATCTATAGTTTTCCAATAGTCGATTAACGATAATTTTCCTATAGTTGACTATCCATAGATTTTCGATACTCGAGTATCGATAGTGTACTATCAATAGTTTTTTGATAGTTGACTATCGATAATACTATCAATAGTTTTTCGATAGTCGACTATTGATAGTACTATCGATAGTTTTTCGATAGTTGACTATCGATAGTACTATCAATATCTTTTTTTACTATTGATAGTCAGGTTTCTGGCGTCCATTGATACTATCGATAGTACTATCGATAGTTTTGCACCACTACTTGTGTGCCTAAGGCATTTTGCGTCTCTGTTGGATTAGCAAGCCTCAGAGATTGCTTCCAACCCGCATCTGCGGCACACTGTATCCAAATCCAAATTTCTATCTGCATCACATTCGCATTCAAACTGCTCATCCACTCCGTATCTAGATTCAAAGTGAATCATCCCCGACACGTCAGGTTCAATCCGCAATGCATGCTTGTGCAGCCCCCCGTGGCGCTGCGTGAGCACAGCTTCCAGGTGGGCCACAAGGTGGAGCTGCTGCATCCAGTGAGTCGCCAGCAGGCCTGCCCAGCCACCATCACGGCCACCCTGGCCGGTGGGCGCTGGTTCCTCGTGCAGGTGAGGGTGCCACGCTGTTCCCGCACACCTTTTACGAGATTCTGACTCTTTCACGAGATTCCGACCCTTTCTGTCTTGAACCGCGCTTCCCGTCTGCCTGTGGGGTCATTCTTTGCGCGTATGTGAAACAAGGCCCAGAATTATTGACCAACCTCTTGCAGGTTTCCAAACAGCGCGATGAAGTGCACCAGCGAAGAGAGTGCGCCTCATGTGACTTGGGAGTCCGTGTCAATTTGCTCTCGCTGGGTGTTGGCTGTCCACCTGTGCCACGATTAGAGGTCATTCTTTATTGGCGTCCGGTAGGACAAAATTATGCGTAGGGGGAAACCCACCCCGAGATATGTTGACGTGTGCGTTGATAAGATGAGATAAGTCGGTGTCTTGCATTAGGAAGCAACGGCGCCCTTGTTTGTCTTTCTGCATGCCTGTTTTCCTGGTCCTCTTGCACTGTGGTCTCCTATAATGCTCATTGAGTTTTCTAACGTGGAAGTTTGGGCTAGTTGGTATTTCATGATTAAAAATTAAAACAGCTCAAGGACACGGACAAGAACAAGAAGGTAGACGAACAAGGCGCTGACTTACAGCTAAACCTCTTAAGGGGGGACATGGGCCTAAATTTTTAACTTTTTTGAAAAAATTCATTTTTTTATTTTGAGGTTTTTTGTTTTAGAAACTAATTATACACCCTTACACCAAATTTGATGACCATACGCCAAATAGTTACGTTGATATAAAATATTTTCAACACATTGTGAGGCAGTAACAAAGTAAAGGAGTTCAATGTTTGAATGCGTTTTTCTCAGTTCCACTTTTTGCTGCAAATTTCACACGAAGGAATCTTTTCTTTGAAGGTGGAAGTATTCTGTTACCACAATCAAGATGTTTCTGAACTGAACTTTACTCAGGAATCGGGCTATCTACTTTATTTTGTTTTAAGTTGAAGTCCTCAGTGAGAAAAAATTAAGTTTTCAAATATTGACAGATGACAGATATGCATCTCATAGTTTGAGGTAATAACTCTTCCTGAAATATTTACATTTAAGTTATTAAAACTAGATAGCCCGAGGTCCCATATCCCTTACTTTATATTCAAGCAGTCAAAATGGTACTTAATAGCTTGATTTGCATATCATAGATTTCTTAATGAAAAGTGACACATCATCTTATGCAGGTATGCAAATTTGTCTTAGAGAGCTGAAAGTTTGCACAGTACACCTACATTTGAAGCTAAATCTCCCCTGCAAATTTCATTTCGATCAGTTGAGTAGTTCAAAAATTTTACCTCTAGCCAGTGTCCCCCCTTAAACAATCTTGTGCGCAACAAAGACGAGGACAAAAGCAGAGAAGAGGACACAAAAAGGCGCAACTTTCAACTGAATTTTATTGAAAACGTGTTCCGGTATATATATAGTCTCAACTATATATGCTATGCCGTCGATCGCATTATCGGAGAAGGAATTGTTTTTTCCTGAGAACGAGATAATGTTGTTTCCCAGTTATGCTCTGTTATGGTGTTTTTTCTTTTTCCTTTACTTTTGTCTTTTTTTGTTGTCATTGTAACGATGGTTGAGACTATATATATACCGGAACACGTTTTCAATAAAATTCAGTTGAAAGTTGCGCCTTGTTGTGTCCTCTTCTCTGCTTTTGTCCTCGTCTTTGTTGCGCACAAGATTGTATAAGATGTCAAACCAACTCGCCCAAACAACCACTCTTCTTACAGCTAAAGTTTATTCGTGCTAACATCAAGTATAAATACTGAACGTCATGACAAACAAACAAAGATAAAAAACATGTAATGGACGCCACGTGCTCCTTAGCCACCGTTATGTGCTGTCACTTTGTGTCGAGAAAGCAACATTCCTTTTCGGATAAGCATATGGAAGGAGTGCTGACACAGTTTTCCCCCAATTTTCCAATTTCCCGCGCCTCGATGATTTCTCGAGTGAGTTTGTCTTTATTTTTCCTAATCACTTCACACTTGTCGAAGACGGGAGTGCAGCAGCAGTCACGACAATGCTGGCCAAGGTGACCTGACACAACTCTAAAAACGTTATACTTATGTTTTCGCAAGTGATCATTGAGGCAGCGCCCCATTTGCCCGACGTATCTCCTGCCGCACGAGAGGGGAATAGAGTACACCACTCCCTTCACACAGTTCACGAATCGGTCGTGGTGTTTTTTGGTGCAACCCTGTTTTTCTTTAGAACAGGGGTTCACTTTTCTGCACGTCCCAGACAACTTTCTAACAAACACAAACGCTTGATTATTGCAGCTAAGCTGCACTAAAAATTGGAAGAAAACTTTGCCCCTTTCCTGCACCATCGTGGCAAAGGCAGTGGTGCCATAGAAGGATTGAGTGTTGCTTCGCGGTGACGTTACACAGATGAACCTGGTAGACATTTTATGCTTCCACAGTGTGAATGCCGTTGTGCATACTGTCTCTAAAAAAAAAAAGAAAAAACCCCGCCGAAGTTAGCGCTTGAGCGGAAGTGGAATGCGAAGCTTGCATCTATTGCAGTCACACATTTTATATTTCGCCTTACAGTTTTGTGTCTCACTGTTTCTTGAACTCTTTTCTCTCATGCGCTCTTAGCACAGTTGGTTCAGTGTCAGATTCACAAGCGGAGAGGCCCCAGTTTGAAACCAAGTGCTTCCACACTTTTTCCCTTACTTTATATCGACCAATTTGCAAGAAACGTCTTGCCTCACTGGGTTGTGTCACAGCACACTGCTAGGGGCCAGCCGTTATATACATTCTGCGTTAAAAAAAGTATGGCAAATTGCTAGGCAATTATGTTGCGTACGTTAAACATTCTAGCATCCCAAACACTTATATCATCGTTCAGCAGCACATCTAGCCTGTTCAGCCAGACTCCTACCTTCATGGCACCCTTTGTCGGATAATTTAATGCGTGGCACATGTGCACTTGAGGTGATAAACCTGACGACCTTTCAGAACCTTCTAACCCACTCCTCTCCAACCTCGCCTAACTCTCCTCCTCACTCCACCCCCATGCGCACAACCCTCCCGTTAACCAATCAGCATCGAGCACCTCGCTCCTCCACCTCCCACCTGTCCACCAATCGGTGTCTAGCCTCGCGGCCACGCTTTTATCCGGGCTTCACTTTTGGGCTTCATGAAATGCCGAACACCTAGCCAAAGAACATTCCCTTCTAAACAATGTTCCGGTGCCTGTCACTCGCTCGCTGGCACCCCCGTTTGTGATGGAAGGGTGACATGCACGTTTTGCGTGGCGCTGCCCAATTGTGCTAATGGTGGTGGCCGCGTCCATTCAGGTGGACGACCTGCGGCACCCCAAGGAAGGCGCCCCCCTGGTGCGCTGTTGCCATGCGGGCTCCCAGAGCCTGCTGCCTGCGGGGTGGGCCCAGAAGAACGGCCTGCCCCTGCTGCCACCCCCCGGTGAGACGGCCGGCCCAGTCAGAACCCCCTTGGAGACAAACGTTACCATAGTCACAGATGGCTTAAGGGGACACACCCCCTAAAGGGGTCAACTTTTGAACCCTTGTCTTAAAATTGCCGAAATTTACATGGTAGGCTGGTGGGCATGCTAGAGGGGGTATAACTAAATTTCAGGTCTGTCAGTTAAATGAGAAGGAACTTAGAGTAGCTTCTATCATCAACACGCCTACATTGTTTAGTTAATCTATCGTTGGAAAGCTATCACCATATTCCAGATTTTTATTTGCTAGATATGTAGCAGAATGCCTAGAGGGTGCGGCTATGAAACGTTTTTCCTAAAAAGTCATTTAGTTTTATAAATTTTCTCTTCTGCGAAATTGGTCAACTTTTTGGTCTTCTGTGTCTTCTACAAAATGTCAGCATTTTTTTATAAAAGACATCCGTAAAGTGACAAAAACTTCCATAGCCGCATTCCTTATTATATTTCAGTCAGGACAAGGGAAGAACGAGCCTTCCCTGTTTTGCCACTATCAAACGATAGATTGACTAAAATGGAATTCATACCAAAAAGTGGAACGGAGAAAAGTGTGTTCAAAGTGCTCCAAACCCTACCTTTTCTTTAGCTTTGGTGGACAGAAAATAATTTATAAAAAATTAACTATGCAGTGTAAATTAATTAAACTTTTTGGGAATACTCTCTAGATGTTGGTAGATGTAAATATGTAATTTTTCAAATTCAACTTTTTTTGCAAAAATTTTTATTCTGGGCAGTGTGTCCCTTTAAGACATGCGAGGCATCATGTTTGCACCTTCTTCACGATTTTTTTGGCATTCTCATCGGCTGCAATCTCATTGGCCATGGAACAATAATGGGAATGTTCTTGAATGACAAAGCCCCAAAGAATTGAGTAAGAACCAAAAGGTAATCCAGAGCTACATGCAGCGAGCAGCTGGAGCCTAATGGAATAAGCAAATATAATACTTTCCAGATGTCAGTGAGAAGCTGGATGACATTAGAAAGTAATTTCACGATAAACTGGAAGAAACTGGCCCTACTGGGCGTTCTTTTTAACTCTTCTCCAATATGTACGTAGTATGCGAGGGAACCAATAATCCGCCATTGCTTGCGAGGCATTTCTTCTAAGTGAACACTTTTTTTCTAAATGCATAGATGATGTTGAAGAAATTGTTTATCTGGTACCTTTGGTTACGGTGCTTCTGCCGCTTCCCTGCTAGCGAATGTGTCTGGGAGACTAAGTGGCTTCCCTGCGTTACAGGCTACCCGTGCAGCAGCTTTGACTGGGAGGAGTACCTGCGCTCGTGCGATGCCCAGGCAGCACCCAGCTCCTGCTTTCAGCTGGTAGGTGGCCTGGGCCTCTTTTTGAACCTCACTCTAGAGGGTCAGTGCAACGGTTTTTAATGCAGAATGTGTTTATGGGCTGTATTTCATGGAAAAGTGTAACACTCAAACCTGACAAAAAAAGCTTTACGTGAGGGCAAAAGCAACACAAAGGTTGCATAGCCCGTACCGTCCAAAGCATACAGAAGGCATAATCATTCCTACACAATCCTAACTGGGAACAAGCGATCGAAACCAGAGAGATTCACCAAGGAGCTCAGCAGAACCTCGTACCATGTGATTCGCAGCCCGACGTCTTTGCTCGGCGCCGCAAGTAGGAGACGAACGAGAGCGCGAGCAACGTGACTAAGTATGACTTGCCGCCGACGGTCGCTCACAGTAGCACGCGACTGTCCACGGCGAGTGATACTTCGTCCAGCGTACATAGTCTGCAGGTGACCATCATAGCATACTTAGTCTGCAGTCGACCGTCGGTGTTTAGTCACCTTAGTTCAGCATACTTAATTTATATGCTACAGTCGCTGGTGAGTTATATTTAGTCTAGCATACTGAGTGCATAGTGAACCGTTGGCGGTGAGTCATTCTTAGTCTAGAATACTTCGACCACAGGCAACCTTCAGTGGCAAGTCGGGCTTGGTCCAGCATACTCTGTAGGCAACCATTGGTTACAACTCGCACATAGTCTAACACACTTAGTCTGCAAGCGACAGTAGGCAGCAAGTCGTACCTATTCGCGACTCCAGCAAAACGGACGCCACCAAGCGGGAAAACCGGGAACCAGCCGGTCCAGGTCGCTCCGCGCCCCTCCGCGTCTCTCCAGTGGTGGCTTTCGCGGACACTTGTAGTCGGCGCGGTGGCGAGCAATGTAATTTGACGAAGGTCTGATTATTTCTTACGTTTGCCTCAGTGATCATTAGTGTGCTGAAGCCTCAGTAGATTAATTGTTTCCTTTGAAAGCCCGTTTACTCCACAGCACACGGTCGCGTGCTTTCGATTTCTTGGATGGGGAGGAATCGCGGAAAAACGTTTTGATTTCTTGTCTGTCTCGAATCACATTCAAAGTGACGTTTACTTGGTGACTGATAAGTGGTTTCTTTATAAGGATGTAGAACAGTCGACTGAGGACTACAGGCGAGGCATTTCACTGGAGGGAACATCAATGTTGCAGTGAAGTGAATGGGAAGGTTCGATAATTGCTTTTCTTGAGTTTGGTTGTGTTTGCTTAGCTTCAAGTTTGAGCCACCCACGCCGGTCGGTGCGTTGGCTATTCATCTTGGCTGCTTTTCGCCGAAAAAGCCTCTGGATCACACTGAAGGAGTTGGGCTGATTTCGCAATCACTTGATTCAGGAAAACCTGCTCGCTGCAAATGATGAATGAGGGAAATTATCTGTTTTCAAAAGGTGGGGGACGAGTCTCGCAACGTTAGATGTTGTCACGGCATTTTGACCTATCGCGCCTCCAATATTTATATTACAAGGACGTCGAAGCCAGCAGCAAAATACGTCTACATTGCTCAGGTTGACCGGCCACAAAAAATACTCATTGTCTCCATTCAGGATTCGAAGCAAAGTTCAATGCAGAGAGGTTCCGCGTGAATGTCCGATGAAGACTCTCTTCAGTTTGTCTAAGTGCTGCCGGCTATAGAACCATTTGGCTAAGTTTAAGTAATACCTCTCTGTCTGTCAAATATACTTTTATTCAGCAGCTCACCTAATAGCTAGTCAACTAAGCTCATATTTTAACCCGAAGAATATACTAATATCGCCTTAGTGGGACATAGTACGTAATATAATACACAACCCGCTCGTCGAAATGACTTCTCGATTGCTACTAAAACCTGAATTGAAATACGAGTATCAGCTGCTTAGTGGGGCGCCAGCGGGTTAACATGGTCCTTGGCTCAAGAAGCGCTTGCTTAATTTTTGTAATTTTCCTGCAGCCTGTGTTGTTGACCGAGCAGACGACTGGAGCTGTTTCTTAAACGCGGATACGCACAAAAGCTCGATTTCGCGGACAGATAAGTTGCATGGTCGAGGCATGCGAGTTAGCTGAAAAGTTACTCACTGTGGAACAATTCTGTAGTCATCGCCGCTTTCCTTAGATGATCAAAACTGATTAGAGCCTATTACCGCCTCTCCGCAGCCCATAGTTTCGGTTTTGAACGAAATCTCCGAAACGAAAGTTTGACATTAAAAGAAGAAAAACCACCGGCAAAACAAAACTATGCTTTGCAAGTTTATCTGCACCGGCTACACTTAACCGTCTCAGTTCAAATACCTATAAAATTGGGCATTAAACAGAAGAAAATCTGTTAAATTGAGCGCGCCACCTGTTCAGGCGGCCCGGCCGAGCCGCCGCGACCTGGACTCAGCCGCCATGTTTGTTTGGTGGTGGCGCCCCCTATAGGTCGCTGGAGTCGCGAATAGTTCAGCATACTCGGTCCACAGGCGACGGTCGGCAGTGGGTTACACTTAGTCCAGCACACTTGGTTTCCAGGTGACCGTTGGGGACAAATCATAGTGGGTGGCGAGTCATACTTAGTGCTGCATAATTAGTACACAGGCGACTGTCAACGGGCGCCCGTCGCTGCGCGCAGCTGGTTCCCGACGAGGAATGGCTTCCCACGCGGACTCACGACATCACAGGGTGGATCGTAACTAGGATTCCATGTATTCGGAGTTTATTTTTCGCCGAGAATTCGTGGGGTATCAGAGTTTATTTTTGTTAGATTCCCAATTCTCTGAAGTTTTGAGTTCAGTCTACTGTGTTCCCAATTTTAAAAAATTAAAAAAGAATAATATAAAGTTTGGGTACCATAACCATAGGTCGGCATTTTGGATATGAGTCGCTCAATATCATATCACGTTCACAAAGATTTTTCAGAATTCATTTGCACTCATATCACAAATTTTTGCAAGATCCAAGCCACCACCAGTCATATCACAAACTTCGTCAAGGTTCAAAAGTCAGTGCCACTCATATCACCTTCGACTTTCATCATTAACAATATCATTGATATCACCAAAACCAGACACATATATAACAAAATATCACCGACTCAAAAGTATCACAAAATATCACCAACTTAAATATGTCACGAAATATCACTGATATCACCAACCACAAAAATATTGCGGATATCATGGACTCTCGAAATATCACGGACTCGCAAATATCGCCAAAATCCCCGACTCACAATATATGAAATATGATGGACTCGGAAATATCACCGACTCAGAAATATCATGCGGGTTCACCTCGCCGTGCTGCTTGCTGTCATTTGGGTCAGTTTTGGTATGTGCCGTTCAATGCCGAGCCGAAGTAATGCCTGCCAGACTTAATGCTCTGTAACGACGAAGGTGCTGCTTGTTTTGCTTCTTTCTTTTTTTAGCTTGAAGGGAGGCATCTAGATTGTGAATTAACAAGCGCGAATGACTAAGAAGAGAAGAAGGGGACAGGACAGAGAACTTACTCTTCTTAGTCATTTGCGCTTGTTAATTCACAGTCTAGATGTTCAACCAACTAGGCCCCCAATTGATCATGATGAAGGGAAGTACTTTTCTTTTCAAGCATTAGGTATGTGCCTATGGGTGGATTTTGTTTGAAAACATGTATTTTGCATGAAAATGGAGAACATTGGTGGTGTGCCCTGAAACGAGGGGATGAAATTTTGTAGGGCGAGGAGGATGACTAGCATTATTAGACGAATGAGAAGAGCACGGCGTTCGCTTGTTTCGGTTTGTAGCCCCCGAGCTACAGCGAGAACCGAAACAAACAGGCGGCATTGCTGCGTGGCGTGGACGGCACCACGAACACTAAGTTCAAAATTGGACTCTCTATAAATTTATGTGTGCAGCGTTCCAGCAAGTATTTATTCACCCGTTTGCTTTGTCTCAAACAGTGCACAACGTTAGCAACCAAGGTCGCAACCATCCAGGAGAAGGAGCGGGTTTGCGGTGACCATATTTTTGGTCGAGACGAACATTGACCTTGCATCTTTGACCTTACATTCCGCAGTTACACTTCGAGTTACGAGACGTTCGCTGATCTCACAATCCCTGAATGGGTTACTGCTTGTGTTATCTTTCCAACTTTTTTCTTGACTGAACAAAGGTTTTTGCAAGCAAAGCAAAGTTTTTTTTGTTACCTCCATCGTTTTCCTGTCACACGCATGTACACCGATTTCTGGGTCGCAGAAATCGGGGAGGAAACGTGCAAACAATGTGAAGTGACTTTCCCCTCTTCGTTTTACTTTGTCACGAACATCCTCCAACTGTAAGGTCCGTGGCAGCGTCATTTGGGTAGGGGAATGTTTGCGGATCCCAGAGTCCGTGTTGGGGGTATTTGTAAGAGTGGGCAATCACTCAGTGTTTTTTTAGAAATCAGTATTCGACCAAAAATTGGTTGGGCGATCACTCCGGGGATGCGTAACAACTCAGGATATTACGGTAATATCATCCGACAAACTCAGTCATATCACGGAGTCACTCGGTATCATCTCACGAGCTCAATCATATCACGGGGTCATTCAATATCATCTCACAAACTTGTACCCATATCACGGAGTCGCTCAGTATCATCTCACAAACTTAAACTAACTGTATTTATACTATTGTAAGTCGACTCGATTGTAAGTGAACCCGCCCCACATGGCACATCAGCAAAAAAAAAAAAAAAGTTGCGCGTTTTATTTTGAACACGTGGGAACGGCAAAGTATTCGTTTTGAAATCCCAGCCTCCAACACGCGATCGAACCCTTCTGGCGTGCTTTGACTTCGCTTGCACGCGCGAGGTGCATGAGATGCCCAGGCGTTATCGAAACTAGAAAGTTCACGCTGGAGGCGGGACAACTGAAGCTGCTCAATGCTCACTGTTGGTCTCACTCCATCCACGACTAGACTACGACTTGTACGCACTGGTGATGTTGGTCCCGTCATCATCACTGCTACGTTCTCAAAGCACGTCGTCGGCGTCACCTAACGAAACCTTGCACTTCACAAATGACAGCATCTTCCACACTTGCTCAGCGATCGCGTTGCACGTCACGGGTAGGGACCGATTGTGCACTTTTGCGGCGTACGTTGTAAGCCTGACTTCCGACTCCGGAAGGCATCCCCACCTATTTAAACTTTGGCCTGCTGAAGCTTCTTCAGTTGCCGTCACAGTTTAAGATCCCACGCCATTGCAGACTCCAGTGGAGCATCACCCGCTCCGACGGGTCGAACCTTCGTCCAACAGCGCAGTTGTTGGAATGGCCATAAACGAGCACTGAAAACCTAAACTGTCCAGATCACGCGTGCCAAAAAAAAAAATAAACGTAGTTGGCGCTTTAGCAGGATCTCGACACTCGATCAAACGACGCGCGACCGTCGATTGTGCAAAAAAACTGCGAAAAGAAGCCGCGGAGTGTGAACCGTGAGGCTGTTCCAGCGGCCTCCGGAGTGGCTCTTACAAGAAGTGCCGCCAACCCCCGGTGGTCAGGTGCACCGTGCGCCGTCGCCACTGTACATTAGGGTTAATTTACAAATCGTTATCAATAATACTCGTTCGCACAAATAAAAGAAAAAAAGAAGTTCTCAAATGAGCGCACAAAATAGCGCAATGCACAGGTACAGCCGGCTGAACTGGTAACAAGCCGAAGTGTTCTCGATATCGCGATTGTTTCGTTTTTGTCGGCGGTGGAATGCTTTGGTTCGATTATGAGTCGACCCCCCCACTTCAGATTTTCAAGAATTGAGAAATGGGTCGACCTACATTCGTGTAAATACGGTATATCACGGAACCACTCAATATCATCTCATGAACTCGGAGTCATATTATGAAGTCAATCAAATTCACTCACAATCACGCGGTGAGCGTGAGTGAGTGAGTTTGCCGAGGTATTACCATAAGCACATTGTCCTGAAGAAACCTTGATGAGCTAAAAGGTAAACCCTTTTTGTTAGTAGTGGGTTGAGGTTTTAAAGGAAACTGAAGTGGTATCTCCTCAGGTCCACTGACCCCTTGCTTTTAAAAAGTTCATTTTTAAAAAATTTTCTTTCTTGTTTTATGTTTTGTTGTTGTAACTTCGAAACTCAGAGTTTTTCGGTTAAATCCGAATTGACGGGAAAGTTACCGGCAAGTGTTTTTCTGATTTATTCGAAAACACTGAACCCTAATCATAGTGTACTACGGGATAGCACAACGGGTGTATGACGTCAGAACTCCAGACAAAAATTAATCGACAGAGTAAAGGGCGTAATTAACCTCATATCCTTGTGAGTAACTTCAGTTGCCACAAGGGGTTCTTAAAAATTCAAAAGTACTAAGAATTCAAGGCCCTATATGCTCCCATCGAAGAAACAGAAGCCGTGGAAAGCTTAATTTAAACGTGTCTCAACCATTTTGTAGAACTCAGAGATCACATGGGTGTGTCGTGTCCGAAGCATCCGAAACCACCCGAAACTCCCCGCAACCAAGTGTAGCAAATCATAACGCACGCATAATACATGCACGACACATTCTGCACTTTCCGTGCTTATCAGAATTATTGAGCAAAGTTTATTTCATACTTTCGGTTAAACTTGAGCATGTTTTGATTTTTTCGAGAAACTCCGAGACGCACAGGATGCGTCACGTGACACCGCACAACACTCGAACTTGACGTAAGTCACATGACCTTACAATGTGACGTGGCATCTTGGCGTCGAGTGACACCCTGACACCGCATGACATGATGTCACACGACATGTTGACGTCACGTGACACCCAAACTTGACGTCAAGTCACGTGCCGTGTGTCGGTCAGGCGTGCCATTTTTCGCGCGGCACCCCGCTTTATAACAGAGTCTGCGTCTTTCGGGGCGGCTATCTGTTTCTCCACTCTACAGCGTTTGACAACCTCTGTTCCGTGTGAGCTGTAGGGCAGTCGTAGGTGACCGCCACTCAACCCGTATGCAAAGTGATGCAATCACTTTGCGTACAAAAAGACCATGCTTCTAAAGTATTACGTGTGATTTTCAAGGGGATGTTTGGACTGCTTGATATAAACAATAATTCAAAATACCCGAGTAATATATAACCGGGCTCGACTGTATTTCCGGTCTACGAGCCTTTAGAGCAGAGATGTGCGAAGTGGGGGTTACGAGAAGACATCTTGGGGGTCGTGGGGGCCTCAGAAGGCCGAGTAATTTTGAAGTGCAATTGGAGAGTACGGTTGAGGTGGGGTCACGGGGTCGCTGGATGGTGTCGAAGTATCTTAGGGGCCACGGGCTTCAGAAGTTAGCGCACCTCTGCTTTACACCATCCACCCAGCATTCTTCGTAACAACGACTGCCCCCGTGCGAGAGCGAGCATTCCAAGGGTGCTGTTTGGTTCCGCAGGAGGAGGACAGCCTGGGGTTTGAGCCGGGACAGAAGCTCGAGGCGGTGAACGTCCACAAACCCAACGAGGTAGGCAAACTTCCGGTTTGGATCCTGGAACGCATCCCATTTTGCCCAAGCATCGAAAGCTGTCTTAAAGAATGGCATCAAATGACGTTGCAAAAGCTGGAGTACGGTGCTGTCAGGCGTCGCGATCCTGGCGGTTGAGCGTAGAAGTTCCGGAAAAAAGCTTGGGAGACAGCGATCGTCGCTGTCGTTGCGGTGTGCCAACTTCCGGCTGCCGAAGGTTCCGTGGACTCGAGCCTAGAGATCGACTCTCAGAAGAACAGACGTCTGCCAGATCCACCGCCACTGCAACGTCGCTAAGCCTTCAACGGCAGGGCACTTTTGAGAAGTCATCGGGTGGAAACGGAGGGACCACTTTTAAGAATGCGCTAAACACACCAGTCAGAGACATGCTCCTGGCACCATACACTTCCGGTACCCCTATCATTCGTGGTGGGGAGCAAAAGAGAGACCCACGCCTTACTCGGGTCTCTACACTGACCTGGCTGTTACTGCATAGCTATTTTTTGTTTCCTATCGTAATGAATCTTATGGCACGAAAATTCTACTTAAGTAAAGACCGGAATGTCACGTAGCCCGCTCGAGAAATTTCTAAGGTGTTAAGCGCTTAGCAAGTTGCATAAAAAAGGAGTGGGCAGGATGATGATTAACTAATCCATCATCAGGACGGGCACAGCTGTGATTATGTACGCCAGATGAGTCGAAAGTGCAAGCGTGCCAACCATGAGCGTATCGAGGTATGGGGAAACAAATTAAATATTGCGTGTAAATTCTTCAAAATCAATATTAATGTAGATATCAGTGATAGAAATGCTAGACTGTCCGAGCACACGTGCTCAAAGAGGCACAAACGACTGAAGTAGCTGAGCGAAGGCAAGTTTAGTTTCTATGGACTGTATTACAGTGAAATCTTGGTATAACGAACTTCAGGGGGCCGCGAAAAATTGTTTGTTATTCTGAAAGGTTGTTATTGTGAAAACCACGAAATTAACCATAATTACTTATTTTCCAATGATTAAAACGTCCTAACTCGTTTTTCACAAAGATGCACAAGTCAACATCAGACAAAGCACATTTATTTAAAGTAGTCGGTGATTTTTTTTTTATGCGTGCAGCACAAAAAACAAAACGCAATAAACTCCGAAAAAAGCCGCGTCTGACAAGGCTGAGAGCACACGCAGAAGTTAAAGTTTTAAAAGTTTGTTAATCTGAAACGTTTGTTAAAGTGGTGTTCGCTGTACCGAGATTTGACTGTACAACTTTCTCTGGCTCACTTTTGCATGCTTTTGTGCTCCTGCATTTAATAGGGATACAGTGTAGACCGCATATAACGTATGTCTCGGGAGTCGCGAAAATCCGCACTATAAGCGGTACCGCGCTATAACCAAAACATCAATTTTTCAGGCCAAAATACATGCCATGAAACAACTTACCTTTGTAAAAGAATTTATTTTTATGTTAGATGAAAAATAAAGCTTAGTTGGAGGAAAGTCTTTATTTCACCAGACTAGTACAGCTCTGTCTCAAGTGTGTCACACATTTTGAAAGAAATGAGCGGCTTTTGCCTGGCGCAGCCTTTTAACGGCGTCGCGAGTTGCGGACGGACGTTGCGAGCGTTCAGGATTGCTAACCCTAATCACTTTTCTCCGGAGATGAAAACGCGTGAAAATTCGCATCCTTCATACGTACGCGCCAGTAATACCTTGAACTTGAGCACACGCATGAAATGCGCCAAATAAGAAATCCGGGCGATGTTCGAGGACACAAATGCTTAGAAATCACCACTGTAGTCGAAGTAAACAAACACGACGACACGGGCGTTTCTGCCGTCTTGAGAGCGCCGCCACGACATCGCCGCACGAGTAGGTGGATCTTCCCTTCTAGTACTACGTGCTGGGTTATCACAGCGACAGACAACGAAAATTCACAGTCAAGGATAGCGCTTTTACGCAGAACGATGAGATGAACGCCGTCTACGACGACGATCACAACAACGCCATGTTTACGGATAGAAGCAGCCGGCCCGCGACCGGAGAGGAGGAGGAGGAGGAGAAGCGTTGTAAGAGAGGTTGGTGGGGAAAGGAGAGAGCATGCAACGCGCGCGAACACTTCTCCTCGACCTGCGATTGGTCTGTCGTTGCGGTTGTTTGTTTCTTTGTTTCCAACGCAGCGGAGGGACGCACGCACGTGAACGACAGGTGCGTGCGTCCCTCCGTCGCTATGGCAACTGAAGCCTCTCTCTTCGCTTCTGCCCGCTTTTTCGAGCAACATCCTTGCCCCGCTAGTGCAGCGTGCGGCTCGCGCCGTCAGCGTCGTTATCTAGTGTCGCACAGGGAAGCGAGCTCGCTGCTCCGGTCGTCGGCGCGGTCGGCGGGCTCTGCCAAAAACCGCACTATAACCGGTATTTCCCTTCGCGCGCCTGCATTTTAAGCGGTATGTAATTACATGGAGTTCTATGGGAGGTGAACCGGTGGTTTAAAAAAACCGCGTTATACCCGGTCCTGCACTATAAGCGGTTACGTTGTAAGTGGTCTATACTGTACTGCAAATTTATAGAAGCGAGGCACAGAAGGTACGAAAGGCATTGTGATTTTGTGCCTTTTGTCTTGACAACTGTTCTTTTGAGTGCCTTTTGTTTCTTTCTTTCTGTCATAGTTTTTTGGCCACTCCTTTGTAAAGCGATTTTAAATCAGTTTCTTTTCTTACAATCTGTGGAGGCATTTAAATTTTCTTTGCAAATGAGTGTTTGCCAAAAAAACAATGTCTCAGTTTTCATGGTTGGACTTTCTGTGTTTCGGTCAAGTGTCGTGCTGACTACTGCATGCCACTGGCTTCTAGTTCTTGGTTTTTGTACTTATACCGTGCGTGAGGCTGCCAAGTCGCACGTTGATGTAAAACACTTACGGTGGGCCAGCTCGACTCCACATAAATGTTTGAGATCAGTCCACTGAAGATTCTTCCATCTTCAGTGGACTGCAGGAAAAAAAAATACATCATCTGTAAAAATGTGCCAACCAGTTATGCTCAGGTCCTGGTTATATACCGTAAAATACCGGAGGAACCCCACCCCACTTTCACGGAAACCTGGATCATTCTAGGCACAGACGCTTGTCCGGTGAAATTGGTCACTTAACGTATAATTGGCAAGTTTGGAACACGTTAATAATGGGCGCTTGACCGAAGTGGACACTTTGCAGTGTTTTTAAGCACATGAAAGGGGAAGCGACTCTCGCGCAACAGCAACCTGCAATGTCAGTGGTTTCGCAGCATCATGTAAAACAGAAGGGAATCATCCGGTGCTTGCATGAAGTTTTTTTGTAAGTTTCTTTGAGGGAAGTTGCAGGCACTTTTTATCGACGGAGCCGCGTTGACAGGTGCACGAATCTTTGCTACCGCTCTTGCGCGTTTTACAAAAGAAGGTCTCGCGGGTCTGCCCTTCGGTTCCGCCGGTCGCGAGGCACTTTTTGCGGAATCTGTTATTAGAAGCGTGCGACAAGACAGTAGCGCCACGGTGCGGCTCCTAGACTAGGCGTTTCGCATAAACCACGGCCAAACTGTCGTAGCCAACTTTAGTTGATAATTATTGTCAGCTTACCTGAGCACATCACTATACAAGACATTTGGGGGCACATTCGCCACTTACTTTTTTACACAAAACCCGGAAATTGAGGAAAAAACAGATCCCCTCCCTGCGCTGGCAAAAAGCGCTGCAATCATCTCAGTCCCAGCACATCCACTCAAATTCACCAGCAAGTGTAGAGCAATCCGATAATAAGAGGAACGAAAAATACTTATCATCTAAATTTGGTCAATTACTGGCACTGGTGACTGTCACCCCGTAGGGATTTCAGAACCGCCGTCGAACACATAGACGCTTTGTAGGGGCATCTTCCAGTGCAGATAAACGAAAAACATTAGTGTTGTGCGAATATTCAAATTTTTGAGTAGTACATGGTAGTTTCGAGTAATACACTATTCTGTATTTGTTTCGAGATGAACTGCAATATTCATGCTTTCCGAAGTGTGGATCGCAGCGGGCTAGCCCTGTGGAGTGCGCTTCTCATTGGGCACTGGTGCACTTCAGGGAAGCAATACCCGCAAAGCCCCCAAGCTCTGCGGGCATTGCTTCCCCGCAGTGCACCGGCGCTTGGCGAGTGTTTCGGTGCTCAGCGCCACAAGAAAGAAATAAGACCGACTTCGTTTCACGGCAAACCACAAAGAATGTCTAATTCCTCGTGGCCTTGCCCCACCACAGGCCCTGCTGCACATGCCACTTTGTGCATGCCTTGCTTATAGAAAGCGGGAAGTTCAAAGGAGGCTCATGCCACATCTCCCCCTTGGGATGAGTTACAGTTTCGACTAGTCTTTAATTATTCACCAAACCGGTGGGGGTGCAAACAGTTTTTGCCAGCCCTCGACACTTGGCAGTGTTGATGGGTGCTCCGTGGGGTGCGCCGTGACGTCCTCGCCGGGTAAGGCAGGTCCGTCAGGAGTGGTCATGTTTGCTGGCCACAACACCAACCCGTCGCATTGCACAGAATGAGCCGAAAATTGGTTGAGGGCTCCTCGGTTGCAGCAAACGTCCCCTCTTCTGGTTCTGGCCCAGTAGGACCTGGGCGTGTCCGCTTGACCTCCCCCGGGCACTTGATGCCCTTCACCCGCATGGTTGATCCACGACTCAGTTTAGGTAGCCGTCGAGTCACAGGGGGGCAGTCGAAGCTCTCCCTTTGGCGCTTTTTGGCTTGACTGTCACGTCTAGTTGCAACATTGTTGTTAACTTGGCCAGGAGCCAGAAGATCTGGTTACACTGGGACCCATGTCCACAGACGTCGCCCCATGAGGACTTCGGCTAGACTCCGCCCTGTAGGACCCGGGGTGTCACGGTATGTGAGCAGAGCCAAGTACAGGTCCTCTGCTTTCTCAAGCAGACTTTTCATCATCAGCACCGTGCGTTCAGCCTCTCCGTTTCCCTGAGGATGATGAGGGCTGCTGGTAGTGTTGTGGAATGTAATTCCGGGCAAACTTTGTGAAAGCATCACAGGAGAACTGCAGTCCATTGTCGCTTACTACTGTTGCAGGTACCCCATGGCATGCAAATATGCTCTTCAGACATTTGATGACAGACTCAGCTTTCGTTGACACATCCGCCGAGAGTATTGTGGGATACGACAGGTTACAGTGAGCCATGCAACGATCTGAACACAGGAGATCCCCAATGCTTTGCAGAGCTGTTTCTTCTGGGGGACCCCTGGTCCACTCCGACGTTTTTCGAAGCAGATCTCTGAGTTGCGCAGTAATTTGTGCTAAGTTTGCAAGAAACCTTGCTAGATGGTCTGCCATTCCAACGGTCCGACAGATGCCGGCAGAATCTTCTATAGCCAGAAGATCTCTGATTGCCTTGACCTTTGCTTTGTCTAGTTGAACACTGGGGCAGGATATAACGCATCCACACTGGGGCAGGATATAATGCATCCAGGGAAGGTAGCTTCCCCTGTGCTTAACTTTGCTTGACTTTGTTGAGGGTGACTCCAGCTTGTTTTAGGCGCTTGAGAGTCTTGTGCAGGTTTGCATCATGCTGGGCTTGGTCCTTGTTGTAGACAAACATATCATCCATGAGGTTCAGAGCCCCGGGCAGTCCGCTCAAGATCTTGGACATGCGTTTTTGGAAGTATTCCGGAGCCGGCGTTATCCCAAAATGTAGTCGTGTGAAGCAACAACGGCCAATTGGGGTGATGTGCATGGTCAGCTCTTGGCACAAGGGAGAGAGACGGATTTGATGGAACCCGCAATTGGCATCCAACTTCGAAAATGCTGCCGCTGCCCCCAACTGGCCAAGCATTTCTTCCGCAGTTGGAAGGACATACCGTAACGCTCTCGTAGGACGGAGGTGTTGAGGCGAGTCAAGTTGATGCAGATCCTTACATCTCCGGAAGGTTTCAGGACAAACAATTCGAGCACTCTAGTCGGTCGGACCTTTGACTGGACAAATGACTCCCAGACCCACCATCTTACTGAGCTCTTGAATCACTGCATCCCTCGACGCTCGACGCTCAGCGAGTAAGGCAACGCTGCTGGGTCTAAACGGATGGTGTACTCTCCTGGAAGTGTCCCAAGGCCGTTGAAGTGTGGAACAAAGCACTTTTCAAGGCATTCTGTGTTGCAAAGAAACTTGATGAGTCTCAAGTCCTCTGTGGCAGGCAATCCAAGAACGGCAGAGTGGAGTTGTTGTACGACGTAAACTTCTTGTCTTGTGGACTTCTCCTTTCATGTCATGACAGCATCAAACTTCCCCAACACCTTCAGGGCAGGTCCACTAGGCTCCGAAAGGACCTCTTCTGCTGAGTGCAGGCCAGGCAATGGCATTCCCGAAAATGTATCTGGGACAGCTAATACCTCCACACCGGTGTAAATCTTTGCAGTCAGTGAAACGTTGTTCACGGTTTTGCCATCTACCAAACTCTTCAACAGCACCAGATGACTGGGGGATTTAAATGCCTTTGGTTCCCCTAGTCATCTTATTACAGACACATGCGTAATGACCCTTGGTCTTGCAGACACGAGCGCACTTTTCAACTCGTGCGGGTACTCGGAACAAGTGTGTCGCAATCCCCCACAATAACCGCACGTGGAGCTTGGTTGTTTTGCTTGGGAGGTTCATTTCGTATTTGAAGAAGATGGGACACTGCGAGGCTTAGATGACGAGCCTTTACTGCGCGCCACTGCGTCCAAGTCGGCGTCTTCAGTTTTGACAGGCGGACGCACTTCATTTGCCTTCGACACCTGCTGCCTGTGAACATACTCTTTCCGTCAAGCCTTAATTGGCAAGCGCAGAAGTTAGAGTGAGCGCAGCCTCTAACTGAAGAGCTTCTGAGAGTGACTTGTCTTGCAGCCCAAGAACAAAGCGGTCACGAATCAGGCGGTCACGCAGGCTTCCGTAGTCGCATCGGTCCGCCATGTTGTAGAGCACGGTCACGTACTGGTCCACTGTTTCAGTGAGCCCCTAAACATGCAGACTCGTATACTATGTTCCTGACTTGAACGAAGTGACTGTCAAATCTCGCTTCCATGGTACCATACTTCTTGGTGTCGGTTAACCCAAAGTTGTTGAAAATTTGTTTACCCTGGCGATCCATGATGTAAAGAGGCGTTCGTACCTGGGTTTCCTCATTCTGTAAGACCAGTCCGGTTGCGTGACGGGAATCGTCAGACTCGGTGATCCACATTGGCCACTCCGAAGCATTCCCAAAGTGGAATGGTTCAGGCGACCTGAGGGCGAGTCTGGCGGCGACGCTTGCCTGAACCATGACTGCGTCGGGTCCGCAACCACAAGGCGAAGCCCGAAGCTTCTGAGGCGGCAGGATCCCACTTCTGACACCACGTCTTGGTGTTTAGCGGCACCCACAAGAAATGCGATTGACTCCATGTCGTGGCAAACCGAAAAGAATGTTTAATACCTCGTGGCCCTGCTCCACCGCGGGCCCCAATGCACGCGTCACTTTGTGCGTGCCTCGCTTATAGAAAGTGGGAACTTCATAGGAGGCTCATGCCACAGTGAAAAGCGCACTCAGTGGGGCTAACTTGTAGCTCTCGACACGAAGAGGGACGGACCCCTTCGCACGGCGTTCGAAGGCGCTCTCCCAGGTGCAATTGCATGCCTCGTGGCCTTGAAAGCGTGTGGGCATGTCGTGCTACACCATCTGTTAGGAGTTGGAGCAAAGCTTTGACACGCTCGCTTTGTAGCGAGGCAGTGCCATGTAGATGCCCCTTTCTTCGACCGTGGCTACAGTAGAAGAAAAAAGAGACAAGCTTATCGGGAATGTAAGAAATGGCAGAAGCAGCAGTAAGAGCCTTATGAAGAGACCCCACAGACGATTCTGTGCGTACCAGCCTTTGTCAGCATGATCAAGCTTGTTTTTGTTGAAAAGCTTGCTACTGAACGTAGTTATATTTGAGAAGCAAAAAGCATAATGCTCTGGCTAAACTTTTTTTTTTTTTTCTAATATAAAGTGGAACAATGTATTTGTATGTAGCGAGCAGATTTATAAATCCCCTCAATTAGGATAACTGCGACAAATCTGTCATTTACATGCCATGGTTCAATTAAAATAACTGAGCTTAGAAGTGGACAAGTGGAAGGCTGGGAAGTACCTTCATGAGTTCAGTTGAAGATTCGTTTAGGCATGGGTCACAGTACTGAAAATCCGAAAAACTATTCAATATTCGATTAGAAGATATTCTACCAGGGCCACTATTCGCTTTAAATTCGCTTTGAACTCAAAAATCACTATTCGCACATTACTAAAAAAACGTGCACGGCGGTATGCCACCCCTGTTGCCACTCACAACTGCGGGACACACAATCAAACCCGAGCTTCGAGCGACTCCCGCGGGTTGAATGACGGAAAGCAGATACAGAGCAACGCGTGGGTAGATATTGAATGTCAAGGTGCCAAATCTTTACTAGGTCGAGAGATACGGCCGCGGGAAGGCGCAGAAGCGGCGAAGACGCTGTGGGCGCATCAGAATAGGATGTAGCAGGCGGCACTTCGCTTTGTGGCGTAACGCCAACGCTGTCTCTGGTGGCGGTGTCAACCAGCTGCCAAGGCAAAGCGGTGCAACCCCTATAGGTGTTGCACGCTCCCGATAGTTTACCGACGGCTTAGAAAAGAAGGGCCAATGGGATGGTGGCATTAGAGAATGCCAAAGAACGTGTCACAAAGTAGGAAATGCAAACGTAATCAGTAGGGTTCCGTGTTTTTGATAAGTGCCGATAAACCCCGGAAAATAACCCCCCCGAGCCCATTCTATCGAAATCGGGGAAAACTTAACAACCCTTAACTGGAGCTGCCCTCGAACAAGAACAGCCCGAGTTGCACCAGAAGAAATCTTTGTCTGCAGCTTTATTTCATGTTCACCCAGAACACGAACCTCACCAAACCGTCTGCGAGCCTGCCCCTTTCTCCAGGAACAACACCCATTATCCTGTTTCCATTTCCAAGTATTCGGGTCGTTCTCATGATCCCTGACGGCCAGAGGGTCCCTCGCCCACGTCCCGCTTTCTTCGATGTATGCCCGGATAAATGCAGATTTTTTGCGCAGCACCAAAAGCTGACGTTGAAAAACAAAATAAAGCTGCGGGCAAGGATTTCTTCCGGCGAAAGTGCGCTTTTTTTTATTTGACGACAGCTCTAGTTTGGCGTTTTTGGAGCCTTTGATCTAGGTGCCGCCTTAGCATCACTAAACAAAAAAAACAAAAATCTGACGTTTGTCTTTATATTGTGGAAGGTCGGCCTGCCTTTGAGGTGCGGCGATGCTGGTTTACACCGTAGATCAGAAACTTAGCCAGTGCAGTACCAGTGCCAGCCTGGAGACCCCAGCATGAACCACGCAGTAGTGACGCACGACTGCACTCCAGTACGGCGCTCATCCGGACCGAAAAGGGTGGGGATCGAACCCAGGATGCCTGGGTTCCGCAGCACAAACTTTCTTTCCACATGCTTCGAACTGGTGTGTGCTAGTTCACTCGGCCACTGGTCCCCCATTTGGCATCTCTGACAATGTCTCCCGTCTCCTGGCGAAACATCCGATTAATTAATAGTTTAGTTTTAAGTTCGAGCGGGTTTGTTTCATTGTGAGGGGTGGTGTCGTGCCAGGTGTGCGTGGCGGGCGTGGAGCGAGTGTGCCCCCCGCTGGTGTGGCTGCGCCTGGAGCCCGGTGGGGAGCAACTGGTGGTGCCCCTGCGCTCGCACCAGCTCTTCCCCGTGGGCTGGTGCGCCTCCAACGGGTTCCCCCTGCGGGCCCCCAGGGACTACCAGCGGCCGCAGCCTTCCGCCACCACCAAGGAGGCCTCCAGGTGAGAGGGGCTCCCCTCCCTCTGCCTTGGCCAAGAGGTGTTTTGGTTTCCTTAATGCAGTTTATTGTCCGTTGCTGGGGTGGTCTGCACGGGTGTTTCGACTGGCAGGCGAAATGGGGACTCTGGAGCCACGTGACCGGCTATGCGAGGAGGAAGTGCCTAACAATTAAGTTGATTCCGCTCGGCAGATATACGCTGTGTCTGGCATTTTCTTTAATCCTTGCTTAACGTAACTTTCCCGAAAAGTAACTTTATGTGTTGCTCCTAAAGTGCACGAATGCTTTTCGTTTCGCTTACAATTCAGGCTCGTTCGCCCTCTTTCTGCACACAAAATCAAACTTTATAATAATCGAAGCAAGGACGAGCTTACGGCTGTCGTTTGCCGGTAATGTTAGGTATCCTTAGTTTCTCGTCCCCACAGAGCCGATGACGTGATCTCAAAATCCCTCTTGAGGAGAAGTTTGCCGCTGGGCAAGATGGCCACAGTGGTCCAGTTCTGGGGTCCAATTTTGGTCACCGCAAGAGCGAGATCTCATTTGTTTTTTACAGAATGAGCTAAGATATCATTCGCAGACGATTTGTCTGCTAATGCAAACAAAAAATGGGGTTTGTCCGCTTCAAAGTGTCATTCTCAGATCAAAATAAAACGAGAAAACAACATGCATTGTCTGCTGAGGAAAAAAAAAAATTACGCAGGCTTGATCATGCTGGAATGTGTCCTACACAAACCACACTCCGGTTTGGGCTAGATATTTAATTCTTTTTATCATCCATTTTTTTTAATAAATTTTAGAGCGCAGCTCTTAGGGGCCCGTTCCCGGCTTGAGCGGCGTCGACGTAACCAAGGTCATCCCAAGGTCACGTGACCCCTCCCCCAGGGTTACGTGACCCCCAAGGTCACGTGACACCCAAAGTCACGTGACCCCCAAGGTCACGTGACCCCCCCTTGAGGTCACGTGACCTCCCCGCCAAGGTCATGTGACCTCCCCGATGACGTCATCGTCACTGATGACATCACCGGCATCCGCATCGTCATCGTCATCATCACTGATGACGTCACCGACATCTGCATCGTCATCGTCATCATCGCTGATGACGTCATCGGAGTCCGCATCGTCATCGTCACTGATGACGTCATCAGTGACGTCACTGATGACATCATCGGCATCGTCACGTGACCCCCCCCCCCCAGGTTATTTCACCCCCCCCCCCCAGTACCCTTCCCTCCTCCTCCTCAAGAGCTGCACTCTAATTCGGTGTTACAGGGAGTTGTAAACGGCTTTCACTTTTTTCTTCATTTTTTACATTAATTTTGTGTTTTCTTTTTTTTTCTTTATTATAGTTTTATTGATTGATTTTATTTATTTCGTTTTTAATTATTTAATTTTTATTTATTGTTTGATTTTTTCCTTATTTGTTGTTTTTATTCCTTATTTATTAATTATATTTATTTATTTAATTTTTATTAATTTATTTATTTATTTTTTATATTTTCAATTTTTATTTTAGTAACTATTTCCATTCAAAACCTGCCATTGGCACTTTTGTATGCAAATAAAATCATTAGCCCATCTATACTAGCTTGGTGGCAGAGCCATATATGGAGAGAGTTTGGCCATTCATTGGGCATCATTGGCCAAAACGCGGGCTGGACGTGTTCCAAGGCGTCTTCAAAAAATCGAATGTGGCCAACCAGAAGCCGGAAATAATACCCTGGAGGTGGTCGCAAGGAACAAACTTAATAAGTGCATTGGAGTAACTCTCAGTGACTGAAAATATGGTGCACGTGATGTTTCAATCACGGTCATCCAAAATCACGGTGGAAGAGTGCGACTAGTGGAACGATCAATATAATCCGTACGCCAGGCACCGAGAGCCGCGAATCTGCCGTCCGAGCGGTCACACTCTGTCCGAGCAAAACAGAGTTGAGCGGGACATTCGTTACTTACATCTTTCTACATGATCATGATCGAAACATCACTTGAACCCTATTTTCAACCATGAAGGGTTACTACATTTAACCTTTATGCTTTTATTAAAACTGTTTCTCGCTACCACTGCTAGCGGATTCTTTTCAGCTTCTGGTTGGCCAAGAGAGCATGCCAAGCCCTCTATCTGCATCTAGTGCACGCCCTGGCTCTGCCCACTCCTGCCATTGACTAAACTCGTTCTATACACGGCTCTGCTTGGTGGCTATAGCATCCGACTGCCATCGCACCTACGCAAGATCGAGCCTCTCCAGGGGCTCGAATTTTATATATCTTTATATAGATAGAACCTTAACATCTGTAGCTCTTCCAGCGTGTCGCCAGTTATGATGCTCGTTCACGACTATTTTCTTATAGAAAACACCGCTAAGACACATCTGCCTTAAAAGTGGGTTGTCTGCTACAAAGCAAGTGCTACAGCGAGGTGAGATAACAAGCAGACTGAAATTGTGATTGTCTGCTATTTCGCGTTTGAAGCAATGGACAACCCGTGTTTCCTTTGCAACACTTCAAGTTGTTTTGCTGCTGTAGACGCGCAAAAATTTACCGGAGGATAAAGGGATAAGCATATCAGAGGTCACGGGACCTCTTTCATCATCTATGCCAGGGGTGGCCAAGCTGCGGCTCGCGCGGCTCTTCCCATGTTACTGTGCGGCTCGCGGCTCCCTCCCCAGCCTTCTTCCCCCCCTCCCTGCCGGTCACATGAGCACGTCCCCAAAACGAGAAATGGAACGCGTTTTAAATCTAAAGGCAGGTTGCGGTTTGGTAGTCTTGTGCTACTGCCTTACATACAGTTAAACTGCTTTTGACTCGGATAGACTGAAAGAAGTTCGAGTTCCGTTTATTGCTATTTACAAAAATTTGTCCCCCCCCGCGGCTCTTGAAAGTTTCGTAACTTTGTTTGCGACTCTGAGGCATGGTCAGCCTGGCCACCCCTGATCTATGCTGAGACGCTCTCACCGAGGTATTGCCCAACCATGGACTTGGAACAAACAGCTCGAACATTTTTCATTGGTCACTAAACCGCTCGCTGAGCAAAAAGCTGCGATGCCACGTCCAATCAGCAGCCAAGAAAACTCTCACTTTCGCTGGGGACCAAAATGAGACCCCTGACGTATAGCCCCCACCTCTGGACCATACACCACTTTTGGTCCGTAGTCGACAGGTGGGTGGCAGAAAAACAATTTTCTTAGGTAGACTGTGCTTCTTAAAATTTTCGCAAGAATGCTGTTTTGTAGAAACTGCAACATGATGTCTAGAATGCCTTCATACCCGTTAAAGTTTTCATGGAGTGTTTGCTGGCAGCTCAGGTGCATTTGTGCCGTGTGCACAAATGCATCGAGGTTGCTGATGAACTCGCTCGATCAAGATGTTGGGCAGGCAGGTCAGTTATGGTTGTCATGAGCATAGATCTTTTTTCTCCCAGTTAGTCTCAGTGTTAGCAAGCAAATACTCGCAAGAGACCGGAAAAATTTAGGGGATTTAGAAACGTAATTTTAGTAGGCATCCTGCGTTAGCATGCCCAAGTGATGATGCTAGTGTTTTCATGCAGAATGAATCTAAAGCAGATCAAGTACTCACTTTGGAGGTGGTACTAACTTGCTACTTTGCACTTATCAGAACCTTGCCAGTAATCTGGGCCCACCGGTAGCACCTGTGTCTGCCTACATACTCAGCTGTTCTGAGGCAGCCAAAATGCAAGGGGGAGATGGCAGACCTGTTTCTCTAGATTTATTAGATGAATTCTGTGGATGGCAACAAACAAAACAAAAAGACGGGTAAAAAAAATTTCCCAACCTGCCCAATTATTTTTTTTTTTTTTTCAAGTGTTTCTGACAATGTGTTTTCAGTGTCAAAAGACTATATATCATACTTCTTTGTCGAATATGCTGTCATTTGGCACGACTCCCTCTGAGCATATTTTAAGACACTGGCAGTATTCGCTCAAATTATGAGATAATTGAAAAAATAAAAAATATATCGAGGCCATGTGCACGTGCATGTTGAGCATTCTTTACTATATTGAATGCGCTATGACATGAATGCTCAATTACTTGCCTCAAAGTCAAGGTCAGCCAACATAACTCTTGCATCAGTGAATGCGATTCCTTCGACTCGATGTCAGACGCTTGGGTAGCCATCTCGACGGGATGTCTTTTTTTTCTTGCAGCACCGAAAAGGGAGACACAAAGGACGTCCGGCCCGGTAAGAGCTCCTTCTTGAACGTTTGGAAAAAACAAACTTAGCGAGAGGTTTGCAGAAATCCTCACAACAAAGGTTTCCAGTAGGGCGCATGTCCTCGATCGGCGCGTTTACCGCTTCCTCAAACGCGTTCCCACAGTTTGCCTCCCCCCCCGACAACGTCGTAGAAGTGTCTCGCGCCGTCGCCTGCCACGACCCTGGCAGGAGAAACAGACGTGACAAACGCTTCTTTCGCTGTAGCTTGCTCTTGGCTCAACAGTCCGTGGCAGGTTCATGGAGCACCGAGTCGGGACGCCCCGACAACGACACCGCCGGTATTCGCTTGCCTTTCTCGGAACATCTATAACCGAATGCCAGGATCGCGACATCCGACAGCACTGCTCACCGGCCGTTTTATTTTTGGTTCTGTGCCCTTTGATCAACTTGTACGATGTGTAAAACTAAAACCTTTCTCCATCTCTTTAGTTGTCAGCGCACTATTGCAGGGGGCCGGGGACCTGTCCAGCTGTCTCGCGGCTTTTTTGCCCGGCCTCCCCTTAGGTGTTCGAGGGCCGTGCGGCCCTCGAAAGCAGGTGGCGACGGAGCACTAAAATAAGCGTCCCCCAGTGGCAAACGGCGACGCCGCACCGAAACGACCGTTCCTCTGAAGCAAACGGCAGCGCAGCGCTCGCTCGTGGCACGTATCCCGCCCAACGGCGGTCATCGATACCTCTAACGAATGTGAAGTGTGAATGCCATGAAGGGGCTTTGATCGTACTGCCGCAAAACCTGACCGGGAGGGGACCCCCGGTGTCGCAGGGGCGGGCCGGTCGTCCTGGTGCCCCTGCATCTTCCTGAACCACCGCTGCTTCTCGGGGCCCTTCCTGTCCAAGGGCCGGCTGGCCGAGCTGCCCCGCCAGATCGGTCCCGGCCCCGTTGCCCTGGTGCTCCGGGAGGTGCTGAGCCAGATCATCAGCGTGGCCTACAAGTCCACCCGGGTGCTGGGAGAGCTCCAGCTCAAGGGGCCCCCCGACCCCAAGATGCAGCAGCAGCTGCTCAAGGCCAAGTGAGGAACGCCGGGCCCCCGCCGCTCCCCGATTGCGAGTCCGCGAAGCCTGTGGGGCACTCCGCGAAATCTCGGAAAGGCATCTTCGCGTCTCGCTTAGTGCACTCGAATTTCGCGGGTGGTGGTCTTTGACGAGATGGGTTCGAAACAAAATTGAGTTGTTGTCGTGAGCTCAGATTTTATCTTTGTAAGACTGCGCCGGGCTCCATCGAAAAAATGAAATCGTGTCCGAAACTCGAAACTTTGTGAAAATTTGAGGTGAGCAGTGGAGAATGCGAAAGTTTGAGAAGATGACGCTACCCGGATGAGAGGAAAACAAAACTTTGCTACGAGCCGATGTACACCTATGCCTAATATCTGTCGAACCAGTAAGTGACATCTTAAGTACCCGTAGCATTTATGTCGGTAAAAACATCTTTTCTGCATAAAAATAAATTGTCATGCTGTGGTGAGAATTTCTCTCACTGTTGCCCTTGGGTTCCTTTTGTCCTTTTTACAAAAAGGATACCGATAGTGGGTTAAGGTGGGTGGAGGAGGGAGATGCTAACGCTGTCGAGTACGTAACACCACAGTCCTTGGATTACCCTGTCAGGAATCTTTTCACCATCACGCTATGGGAAAGTTTAGCCTGGGGTCAGTTGAAGTGCCTGGGGCACGCGATCAACATTAGGAGTCAACCGGTTTTATTGCTCAGAACGGATAGACGGGGTTTTGAGAGGCCATCGTAGAGAAAGTCGCTGGATGTAGGTACTCCTTCTTAGAACCGACGGACCTGTCAAAAAGACGAATGATTGGAAGCACAATCTACATTTGAGACCTAAGGTTTGTATTATTTCTGAATAATTGAAATGCTATGTGAAGAAAGCTACGTCTCCGCTTTTAGGAGATAGCAGAACTTTTCCAAATGTCTTTTTTCTAATAGAGATTTTAATACTTTTTTTTTACCTTTTTTTAATATTAACTTGCATCAGGGCCACTTGTGGTGACAAAATTTCCCGGGGCGGAAACTACCGAAGTTTCCAGACCTTTCTAAGGACTGTAGTAATTCCACTGAAACTTGTGTATAATACAATCTGGCATATGTTAGGTGGACCTTTATCACATTTGTTTGTACGTTCATATGAAAAGATTGGAGAAACTTGAGTCTAAATCCGGCGCGTGAAAAGCACAGTCCGCTATACGGTTACGTAGATCACCGTCAGGCTTCACCACGTGGCAGAAGCTTGGGATAAAAGTGTTTTTTGCTTTCAGTTAACATGGTGGAATTGCACCGACTGAGTGCGATTTCACGATGGTGGAATTCTACATTCTAATCTACATTTTTAACACAGATTATGTTTATGTCTTCGACTTGGCAAGTTTTGACACTACGCTGTGCGAGCTGTGACCTTTGACATTTGCTGCAAAGTTAAATGGGGGAGGTTCTTGCTAAATTTAGTGGTGAAGTTTCTAGCTAAATATGACGGGAAAGTTCAAATGGCTCTGGCTGGGGGCATAGTTAAACACCAAGTCATCTGGTAGATATATAGTCAATGTAAACTATTTTGTAATATGTTGTCGAGGCAAGTCTAGCGGTCTAGCGTAGATTCCACAGTGCACCTTTGCACGAGATTCAGTGCAAATGAGATGCAAGGCAAGGCCACATGCTCTCACAGCAGTGTGAGACGGCAGCACCGTGGAAGCAAAGCCAGCCACGATAATGAAACACAGAATAGTTGACTCCGAGTATACTAGTTTTAATGTCAATTTTTATGCACAAACATATTCAACGATTCACTTAGCCAGTGGTCCTCAAATGGGGGTCTGCAGACCCTCTGAGGTCCTCAAAGGCCTTTTTTGCGGTCCATATGAGAAGATTGTTGAGCTGAGCTATAAAACTGATTTTATATCGACGCTTGCCATCTTGCAAAGCTGAATACAGACCGAACTGCGTACGCTGAGTCGGCAGGGTCGATTATTTTCCGTTTCAAAGCTTTGAAGCGTGTTTGCGCGCAATCAGTTTCCATTTACCCTTTTGCCATCGTTGTTGCCCCTCCCCCCAGTGGGTAAGGTCCCTCGACACTTCCACGGATCTGAGAGGGGTCCACGAAGCGTCGATGGTCAAGAACCACCGCACCGGTCCTTTGCTAGGTACAGAAGAAGGGAATGCAAGTTCCCTCTCACGCGCGATACGTAGAATAAATAAAATTTGAATGCAAAGTTTGCATCGTGGCCCCTGTAATCGGGCCGTCTCTCAGAGTCCTCTGACGACACGGGAACGAGGCGTGGCAACACCTGCGGCATCTCGGGGGGTCCCTCCCCTCCGCAGGTACCGGGGGCGCACGTACCGGGCGGTGGTGGAGACGGTGCGGTGCAGCAGCCAGCTGGAGCCCTTCTGCCGCGGCGTGTGCGCCAAGCTGCAGTGCTGCCCCAACCTGTTCGGCCCGCGCTGCTACGGCGACGAGGGCTGCCCCGAAAACTGCGCCAGCCTCACCAAGACCCGCTACGGTGGGCGTGCCCTCTTCCGTTTGCACGAAGCCCTCCAAGGGCGAGAGCTTCCTTCGTTGCCGATCGGACGTTTGGGCGAGCGTTATCGACCAGCGAGGGGCGTTTGAAGCGCTCGCGAGTCTGTAGTCGGGCGATATTGTCTCGAATGACGGGTTGACTACACAAAGAACAATCGAGGAAACCGAAACGTTTAATGTGCCGAGCTTGTGCCAAACCAAAAAGAAAACGGAAGGTAATGACGGAGCGTCGCGGACGTCGAAGTTGGCGCAGCAGCAGGTTCAAACATAAGAGCGAGACCGATCTTGGACCGCTTCACGGAGCACTTTTTGAACCCACGTGGGATTCTGGAACGTTCGGCGTAGGACTTTCGGCGCATGGAACATTTGTACCTCAATCGGACGAGGTTCTTGAACTTGCGAGAACGCTGAATCGATAGAACAAAGAAAAAAAGCGTTAGCTCCCAGGAATTGAACCTGAGGCCTCCACGTGAAAAACAAAAAAACTTCTCGCCGACGGACGGATGGCGAGAGGTCCCGCAGCTACCGACGTGCCCATTGCGAGCGCCTTTGTTCGTCGGTGGACGTTGGCTGCTGCGTGGCAACAGAATCTATGGAATTTCCGAAGGTAGAACGGCGATAAGAGCGGAAGGAGAAAACGGGGGTTAACTGAAGCAACACGCCTCATCCAGTTACAACTATGAAAGAAGCGTGGGTCGTCGACCGCGTCCTTCGTGAAATGGCGAACGATCACGATTTTGGCATGCGTTCAATGCCACTTTGCCGTGACACTCAGTTTGTAGCGGATTATCGACTTCTGTTGGTTACATTAGTGGATGACGCGGAGGTGTTTTCTCGTTGTATTCATCCGAGCATGACATCTTATATAACTCTGTTCAGCCTTAAGCACCAAAGCTACAAGCGCGAGCTAGCTCGCATTCCTGGCTTTGAGACGTGCATTCCTAGCGCGAGTGCTCATTCTGCAGAAGAGCGCTTCAAAGCAGCGACCTCAAGCTCTCGTGCTTGTGGTACATTCTGCAGTCTCAGTTCAAGGGTGAACGGAGGGAGTACAGCAAGCCAATCCGCGTTTTCACCCATGTTAGCAGATGAGTCATGTGCTCAAGCTATAGTATCTCGTCTCGCTCGGTGACAGCCAAATTCGATCTCACGTTCGCTCTTGCAGACACCACAACCGAGCCCGTGATGTGTGGATTTTTGATGCAAAACTATCTGAGCCCGTGGTGAGGCAATTAACTCGTGAAACGTAAGATTTACATCATCGCCGGAGAGCATGAGCAGCAGTACCGCGGCGCGCACACATGAGTGTGTCCCCAGCGGAGGTAGTGAAAGCGTTCCACATTTTTGCCACATGCTCTTAACTTTGCCGCCTGTGGACCAAGTTTGAAAATGTAAGCACGAATCGATTTGTCTCTTCGAACTGCATTTGATGAACCAAAGTGTTTCAAGAAGTTTCAATATCTTTTTAAAGAGTAATCAAATGTTTTCAAATCGGGATAAAGCAAACCTTTTATTCTGAAATGCCCAGACAGGCGGAGCCAGTATTTTTTTGCACGACATCCGTCAAGAGTACTCTCCGGAATACCGTTAGCGCATACGCGACATTGCCTGGTTTTTTTTGTTTTTTTGTTAGTATCGAAGGACTGTCATCATAACTACCATAGTGGTGGAAAGTGCTCAGTTAGGGTACTGACTAGGGTGACCAGGAGCCCTAATCTACACAGCGGAACCAGGGAACCGAGACATCGCCGCCTGCTGCGATAGGCCAGCTCCGCATTGTTGACCAATTGCAGCAGACGGCAATGTCCCCCGGTCTCTTGGTCCTGCCATGTAGATTAGGGCCCCAGAAGTCCCCCTTTTGCCGGGACAGCCCCATTTTAGAGGTGCATTTCTGTCGTCCCGTCATTCTTCACATGAAACATTCTTTGGCTGGTCACTCCGGATATCGTGAAGCCGCACTCTGCAAAGCCGTGGTCTGTTACGTCCCATAATGCAAAACTGTGCATGTTGCATTATGGGACGTTACAGACCTACACACCAATGTAGTTTCTCTGCTAAATTTAGCGGGGCAATCGACATACCGTGACCTATATGGCAATTTAGTTCCTCTAAATTTAGCGGGAAAATTGACGTCATGTGACCTAATGTCACATGATGCCAGAGCGTTTCACGTATGTGACACAATTGCCCAGCGATTTGCCATACAATTGTGACCTACATTCTGTTTGACCATAACTTGGTAAATGGCCAAAGCTATGGCCCTAGCGAACCGACTGGAGCATCGGCGTGAGGCCAGTGACAACGTGTCGTTGGAGTGTGACGCAGTTATCGTTACACGTTGCCCTGTTACCCGTCCGCCTGGCAACAGAAAGTGCTCGGCAAAATGTATCGCAGCTCGGGCAGCCTGGTTCAGAGCACTCTCGTTTGGTTTCGGTGCTGTCCCGCTGACTGCCAAGCTAACGCGGCGCTCTCTCTCGTGCAGCTTACCAGTTTGTGCGCAAGCGTCACCGGCGGCACCTGGCCTTGCGGAAGCCCAAGCAGCCCGACAAAGAGGAGGCACCCCCTGCACCGGTGGGTGCTTCCTGGTCTGGCTTGTGGGCTCGCGTTGCCAAGAGCCCCCGACCTGTAAGGCCGGTTAACGCGTGCGGTAGAGCACTAAATCAAAGCAATTTTTAAATGCCGCTATTTTTTTTTTGTAATGTTTTGTTCTTATGTTCTAATTAATTGCCTATTTCGTACTTTAATGCAAAAGCATTAACTGTCTCATGGAGCAAGCTGACGTCATCAGTTGAAGCGCGAAAACGGCATCTAGTTTCCTTCGGTTCCATTGGCTGGCGCGCGTCGACGGGGCTCCCATCAGCCGCTGCACTCCTCAGTTTCCAGGACTGCTCACCCCATGGCGCTGCGTGTCCATCAGCGCGCCGTTGCTCCCCTGGGCACAGAGCGTCGAAGGTCACCGTGCCCAGGAGATTACACACGCTGATCGGCGACGAAAAGTGTGCAGCAGACGAAAAAGGGAGCGGACGAGCAGCTTGCATGCTTTCGCTTTCACAGCTCATAAGAAATGCAGCGATGGAAGTGCTGCACCATTGGCGCCAAATCGTGTCATGAACGAAAGTCTGCTACATCTTACGCCAAAGTGCCGGTTTTGCTAAAAATTGTGCCACACCTGCGCCAAAATGGGCGAAGCAACAAAAAATAAAATCACGAGCCATTCCACTCTGTGATGGTAGATGACTAGCAAAGCTGTTCAGCACACGACACAGACATGACACAGAATTTTGAACAGAGGTATGAACGCATTACTTGTCTCGATCGGTGGTCGTCGTGACGAAAGGTACGCACTCACATGTGGAGGACTAACACCGCCTTGAGGAGCCGGAGGAAACTAGACACACGCAATGGGAACACCACCCTGCAAAAAGTAGACACGCACGACAGGACCGCCACCCCGCGGACGGAGACTAGGCATGCAAGCGCTTGGAACAACGACAAAGAGAGAGCGGTGCGAGCGTAGACATGACCCGAGTTTTTGTTGTTGCACACGAAAAATGCTCGGAGCCCTAGCCACAAACAGCTTCGCTCTAATGTATATATATTGGTCGATTTTATATATTTAGAGAAGTAAGAGGAAAGGAAAATGGAACAAATATGTATTTCAGAGCGTCTCTATTCCACGTATATTTTGTTTTATATCAGGTCAGCGTACAGTCGAAGGCTTGAACACGTACAACCACAAGCAGATACTAAAAGCGCAAGACGCGGGCCATTCGCTGCACTTGAATCGTTTAGTCGATGAAAGACCATGCACTGGAAGATGGACGAATGTCATGATGTCGCGCTAGTGACGCTGGTTGGTCCCCTTAACTCGCAGAAGCGGCTGCTCTTTAAATTGAGGTGAAACAAAGTATTGAGATTGTTCGTCAACCGTGCTGGTTGCTTGATGCGCTGGCGGATTGATTGCCGACAACCTCTAAATTTCCAGATTATGTCGGCGATGTACGGAGCTGAACGTTGCTAAAAAGCATTGCCACATTGTAGGATGGCGGCTACTGCGATAAGAAGGAAACCAGGGTCTTGTACTCCCGATGAGATCACTTGATTATCGTGTCTGCCGCATGCATCCGTGCCGCCTCTCACCAGTGCGCGCGTTTCGAGCTTCACCGCTTTGCACCGGAGTGCTAATTGCAGCGGCTGACATGGGTGAGCGCCTGGGTTAGCGCGATAGGCTCAGTACTATTCCAACTCTTTTTTTCTTTGCCTTTGTAGTAAGTCGATGTCCCAAATTAAAAATCTGCGCTAGGAAAAAAGGAACGGTTGTCTATATTTGAACAAATTGTAGTCAAGGTTGTTCCCTTGCGGCGGTCGATCGAAAGAACAGCAAACTTTGACCTCACTATGGTTCGAACGCCGCTATGGAGCAGTGTCACTTGTACAAGTGTAGTTTTTCATAATGTTTGTGGGTGGTTGTTTTGGCAGTTTGTAATATTATTCTTGAGCTTGGTAGGTTCGCGAAACTTGGGCTGACGCAGTTTTGATGATAGACGAGCAGGTTTTTGTAAACATTTTACAGAACCTATACGTATACACAGGCTCAATAATCTACCGGCTGTTAAAGTGCGAGGGGAGAGAAGCTTTATCCCAACCGAAGTGTTGTGCCATGAGTTTAGTACCCATTGTAATTGGAACCTTCTCTGACTAGAGCCTTATTTCTAAAAACAAGGATTTGTGTTCTTTTGGTGCCCTACAGTATATCTATTCTTATTAGGAAAGGTAAAAAGTAATATGCTTCAGTATCAAAGAAGAACCCTTAGTCATTATCAAAGATGAACTCATTTAGCGATGCAATCACGTTTTAATTTTCAAGTGATGTGCTAACAGATGTTGGCGTCTGCTCCAAAAGAATCAGTGACTGCTCCAAACCAATGTTCTGCCAGCTACAGAACCTGCTACAAAAGGCCAAATGCCGTTTCCATCACTGGAAATGCTCAGATGTACCTCAGTCTTTTTCCTCGTTCACCCCATCACCCGATCGAGTTTTCTTTCTGAACTTCAAATTTATAATAAAGACAATATTCTATTGTGCCGTACATTGCTTTGATCATCAAACCACGTAGGCGACTCTTTTTCTAGAGAAATTTCTCCTTGAAACACATAGTTCTGCTTGTCCCTTTCACTTTAGTGCTTGGGGTCATTATTGGTGGTGCGACTTAAGATTTGAAGGTAAACGTTCGGCAGCCCTCTGCCTGGTTAGGAGTACACATGAAGCGAAAAATAGGGACTCTAACCAAAAATTTAATAAACATTTACCCGACGTTTCGGGACCAGTTCGGTCCCTTGCTCACGGGTGAGTGACGAAAAGAAAAAAACACGTGTCGTCTAAGTGCACATACGGATGTAGGGGGCTTTGCTCACGTCGCGCAGTCCCGAGACGTAGCTGCTGGGCAGGGAGCCCGAAGAACGATTCACGTTCCCCTTTGTGCGCTGGATAAACCAGGACTCAACGAAGAGCCGCTTTCGCCAATTCTTCTCCAAGGCCAGCACGGTGCTTCCCTCGAAGTCGACAGTGTGGCCGGCTGCTTCTGCGTGCTCCGCGAGGGCGCTCGCCTCCACACCCTTCTTCCGGACATCATATCTGGTTTATTCTTCGGATACTCGAGAAATCAAGGCATCCACCCCTAGGGCGCAGCAGTCCCCCTTCCGTTCGCGTCTGTGTCCCCTACATTGGCCGCACCAGCGAGACCCTTCCCCCGTCCTCGGTCGCTACGGGATTGCGGTGACTCATAAGCCTGTGTCGACAATCGGTCATCGCCTCCCCCTCCCAAAGGATCGGCCCCCCAAAGAAAGGGCCCAAGGCTTGGTCTACCGCATACCATGCAAGGATTGCCCGGCCTCATTCGTTGGCGAAAGTAAGAACTTCGCAGAGAGGCTTACGCGACACAGATATGATGTCCGGAAGAAGGATGTGGAGGCGAGCGCCCTCGCGGAGCACGCAGAAGCAGCCGGCCACACTGTCGACTTCGAGGGAAGCACCGTGCTGGCCTTGGAGAAGAATTGGCGAAAGCGGCTCTTCGTTGAGTCCTGGTTTATCCAGCGCACAAAGGGGAACGTGAATCGTTCTTCGGGCTCTCTGCCCAGCAGCTACGTCTCGGGACTGCGCGACGTGAGCAAAGCCCCCTACATCCGTATGTGCACTTAGACGACACGTGTTCTTTTCTTTTCGTCACTCACCCGTGAGCAAGGGACCGAACTGGTCCCGAAACGTCGGGTAAATGTTTATTAAATTTTTGGTTAGAGTCCCTATTTTTCGCTTCACGACTTAAGATTGTTCACTAATGTGTATCTATGCTTGATGCAACTAACCTGAAGCAGCAACAGCAACAGCAGCAGCAGCAACAACAGCAACAACAAGAAGGGGCCTCTGAGGACGAGGATTCCCCGGTGGAATGTGCCCCAGTACGGACGACAAAAGCACCCGTGGGGCGTCCCAGGAAGCGGCCGCTGCCATCCCGTTCGGTCAGCCCGCAGGACTCCCCGGATAACAACCCCAAGTCCCAGGTGGGTGCTGCCCTTGTGCACTAGACCTTCAAGCATTTCGCCTTTACAAGCATCTCTAATAGTTGCGGTAGTCAGATACAAGATAAGAAAGACTGTGCAAGGGGGAAAAGGGCTCTCCACTTCAGCTTTTCTAGTTTTCTCCCTTTTCCCCCTTGCACTGTCTTTCTGGTGTTGTGTCTGGTTATCATATTAGCCCGAGTCATCGCCCATTCCCGGGTCATCGCCCATTCCCGGGTCGTCGGGCGAATATCGATTTCCAAAAAAATACCGCCCCAAACCTTGCAGTTGGAGGATGTCCGTGACAAAGTAGAACGAAGGAGGGAAAAACACTTCTCTTTGTTTCCGGATTTCCTCCCCGATTTCCGCAGCCCCAAATTCAGAGTACATCCGTGCAAAAGGAAAGCGAGGGAGACGACAAAATGAAACTTTGTTTTGCTTACAAAAAAGCTTGTTTGTACAAAAAAAAACAAATCTGAAAGATACCTAACAGAAGCACTAACCCATTCAGGGATCACAAAGTCAGCGAACACCCCTTATCATGGAATGTAACCAAAAAGTGTGAGGTTGAAGTTTGTCTCCACCAAAGTAAGGTCAGCACGATCCCGCTCCTTCTCCCGGAATGTCGCGGCTGCGTGGTAAGGTTGTGCAATGTTTAATAAGACAAAGCTAACTGGTAAATAAAGATTTGCTGGAACGCCGCACACAGACGTCTATAGAGCATCCCATATCGAGCTCCGTGTTCACGGTGCCATCCACGCCACGCAGCAACGCCGCCTCAACCCTCATTGATAGCACACATCCATGCACCAAACAAAAAAGTGAAAGTTGCGCAAGAGCATGCTCCTTGCAGTTGAGGGGCGCCCGACACCAAAGTATTTGCCATTACGATCGCCGGCATTTCTGCTTCCCCATCATTGCTCTTCGTCGATTCTTTTGTCCGCCCCCTCATTGCGCCTGGTTTGTTTTTCTATTTTCTCTTTTTTTAAATTAAAAAAACGTGCTCCAAAAAAATTGCATTTTGTCTTAGTTTCGGTTTCTATCGACTCGATTGGCAACAATGAGCGCGCTTAGCTTGGTCGGCCTTGCAATCGTTTGTTCTGTTTATTCTCCCTGTGTATCCAGAGTCGGAAGCGCGCGAAAAAGCTCGGGGGTCGGATTCCAAAGGTTGCACCACCTGCGACTGGATTGCTATTCTTCAACCATAAGCGGTTAACCCGGGATCCGGACGTCAGCCAGTTGAAAACAAATGAGCAAAAAATTCCTCTAAGTACTTCATCATTAGAAGTTAGAACCGCATTCCCGAAAGATAACTCATGATTTGATTAAACTGAAACGTGGTCCGATCCGAAACCTTGCCGGCCACCAGGTCTCATGCGAGCGGTAGATCCCCCCTTGTCAGTATCGAGGTGTCGGGGAAGAAGCACAACACAGACGCGGGAAAAGCAAGGAGGGACCTGAGCCTTCCAGGCCACTTTAAGTGTCGGTACGGTCAGGGAGAGGGTGGTGCCGCTTTTAATCCCCATTCTTCCCATCGTTTTTCTTTTCTGGTTCCCAACGGGTTCGCCCGTTTGCGGAGTTTGTTTTGTTGGTGGCGGAGGGGCGACGGATTATGTTTCATCTTTGGGTACAGTTGTTTGGCGTTGACCTTGCAGACGGAGGGGTGGGTGTGTTGACTCGCAAATGTTGCCGACTTAGCAAGCAAAGGTGCCGCCAGGATACTGTGTATCACCAAGCTATCCTCGTTTTTCTCTTTTGTTTCCAAATTGGAGATGTTTCCACTGGCTAGCGTGCTTTCTGGAGGCTTTGCTCAGTCTGCCGTCTGTAGTACTTGTCGTTTTCTGTGTATTGGCGATAATTGTTTGTGGACTCGTAGGTTTGGGAATGCCGAATCACTTGAGTCAGCGAAGTATGGTTTATCACTTTCTGGTTTTTTAGGGAAAGTTTTATAGAGACAGTTTTGTATGTATACGTTTCTGTAAATAGCATTTTTTAGGGCTAGTTTAGTGGGATCAGTGCCATCGAGACAGCCCTGCAGAGAAGACAGTTCCACGGGGGCATTGACAGCTCAGACCCTCTGCTTGTGCACAGGCCCCTCCTGCGGGTCACCCAGACACCCTGACCTCGAACCCCCTCGAATGGAGCGTGGCCGACGTGACCAACTTTGTGCGCAACACCCCGTGCTCCTACGTCGCCCGGCGCCTACACGAGCAGGTGAGGCACTGCACTCCAGCCATCAGCTTGAACAAAATATTTTTCCTGAAAAACAGCGAGAGGCTATGCGAAGAACCCCAGCTAATTTTGTATTGGCCCAGCCGAGAAGATTGAGAGGATTTCTTGCATCGGAAATTACTACCTGCTCATCGATAGGAGCTCGGTCTCTGCTTGACCATAGTACTTGCAGCTGGGGAAAGGTGCCAAGGTTTCAGAGGTGACATTTATTAAAGTAAAAGTTTGGAAGTAAAAAGTTTAATCTACCTACCAGAAAACATTGTGAAGTATTTGATGGCAAATAATTTTTCAAAAAGAGGAGCTGGAAATGGAGAATTTATTCCTTTGGTACGATGTTACCTGCCGTGGCAGATGTTAGGTATAATTGGCAAATTAATTACCTAAAATTTACTAATACACTTCTTTATGATTTGTTTTAGCTGGCATATTCTGGCTAGAAATCTCTTGTCCGTCGTCAAAATATGTAGGTAGTTTGCAACATCTCTGATTGGAACTACTACCGTATAAACTCGTGTAAGGGCCGCACTATTTTTTCCCGATTTGAGGGCAAATTTTCAAGGTACGACCCATACACGGATAAAAAAAAAAAAAATCTGTATCCACATTTTGAAATGAACGTACATGAGCACGCTTGGCTTCACTGGTCGAAAACGCCTTCACTTCGGAATCCGGACTGAATCGTCAGTCGGATTTAATTAGTTTACATACTGCAATACGCAACTTTTTTTTTTTTTTTTGTACTTGATAGCATGCGCGGCAACTTTCGACTTGAATCCCGTATGACTGTTGAAGTGGTACTTGCCCATAGCTCTCAGATTGCGCGAAAGGGCAGACAAATCGCGCTGCTTTGAAACGAATCGAAGTACAAAAGAAAACCTCCCCAGAGCGTACAGTGGCGTACGGAAACCTGAGTGCACGCGTGAGCCGAGCTTGCTGAATCCCCATTCCTCGCGCTTGCCACGGAAGCTGACATATCCTTTATCTTTTCTCAATGTCTTCTGGCCGCAACATAAACGCATCCCGACGGTGCGGCCGACCACGATCGAGGTCAGCAGCCATTGTGCCATTCGGTGATACGGATGAATGGAGAGCAAATATCGGGGATGCGGAGACGTGCCGCTACGTGCTCGGGCGGTGGCTAGCGCCATCTGGCGATATATATTCATAGAAACTTGGCATTACAGTTGGCGCACCTCAAAAACAAGGGGGCGCGGCGCATACACGAATAATTTAATTTTTTTTTTGCAATATTTTGTCCTAAATACGGGGCTGCGGCCCTCACATGCAATTATACGGTATGTGGTGGATCCACCTGAATTATTCGAAGCATTTGACCGAAAGGAAAGACTGCACATAGCCAATACCACCTAGAACACAAGGCCTGCGCGTTTCCTCCTCTAAACGTCATCACTAGTAGATCCCCTCAGCGCCCCCTAGCTAGCCCGGATGAGCAGCATCGTCTGCTACATCGTCTGCTCCATCGCCTGCTTCAGTGGTTTGTGTAACAGATAATGAAAGAGATGCTCACGCCGAGTGTCTCTTGCAAATAGCATACGATGAAGTTAGACGTTCACGTGGAGCGTCAAATGCATGAGCGAAATTGCCTTACTGCTGCGCGAAGTGCTGAAAAGCCCTTCGTTGGACGCTGACACTGGACGCCATTTTCGAGGGCGCTGTTTATACCTCGGGTAGCGGCTTCGAAGCGTTCTACCGCAGAACGAGCGCGCGCGCTAGAAATGCGCGTCTCAAAGCCAGGAGCGCGTGCTAGCTCGCGCTCCTGGCCGAGGGAGCGTTCGCGTGCACGTCGCAAATGCACTGGAAGCTCGCTATCAGCTCGCGCTCAGCAGTCACCCACACAGCTGCGGCCGCAAGTGAATGCGACGTAGTTGTGACGCGGCCCCTACTCTCGTCAAGCTTTGGGCTGTTTGCCGCTTGGGGCGGGTCGGGGATCTACTAACGAAACGTCATGCGCAGGCCTTGTCTTCTAGGTGGTATTGACATAGCCCATTGTTACATGTTGCATCGAAACTTTGCAGGAATGGGAAGGTAACATTATGTTGGAAAGTATATATGGTTGTACAGCCTAGGAAAAGTATGTCTCATTATGTACAGTTTACTTGAAGCATACTACTTCAACCAATGTATTGGGTGTTTGGGGGGAAAAGGGAACAGTGTTTTTCTCACCGCAAAAATAAACTGTATGTATCGCTGTCTCTGCTCAAATGTTGCGCTAGCAGTTGGGGCCACTGTTGAAGTTCCAAAAATTGTTGTTACCCAATTCAAAAGTTGTAAGTGACTTTGGAAACTTTTCAGCGAGCAAATGGAGCCTGAGTGGTGGACGCCATTCATCTCCATGCATACTTCTGCTGCGTTGGCTGCTGTTTTGTCATTGGAAATTTTCGAAAATCGCCTATAACTTTTTTTATTAGGTAATTGTAAATTCTGAAACATCTGGTCTGAACCGCTACCACCACATTTAGGCGGACTCTCAATCGGCATTCTGCAACGCGTCGTTTATTTTTGCGGCAAGGACGCGTCTCTTTTTTGTTTCCGTAAACGGCCGGCAGTTTACTCTAAGTATCCCTCACCCAACGTATGTTTTACTTTATTCCAAGCGAAAAATATTTGAAGTCCTTTTTGGATGTATCTTCTATAATAGGCAATAGCTCGGGCCACTTTGCCTAAAAACAAAACAAAAAAATTAATTTTTTGTGGCCAATTTTTTTTTTGCTGTCTTGTAGTTTAGTGATTGACAACTTGTAAAAGGACTCTGACAACCCCCCCAAAAAATGTGTATTTTTTGCCAGGCGATTTATTGTGGTGTCGGAAGACTACCCAATCAATATTTTACTATAGTGTCGCAGATATTTTTGATGAAGTCAAAAAACGCAACTGTTCGGAACCAAAACTGAAACTGGACTCGGCATGAAGAGAAATGTAGAGGAGAAAGATACAAAAATTCATAGGGTCTCTTCTGTTATCCCTAAGACGACTTGAAGGCGAAAGCCCAAGCGCCAATGCATTGAAGACAGACACATGATTTACTTACTTCACTTTGATTCCGCTTAATTCGCTTTGTCATCCTTCTTAATTTTATTGCCTCTAATTCGCTTGAGTGGTCATGTAAACGTAATAGCGCACCTCCGAAGACAGCGCGCTTTCTGACGAAGCATCTTTGGCGCCATTCATTGGCTCACTCAGATCGTGGCGTCGGCTGTGGTCCCGGTGATAGCGAACCTCCGAAGACAGCGCGCTCTCTGACGACGCACCTTTGGCGCCGCTTCATTTGGTACCTTTCATGTCGACGACGTGTTTTCTGAAGGTTGACTGAACGATGAGACATATAAGGCTTTCGCCTTAATAATTACGTGACTCTGCAACTTTTTATCTTTTTCAATCAACGTATTTGCGGCTTTTTGGAAGTCCCAAAAATGGGTATCATATTTTTTGTCCATTCCTAGTACTGAGTTTGTGCCTTCGATGACCCACAACATCGATTATATTTGGTTGTTCTGTGTAGACCATAGAAAATGGCACATGACCACGGAGAAGAGAGTGAGCGCGACTCAAACCGGCCATTTCTCGATCGACGGCTTTCTGGCAGAAAGAAAATGATTTTCCAGCCGCAAATTGTGTTCAGGGTAGTTTGGCTCCCATATGTCTTGTATATAAATAAAAACCTTGGCAAGCAATAGTGTCTTTTTAAAGGGACGAAATGATTTTCTAGCTTTTTCCAAATGAAGACCCCAATTATTATACAATGTTCATGAAACCCGGAGCAAGAATCAGTTTTCGTTTTATTGCCTCCAGTCTCGCACCGAAAAAGATGAAAACTCACGTCTGCTTTCTTCCTCGATTTGACCGGACTCTGCTGCCAACATGTGAAATCACGCTGCCGTGACGTAAAATATGTCTTTCTAGCAGAAACGGAAGTTCTCCCACCCGAGCAAAGGAAAGGCGTCGACATTCGAACGATGCCACCTACTGAGGTCTCCTTGTGCGCAGATTGCTTCGTAGGACTTGTTGGTCCGCGACGCTTGCGTGTTCAACGCTGTGGCCATGGATACATCGGAGCTGAGGGAAGTGCAACTTAAAATGTTTCGGTATAACGAAAGCTGGGCCTTCTTCCATATGCCGGTACGCCCCCGCGGCAAAACAGGAACTTGCTCGACAACGGCTGCAGCAGTTTGGCGCCAAAACTGACTGCGGAAAGGTGATTAATCGGTACAGATTGGTAGGTTCGCATTTGGCTGCGAACACAAAACGCTAGAAATGAAGTAGTATAAATTTCTAATGGAATTCCTCATAGAGATAGTACCTCCCATGCTCTTGACGCTGCGGCTAACGAGACCGGATATCAAACCCTGTCATTTCTGTCAAAGGTATTCGTCGGGAACTTGATCGTTTGCGAGCACAGTGCGGATGACAAATTAGTTGTACCCAATACTAAAGTCAACCAACGTGCTAAAAAAAAAAAAAAGCAAAAAAAAAAAAAAGCACCGACACTCTGGATGTTGCGGTTACTTTGCGAGGTGGCACAATCTACCGCCCATTGCAGAAAGTTTCGCCACAACTCGTTTATTAATCCACCCAATCATGCACTCAGCTTCATTGCGAGTGTTTGAAGGAGCTTAAGATAAGTCCGCCTTTATTTGCCAAAAGTTCATATCAAAAATTTAGAATTTAGCCTTCCTAATCCCACGTGCTAGTTTTCCTTTTATCCAAAAAAAAAAAACTATATGCAGTCAGTAAAATTCTGTCTGAAATTGTTTCGCACTTGCATCTTGATGATTCGTTCCTTTTTATCCACTAACGCCGCATTCTCATCGGCTCTGGAACGATAATAGAAAGATCAGGACATGCATTTGCTGAGCTGTCAACGACCGCATCACCAGGCAGAGTGCGGTGATCGCCAGGACGACCTTCAAAAAGCCGGGAAAAAAATAATATAAAAAATAAATAAATAACTCCCGGCGTTGTTAAAACCTGGGAGTTTTTCGTCGTCTGAACTGCCGAGAGACCGTCTACAGAGAGCATTGCCGCGGCCCCGCAGGAGATCGACGGCCAGGCCCTGCTGCTGCTCACGCTGCCCATGGTGCAGGAGTTCCTCGACCTGCAGGGAAGCCCCGCCGTGCAGTTCTGCCAGCTGCTGGAGCGCCTCAAGCTCGCCTTCTACCTACAGTACGCCCCCAAGGGGACCCAATAAAGCCCCGCCCAACGGCTGCCCGGACCCTTCTTACGGTCGCCGACAGAGTTAAAACGGCGGGGCCTGTCTTTCGAACGCCCCGCCTCTGCTGCGTGCCGGAGGCGTTGTCCTGCCATTCTCAGTTTGTCAGTGGCTGTGGTACCCTGTCTTCCGGAGTATAGTCCACGGAATATACACGTTTAAAAGTTGAGATTTCATGCGGTGCGAACCCTCTCTAAGAGCAGACTGTGCACCATCCCAATACTTGCGAGGCTTCAGCCCAGCATGTGCAGGTTCGTCGCTTCGGAAAGCAAGCAAATCACGTGCCATACGCACGAATACTGGAAGCGCTTTAAAAAAATCTATACGAGAATTTTTCATTTATTTTTTGTAAGAATGTTTATAAATGATAGTATGTTGTAGATTTTGAAATTGGCAGATTATATTAAAGACGATTTCTGCGTGACACAAGCTTTTTCGTGCGCTAAGAAAGCAGGCATTTTTCGAGGTGTCCAGTAGATGCAAATTTGATGTGCAAACTACGCTCTAACAACAAACTAACTAAAAAAAATTTTTTTTTAGACTGTAGTTTGGTTTTGTGGATTATATCTTCGAATATCGCGCATACGCCGATTCCACACTAAGCGCCCATTTCGAAATTTGTAAGATCTGAGAATATATGCTATATGTAAAATGGATGACTGGACAAGTGCCCATCCCCATTTTTTCTCGATTATCTCTAAATTTTGAGTGGGCGCTTGCCCGGTATTTTACGGCAGTCTGAAAAATATGGCACCACTACAAGTGAGGTCCCAAGCCGTTCGAACCTGCTTTAAGAAAATCTCGATTACTTTTGCAATCTCTGGCATTGTGATTTAGCACGAAGGTGCGGCTGGGTGGTGCATTTGTTCTTCGAAAATAATAAAGAGTGTGTTTGCTTTCATTAAAACTTACAGCTGAAAACCATAGTTTTGCTTATGGACCGACATGCAGTACAGTCTTTTTGATGTCAATTATATTAAAGGAGCTGTGCAACAATTTCAGGGCTTTGCCTAAATAATTGTGGAAGTTAATGCCTGACACTTGTGAAGTGAACTACAGAAAACAGATTTTGCCTGGATACCCTAGTTTTTATTTAAAAAAAAAAATTAAAAAGATCCAGGTTTTTGCCGCCTCTCAACTCGTACGTCGTCTTCCGGGTCACGTGCGCAGCGACGTTGATGGGGTAGGCGCGGGGTTCCGGAAAAGTTCTCTCTTTAGAGCCATCAGTGAGCAGTGAGAACTCAACCGCTCGCAACCGCAGGACCACGTGCTGGCGGGCACCACGCGAACAATATGGTGAAAGAAGGAAAGTCTCATCCGGGTCTGGCCATACCCGTTTGGCCCTGTCCCCCTCCCCCTCCAGCTTCTGGCGGCTGTTTGCGGTAGCAGATAGAGCTGACAGTTTTGTGAACCTAGGATAGATGGCGCCACTAAAACTCCGTATAATAAAAGTTTTGTCGATGATACCAGGTTTTTGACGCATTTATATATATGTTAGAACGACAAGATTTATAGAAAAGTTACCTTTTATCAAGTAGGTATTTGCACAACTTGCTATGTTTCTACAAGATTCCCCATTGACGTCACGCCGCGTGCTTCTTATGGCCACCGCTAGCGGCTGCAGGTCGGGGAATATTCTAAGTTTTGCCTCGCTATTACGAGGCGGAATCGCAACATTTCGATGAAAGGAGGTGTGCTTCCTGTCATTTGTGACAAGGTGAACGATGTCAAAATTAGAAGATGCCAATTCTTTCAACGTTAAAATCGTTGCACAGCTCCTTTAAAAACCTGGACGTTTGATGCGTCCGATTGAACAGAAGCGACCAAGAGGGCGAAGAGAATTCTTGCTCTCGTTCCCTGTTTTGTCAAATAAAATGCATCCAAAGTCCCACTTAAATGCTTTTTCACTTTTAGTCTAAAATAACTAATGAGCCATAGGAAATTTTATTTTAGTTGTTTTAGAGCGCAGCTCTTAGGCGCCCGTTTCCGGCTTGAGCGGCGTCGCCGTCGCCGTCGGCGTAATTGTGCGGTGCATTATGGATAAATTTCCCCACTAAATCTAACAGGGTAATTTTTCTGCTAGATTTAGCGGGGAAATTTTTTCCGCTAGATTTAGCGGGAAAATTTTTTTGACTAAAAACAAGTTTGCTTTTTAATTTTTTTTTTAACAAATGCACCACTTATTTAGCCACTTCTGCCAAATTACAAGCAAAATTGATTTTTGGTGTCTTCTTAAAGTAGGTTCAATCTGTCCCTCCCTATAATACGTAGTAGTCAGAATTTCTTAATTTCTTGTCGGAGAAGGCAAATGAAAAGAGCAGAGCAAAACAGCTTGACCGGCATCGGCCCTCGCAAGTGCCGAAGATGTCCGGGCAGTCTCAATTAATTGGCAAAGTCCGTCTTCCAATTGTCGTCCCTCCAAACCTGCAGGGATGAGAGGTGGAAATTGCTGGACACGGCTGCTTTCTCGATATGTAATCGAAACGTCTTTATTTCACTTTTCCTCAGAGTCGGATGTCCTTGATATTGGTCAGGCACATAAGCCACCAATGATTTTCACTTTTTTTTACATTCCTCTACAGTCCCGTCAGGAACGGTCTGCACTTAAAAGGGCACTAGAGTGCATTTTTAGATCCTCGTTTTATGGTCATAACTCAATTCACAAGCTCTAAGCATTCTAAAAAAAGCTGAAATTGCATTCATGTGCAACTGATTTGTAAATTAAAGAAGTGATCAAGGTTCCCGACACTAACCATTGTTGCAGAATGACAGATGGCGCTACTGACCTTTACTGAATATGGACGAACGACCGATGGCACTTATCAGCCACTCTCGAGCGATGGGTTTCCGCGTAAACGAGCGGGACTGGTCGGCCACTGGTCCACGCAGGAGCCCATCGCTCGCAAGTGACTGACAAGCACCGTTCGTCGTTCGATCATAATCGGCAAGGTTCGGTACCACCATATCTCTCGTTCTGCGACAACAATAAGTGTCGCAATCTTTGATGACTTTTTTAATATACAAATCGGCCGCGCATGAGTGTAATTCTTGGTCTTTTAGGAAGAGCTTGTAAACTGATTTAGGACCATAAAACAAGGATCTCAAGAAGCACTTTAGGGCAGCAACACAGCATTACATCTGAATAAATTCAGCTCAGCTTCACCTGGTGTAGTGGTACGTATATGGACAATTTGCCCTATGATTATACATTTTCAGATAGGACATGCAAATGAAGTGAACTAATCTTGTAAGGGTGTACAAATATTTCTAACCTTCAAATACCTATTTGAGCAGCTCTTCTAATTGAATAGTAATTTGTCAAAATTTCAAATATTTGTTTCAATTTCTGAATCGCCTTAACGGTTGAATGCCACAAATTTTCCTTCAAAGACGCCCTACTGCGCACCTGTCATACCTTTCGTACGATTTCGCTACCATCTTATTCTAGGCACAATCATCAGCAGTAGCAATTTGTCTAACTTTAGTACTGCCGAGACCGGTTATAACGAAGTCAACGGGAATTTGAAATCACTTTGCTATATCCGCTATTTCGTTATAACCGACTTCGGTTAACGAAGTGCAAAAGGGGAGGGGAAATCTTGATCGCTTCGCTATAACCACTATTTCGTTATAACCGATTTCATTATAACCGGCATGACAGTATGGTGGTGTTTCATCTGTGAATGACTACACCTAGGGTTAAATACTTTTGCAGAAAACTACCCGTCTACCTCTTTGGAAAGCGTAGCATGGTAATGTTTCTGTCCATATGGGTGCTGCTGCTCATACAGCGCAAGTGAAATAGAAGGGGGAAGTTCTTTGAAGAACAAGTGTGGTATAGTGTGGAAGTTTTTTAACCGCTCTAGCACTGCTTCATCCAAGTGGCTCTTGTGTGCTGCCATCGAAGATGCTAACTTGCTCATCGCTTTTGGTTTTGGTTATTTAATAGCACCATTCAATCTTTGCTTTCTTCAACGATTCGTAGGGATTGGTGTGGATTATCCACTCTATTCTTCTAGACAGTGTACTCCTTATGAACAGTCAATGCACCATTCGAAAGATATTGGAAAATTACTCATTTCGTATTCATTTCGACGCCACCAGTATTCGACTGCTCTACGTGGTTTAAACATTTACCAATTGCACACCCCTACAATTTTTGTGATTAAAGAGTGCTTGCACAGTGCAGTTTGAAGATTTTCCAAAAGTGAGTAGAAACTTGAAAGTATGGCAGATAACTGATGGACAGGTGGGAGAGGGGAAAATTTGAACTTTCTCTAAGGTGACATTTGGCCAGTACCCACATCCCCCACACTTCATGTGTCACTCCTGTGGCACTGTTTCGACCCAAAATTTTGGAAAAGTTTACGGTTGCACTTGGAAAAGCCATCGGCTTTAGCCGGATACTCTTAAAGGGGTGCTCCGGCGATTTTTTTCAGCTACCCAAACTAACTATATTTTCCGAATCACCGGCCTTTACCCTTTTTGTTATACTACTTAGTATCACGAAATTCGGAGTAGTTATTGTGAAAGTGGCAAGTGAAAATGATGTCAAAACCAACATTCCAATATGCCTGCGCTTTTCAGTGCGGTGACGTCGGGAAGGCAGGCGTGCAGGTCGAGCGGGCAGTCTAAAAATGGACTACGCTGAGCATTTGTTTCCTACTGCTGCGCAGGGGCTGGAGCGATTTGACACCATGAAACTGCTTGTAATCAGAAGGTCTACAGGAGGGTAGCCACTCCGGAGTTGGAGTGATTCCGGAATGATTCCGCACTTTCGAGACCCTGGAATTAAATTGGAATGGAATGGCGGCATCGCTAGGGGAAAGGGAATTGGAATGGAATTAAATCCCTTTTAGCCGGAATGGTGCGGTGTGGGCAGTTTCGTTGCGATCAGGATGAGCATCGTACTGGCGTGCGGTCGTGCATCAGCACTATGCGTGACGCCCGTTAAAAACCCCAGGCTAGCAGGCGTACTGCACTGGCTAAATGCCTCGTCTACAGTGGGTAACAATTTGTCGCCATACTCTGGCAGACTAAACTCCTGCTGTCTAAACAACTAATTTGTTTTTGTGGGTAGTTTGCGAGTATGGGGCATGGTTGCTGATTGACTTCACACGTGAGTACTGTACCTTGGTACTGCTTCCAAGCGCCTGTATAACTACGTAATTTTCATAGAACGGTGTTTGCGTTCAGAATTCAAGATCACAAAATGAAATTAAGCTTATATTTGTTTTGCTGTTCTCGTTTGTGAACCTTGTGCGACCACGCCTCGGCTTAACAGAATAGGTTTCTTGAGGGAGCTTTTGCATTTATATCTCTGCATTTAATAACGTCAGCAGCTGCACGCTTCCTTTTTCCAGTAACAATGTGGCTGCCAATCATTCCAGGAGTGGGAATGGCCCCAGTGTCTCCATTCCGAGGAGTTGAGAGGAATATAGAATTGTCAGAATTATTCCTGGGAATGGCCTGCAGTCCAAAGAGTGAACCACCGACAATAGATATCAGTGGGGTTAGTCATACGGCTCTGGGGTTAGTCTGGAGCAGTGGTCTGGAGCTAGTGGAGTGAACAACTGCCTTCCACTGGATGGGTGGATAGATGTTGACGGCTGTACAGTTTAGAACGGGCGCTAGCTTGCGCCACCTAGCCTAAAAATTAAAAACCAAAAGTATAATTTTTTTGTTGTTGTTGACGACACATTTTTAATGTTGCCAGTACAAACTTTCAATTTGAGAACCACGGAGAGGACCAAAATTTAAAATTCAATAACTTTGCGGAAATCATTTATTTTGGCTCAATATTTGGGTCACTATTTCAGCGATGTTTTGTTAGTGTACTTAGAAAATTTTCAGGCAAGTCAGAGACTAGAAAACGCCGGAGTATCCCTTTAAAGATTGCTTCTGAATGTAATCACTTTGAAGTGGGCATTTCTTTTTGCCAACTAACCATAGCAAATAGATAATGCTTGACTGTGAAGGCAGGTAAGTGCACTACCAGAAGAGTTGGATCACACAAAATTTAAAAACAAATTTTTGTTTAAATATTGTATGATCTGATCTGCCCCACCGCCCCACGGCCCCACCCTCTCACAAATTTTCGTGAGAGGGTGGGGGTTGGGTGGGGGCATATCTGATCAGATCGTCACTGAATAAAACAAATGGCAGGTAGCGCAGGCTACCATCCAAACTCTCATTTTTCCGAAACTTCCCGCACCGTGTTTGGGGTCGGACGAAACCTGTTTCGCATTCAGTTTCGTCTTTAGATACACGGCAAAGTGGCAAAGTCTGGCAAAGTTCTGTCTGGGCCGTGGTCCACAGGGCGATCGTTCAGTGTAAAGTCCAACGTTGGTCCACTCATACGGTCGAGGTCTCGTATCGTCAGTCAATCGAGGAAGTGGTCGGCCAAGGACAGGCGTGCCCGCTGCCCAGGGACGTCATCATGCCGAGGTGCAAAACGCACTGCGCGAAGCGGCCGACTCGCTAGGCCATGTCTCCGGCCGGCCCAAGCCCCGTCAGCCCGCCTCCACCATGGACGTGCTCAGTCTCCCGGACGAGATCTGGGCTCATGTGCTGCGCTACCTGCGGCCCGAAGACCTGCTGGCCCTCGAGTGCGTGGCCAGCCGCTTCGCCCGGCTCACGCACGACCGGGACGTGTTGCGGACGGTGCGCTTCCGTCGGCCCCTGGACGACGGCCCCGTGCGCCGCTTCTTCGCGGCCCCGAGAGCGGCTGCCCTCGCACAGCTGGACCTCACCAACTGCGGCTGGCTCAAGGGCGCCCTGGTCGAGCAGTGCGTCGGGCGCTGCGTGAACCTACGCGTGCTCAAGCTACTCAACTGCCGCCTTACCCTGCTGGCGCTCGTCGGATTGCTCGAGATGCGCCTGACCAAGCTCGAGGAACTCGAGTGGTCCCTAGTGTGCAGCGACAGCGCCCTGGTGCCGGCCCTCCGGAAGCTGAACACCGGAGGGCACACGCTGTCGCCCAGCCTGCGCAGGATGTACGTGGAGCTGCTCGAGGGCGTCTTCCACGTCGACCTGCTCGGGAGGCTGCTGTCGCGCTGTGTGGCGCTCAGGGACGTGCATCTGCACGTGCATGGCAGCACCCAAACGGGCTTCGACGGTGTCCCCCTGGACTCAGCCCGGTACGCGCCGCTCGACCAGCTAGAGACCGTGACATACACGACGGACGCCGTGCGCGGCCGCTGCCCGTACGCCTCGCGATCGGCGCTCATCGAGTCTCCCCAGCTGTGGACGGTGCTACTGGGCGGCGACGAGGAGTTGGTGCACGCCTTCCGCGTCTACGCCACCCTCTGGGGCAACGTGACGCTGCGTCTGCGGCCCTGGAGGGCCCGCAGCTGCGTGCACATGTCGGAGCTGCTCGAGCCGTCTAGGGAGCGTAGCCCCTGCGACGGCCTCCCTCAGCTCTGCACGGCGCTCGAGAGCCCGGCCCAGTTGTCGCAGGCCCTCCGCGGACCCTTCTGGGACCGGCTGGACGCCCTCACACTGGTGTCCACCATGTCCAGCAGCCCCGGCGGCCTCGACTTCGGCCGTCCCCTGGCGCAGCTGCTCGGCGCCTGCGGCCGTCTGACCGAGCTGAACCTGAGTCGCTTCCACTTTGCCGCCGACCTGGACTGCTGCGCCCTGCTGGGAGCCAGTGGCCTGCGCCTCCGCGCCCTCGCCCTGCCGGCATGCGCCTTGGCCGGCGGCTCCCTGGCGCGGCTGACGTCGCTGGGGCTGCGCGAGCTGGACGTGCGCGCAAGCGTGCCGACGGCGCACAGCGCGTGCCTCGCCTGCCGGGACCCGCGCATGCCAGATCCCCTGGGGCCCCTGGCCCTGCTAGGGCCCCTGGACCGCCTGACGTTGTGCGACCTGGCGAGTGTGCAGACGTTGGCCTTCCTCGGGGGTTGCAAGGTGGCCGAGCTCAGGTTGTCGGGGCTCGGGCGGCGCGGGCTTTGCTCCTACCCGCAGGGGCTGGGACAACTGCTGCAGACCAACGACGCTCTTCGCAGCCTCAAGCTCGAGCACCCCGCCCTGGCGCTTAGCTCCCAGCTTCTCTGGGACTCCCTGGGACAGGCGCCGTGGTTGCACCGCCTGTGTCTGGCCTCTACGGCGCCCCGCGAGACGCCGCAGCCGGCAGCGGTGCTGCGCTGCCTGGGACGCCTGTCGGCCCTGGAAGCGCTGCACATCCACCAGGACGGGCCTCCCCCCCGCACCCTGCTGAAGGTGCTGAAGGGCTCCCTGGGCGCAGGAGGCCCCAGGATCGACCTGGGCTTCGGGGACGAGACGTTCCCCTGCGAGCGCAGTGTGCTGTGCCACTCGTGCAACTTCATCGGTCTGGCCAAGCCTCGCAATCGGCAGCCCTTGGTCGCAGGAGGGGACGTGCCCCCGTCCTCCGGGCGGCCCGCCCCTCAGCCTCTACACCTGCGTGCCTGTGCAGCGGGAGTGCAGTGACACACGTGCAAACTCTTCCAATGGATCTGTGGAATTTACTGTGACAGTGCAAACAATTGGCTATGCTCTTAGTTGGAGGGCAGTGCAATAAAGAGAATTTAATTGTAGCTCTCCTCACTGTTCCGGCAAAGCCAGTTGGCTCGTCCTCTCATACCATTAACCCAGTTCATTACTGGAAGCACCGATTGCTCTTACTCAATTATTTGGCAACAGCACTGAAACAAATCTTGAAGGTGGTCAGTACAAGACCAGACTTGATGTTAAAATGGGTAGGTAACATAAAACTCACCGCTGCACTTGTACAAAAAGAAGAGAAGCTTTTTCCTGTGAGCATCTCGAGTCTTCAACTTTTTATTCTAGAGCAAATCAGGTGGCAGTTGCACACCCTTTTTCATGAATGAACACCTGCAGAGAAGGAGCTCTCTGGTCCCCCCACTTTGGCTGGGTCAGTTCTGTCAATTCAAGACCACTTGGGGCAGTTGCAGTAGCTCACTGTTATCCAAAAATGAAACCTAGACAATGACAGTCTGTGAAGCTTCCTCTACCTTAAATTGCAGAGCTGTTCTTGGTGTCAGAGAGCCTGGGGCTGCAAGTTGAAACATCCCTTTGGCACCGTGCACCCACGAGCAACTAACAAATCCACGCATGGTTCCTTCGGGAATATTGCTTGGCTCTAAGGTGCTGGATATCATATAGCTTTTTTTTTTTACAAGGTTTTGTACACTATGGTCTCGTTTGAAGATGAAGCAACATTTACAGTGGTACATGCACAAACAGACAACGTCCACTTTCCCGCAACTGAAAGGAAGTTGGTAAATGCTGAAATGTGCAGACTTTTGGTGCTATTCGTGCAGGAAAATTGTCTAAACAGAACTCACTCCGTGGCACTAAGGTTCTGTCTTGGTTTCCAAAATGTGGATTACAGGGTTCAAATTCCGGGACATCCCTTCCACAAGGAACCTTGGAAGTACAGTAAAACCTCGTTATAACAAAGTTGAAGGAGCGGTCGTAATTATTTTGTTATAACCATTAGTTTGTTATAGCCTCTGCCCATTTCTTCCCACTATGCTTTGATATATACATTAGTTTGTTATATCCCATTTTGTTATAACAAGGTTTTACTGTATTAGTTTGACATTCCTGTATTTCCTTTTTTTTTTAATAAACTCACTATCTTAGTTGTTTTGCAATTCATAAAACCTTAATAGCATTTTTATTTGTGAACTTCAACAATGACAAAGAAACATACTTTGGGGGGTTTCCCAGCGAAGGGCATCTGGTACGCCACAACAAAGGACCAAAGTTAGTTTTACTATGCAGACCTTTATTAACTAAGATCAAAATTACCTGGCACCGAGAAAGAAAAAAAAAATTTATAACTCCGGTCCTTCTTTGATTTCCTGCCTTTTTCATAAGTTTTGCACCTCCTGTTGAATGCTGTGCAGTGCATGGTGCAAATGCTCTTGAATTCTGAAATAATGATTGTGTTGGCTGTGCAGGATGGAAGCTTGCCACAGGAACACGCATATCTTAGACGTCACCTCTATAATCAACATTGTAAATGCCTCACATCCCTCCTGTTGCCTATTTGAGTGTTTCTCCTGCCTTGAAAAAATAATTTCCATAGGAATTAAACCCTCTTCCCTGTCTGCCACTACATTACTGGCTTGAATGCAGCGCATGCCGTGGAACAAAGTTCTTTTCAGCTACACAGAGTTACTCTATTGCCAGCTAATAGAGCTCTTCCTAATCCTCTTTCTTCAATAGTTTAAATATCTGGCACATCATAGCCATAGGTGCTTTTGCACCATAGACCTCTTTCAATCATAGACAGCACTGGTTGACAAAAAAATGTTTCGAGGTTGGAAAGGAACTCAGGGAGTCAACCACGTCCATCATGTTCCTCTTTGTTATAAGAAGGCAGTTGAATATCTATATCAAAAGAAAAATAATGGGAAAATAAAGAAATATCACGGATCCTAAAACAAAGATTTGATTAAATCTGAAAGTTTGCCCATTTGTGAGCTATGGTGAACCACAAAGAACTGACATCTGGTTTGTACATGTCCCAAATAGAAACATTTTGGATATTGGGTAAAGCATAGTAGCGTCGGAAGAAAGGTGCTGCCGAGACGTTAGTAGGACAGAGTCAAAAACTGCTGGCATTAGAGAATCAAGCTTTCGAGCTTCTAAATTTGTCAAAGAAGCAGAAACATGTTGAACAATTACATGGAAGCTCTGAACAGCTGCTAAATTATGACAAGTTACGTGTTTTCAGCGTTTTTTGTTTTTTTTTCAGGAGGGGGTAGAGATATTTTTTCCACAGATTCAGTGTTTCTTGTGTAAATTAGTTATAGCTTAACCAATTTAAACAAAAAACCTAATCTGTGGGAAAAAATAAACCTCGAAGAAACACCTCCAAATGGGAAGAAAAATTAGCCTGGAATACACGGAACTCTACCCATAATTTAGTCTGCGAAATAAGACTGCCAGCCTTTCAACACTAGTGATCAGGCTGTGCTCCACGCGACTCGATTAGATTACGTGGGGCTTTTGTTTCAAAGCCTTTGATTTTGCTGTCAAGTTTTGAGGAAGCGGTTAAAAAAAAAAGGCTCGGAGCTCTGTGTACGTCCGGCAACTCTAGGTAGCAACGTGCTTATTGGGCAGACTGTACAACCATTGCTGTTTTTAGTTGGTCCGGGTGACCGAGTCGTGCAGCACGAGATGGTAATTTGAACACAATAAATAAGCAGTCTCAGTTAGTGAAAAAGGTACGCACACAGTGCTGTTTCTTTATAAAGTGCTCAATAAATAAAAATGTTGGGCAGAGGGTACTAGCTGTTATTTTCGTAAACGATGCAGAAATTTTTCCACGAAACAAATGCAATGTTGCCTAGAAATGATATACACTCAAACAGAGACGGACAGGAAGCTTCCAAGCTAAAAGATGCGTTGTCCTCTTCGTCCCTTCGCTTAGTCCAACATGCCTGTTCCGGTACCAAACAAAGCATACAGGTAAATGGTGCTCGCGGACCGGTTTACAGATTTGTGATGAACCCAATACTGCATTTTTTACACCTGCACCTAATCTTTGCAGCTTGATTTGAGCGTTTCTGGACAAGCGTACAGTAATACCTTGTTAACTCGAAGTCATAAAAACCGTGAAAACATTTGAAATAAGCAATGTACCAAAAGTTTTACCTCTGATCCTGCGATGTGCTAAATAAAATTTCTAACAATTGCGGCAACAGCACAGGTTCTATTAAAGAAAGGAAAAATAGAACCTGTTTGGGCTGCGCCATGTTCACGGTCAATCGAGTCACATGCCAACGTGATAGAATTCACAACCGATGACCGAATTGAACACTTGACTCTTGTTCCTATGGCGCACCGAGACGATCGAAACACCCGAAAAAAAATGACGGACAAGCAACAAAGAGCGGCAACACTCTTGAAACGAACGAGACACCTCCGACACCTTTGCGAAACACAATACTGAGGAGACGACGACCAGACGTGAAGGGGAGGGAAACGGAAGGACCCCGAAGCAAAGAAGAGAAAACGACAGACGGAGGGGAACAAAACGCTCCAGGGATAGGGGGCACCGAACGTCAGGCATCCCGGCTTGAATTTGGTTCGTCCAAATGAAGTAGGGTAGTGTAAAAAAAAAAAAAAAGAATTAAGACAACTAACGTTTCGCACATTTTGTTTAGGCAGTTTTTGTTTTTTATTGTGGGTTTTTTGTGATTTTCATTGACGAGATTTCGAGAAATCCGAAGTCCATCCTGAAAACCTTTCGAGATAAGCAAGGACAAAATGCATTGTGCATATGGAGCTCATTCCACGTCAAGGAAAGTTTACGAGTTAACCACTATTTCAAGATAGCCGTGTTCGAGTTAACGAGCTATTGCTGTATATCAAAGAGTTACTGTAGGATTCATTGCTCCAGTATTTAATTTACCAACACCTGATAGGGTGAGACTGAGAGTGCACTTCGTTTCACCTAGCAAAGGTGACTGCGGCGGACGTTACATGCCACCAGAGCCAATTATTGAATGCCACGCAAGTTTCACGTGGCCTTTGGGCACACCAATGCACGGGGTGTTTAGTCACGCGATACGTTCACGGCGCTGAATTGGCTGGCACAGCTGGTAGAGTTTGCCGCGATCCATCGTCAGGTGAGACAGAGTATAATCGAGGTATCTTGGTCATTTCTCTTGGTAACGCTTAAGAAACAACAACGAACTGGTGCTATCACTACCACCCGCTGGCCCCTGGTTCCTATCACTACCACTCGTTGGCCAGAGGCCGTAGAACGTCCTCGTTGGCTTTGCCGCTGTCCCTCCTTGTAGGACAAAGCAAACGGCCTTTCAAAGACAAACGGCACATTTTATTTCAACAGTTTTCGATTTCTCTGAAGCGGGCACGTTAAAACAAATGCGCAGCAATTCCAGGCAGGAGTCCTTCTCAGATGCCGTCGAGCTGAAGACGGTAGCTGTGCCGGAGCACCGTCTGCGGTTGGTGCGAGTGACTTCCAGGCGCCTCAGGAAAGTGTCAGCTGGGGGGCTCGGTCGGGTCGCACTCGGGGGGTGCGTGGGGCAGCTCGCTGATGTCCGGCCTTCGAGGAGGGCTGCTGCCACCGCCGCTGTCGTCTGAGTCGCTGTCGTCCGAGTCCAGCACGTCGGCGAGGGCAAAGTTCTACGTATGGTAGGAGGCACTTGTCACCCGGTTGCACCATCGGATGCACCTCATTGCGCTCCTTGGGGCTATACTTGATGTCAGCCTTTTTGTGCTACGTTGTCCAGGCTAGTTTGGTTTTCACAACCTTGTAATTTTACAGATTTGCGTGTTTTTCTTGCCTCTCATTCGCACTCACTCAAGTACTGTTGACAGAGCTGCGGAAACTATGCTAGCCTTGTCGACGTAGCACAAAAAGTTGTTTCTAGATTTCCACACTTTTTAGCGGGAACGTCAGGAAGTTTTAAATGTTAAAATGACGACAATAGTGTTACTGTGGAGTGTAGCCACCGAGGAAACTCAACCAAGTATAACGTTCAGCAGCCTTCTGCCTGGTTAGGAATAGACATTTAGCGAAGAATAGGAACTCTAACCAAAAGTTTAATAAACAGTAACCAGACGTTTCGAGACCAGCTTGTTCCCTTGTTCACAGGTGAGTGACGGAAAGAACATGCATCGCTTAAATGCACACAGACGCGATCTGAGAAGGGAATGCTGCGCTCTACAGGTGGATGCCTCGACTTTTCGAGTACAACCTTGATTTCCTCTTGGAGACTCTTCTTTGTGGAACAGGTGGCGAAGGCGCGCCTGAAGAGTGCAGAGGCTACCGACACTTTATGACACCGGGGATGATGGGAATTAAAGCCCAAGTATCTGCCGGTGTGGGTTGGCTTCCTGTAAACAGAGAAGCTTAGTGCGCTGCCACTCCTAGTAACCACTACATCCAGAAAGGGAAAGGAACCCTTGTCTTCACGTTCGATTGTGAATTGTATCAATTCACGGTCGAAAGATTATATTGTATATCAGTGACATGAGTGACGGATTCGATCCTGCGATAAGTATAAAGCACTTTGCAGATGACACCATAGTATATTGTAGTATTTCCTCCGTTCATTATCAAGAGAACCTAAATAGGCATCTGAGCAAAATAGATAAATGGTGTACTGAGTGGCAGATGGAACTGAATATTAAGAAAACTGTCTATATGAATGTAACGCGTAAAAAACAAATTCTGGAATTTAACTATAACATAAACGGCCTTTTTTTGAATAAAGTTACTGAGCATAAATATCTGGGAGTGTTTTTTAGCTCCGATCTAAACTGGAACTCCCATATCGATCATGTATTTCAAAAAGGATTTCAAAAACTGTGGATGATCAGAAGAAAGCTAGATCATGTGAGTCCAGAAGTAAAATTAACGGCTTTTAAACGTCTAATCCAACCATTGACTATGCGAGCCTTGTATGGGAGCCATTTACAACTAGAAATGTCCGTATCCTAGAAAGACTACAAAACAAAGCAGTGCAATTTATATTCAATAGTTACAAATCAACCGACTCTGTCTCCGCACTCAGGTCCCGAGCAAGCCTATGCAGCATTCAAACCAGCATTCAGACTTTGAGAGCACCACCGTGCTGGCCTTGGAAAAGAACTGGCGAAAGCGTCTTTTCGTTGAGTCTTGGTTCATCCCACGCACAAGGGGGAACAAGAATTATTTTTTGGGCACCCTACCCAGCAGCTACATCTCGGGACTATGTGACATCAGCAAAGCCATGTGTGCATTTAAGCGATGCATGTATTTCCGTCACTCATCCATGAACAAGGGACCAAACTGGTCTCGAAAACGTCATACTGCTTAATAAACTTTTGTATAGAGTCCCTATTTTTCGCTTAAAAAACCACTCAAAAGAAAAAAAAGCTTTTTTTTAAACAGTTTGGTTGGGACCAACCAAACTGTTTAAAATAGTTTTTGGCATACCAAAAAATATTTTTTATGAAAAACAAAAAAAAAAATAAGAGAAATATTGACGGCGCGAGACACAATTTAGTTGGTGGGCACCTCCTTTCCACTTTTTTTCCTCTCGGCATTTCGGGCGTGCGGAGGAGAAATGGAGAAGCTGTGGCCATCACGTTGAGGTGGAGAGGGTGTATGACCATCTCGTTGAGGAACGAGTGCATGACCATTCCGTGACGTCATGGGCTTTATGCGCATAATTCAGACGCAACTAAAATAAATCTCGCGCCATCAACTTTGCACGAAAGAAAAACATTTCAAGTAAAATTTATTTTTTGACACACGCATCCCAACCAGACTGTTTAAAAATAAACATTTTTTTTCTTTTAGTGACCCTTTAACAACCAAGTGTTCAACATGATTCGTGTTTCGAGCTTACAAAGGTACTGCCATAATTATTGAATTATGATTGATAGAAGTGCCAACTTAACTAAAAGAAAAGTGCTTGGGACACACCAGGGAGTTGGATTGAAATGTTAGTGAGAGAAATATATAAATAAAGGCTATACTAATGCATGCTTTTCCTAATTCGCATGTTTAGAACAGAAAAATCAACAAAGGCACGTAATAATGTAACATTTACTAAAAATATTTCATGACTTTTGCAGTGTTCTATTCAGATTCTTAGATATCTCCCTGACCTCATTTAGGCTGACTAAGTTACCTGACATTTCAAGTCTTTTGTTGTCGACGTATTCTTCAATAATGGTCAATTATGTTGTCATAATGCAATCTGACAGTTATGAGCCGACACCTTTGAGCCGTGGCCACAGGGTCTATCGATCCTAGCATGATAGACTTTGACAGCTGAATGCAGCGGCGTAGACTTTCCATTTTCCCGGGGGGGGGGGGGGGGGGGGGGGGGGGCGGGCGGCTTTTCTGCGCAAGCGGAAAAGCACCCCCCCCCCCCTCCTTTCCGGTAGCGCGCTGGGATTCTATTTCCCATGTATTTTGTCAATAAAGGCAACGTGTGCATTATTTTGTTTACATGCCATTCGTTACATGGCACGTAAACAGCGACTCGGTAAAGATCATGGCCAGGGCACGGGGGGGTGGGGGGCAGAGCCCCCCCTGGATCTCACCAGGGGGGGCATGAGCCCCGATGCCCCCCCGTAGTCTACGCCTATGGCTGAATGATACATAACATTGTTTTGTTTCTAAGTGCTGGCTCATACAGCAGAACCTCGTGGAGCCTAGAGTTCATTATCCCTCAATATTCATGAGCCATGCTTCAGATTGTTCAAGTTTTCGAGAACTTTTAAAACAGAACAACCCTTCAACTGTCGAAAGCATGGCAGAATGCTTTGTTAGCAATTCTGAGACAAAGGCCCATTGCTAAACCAATTTCCCAGATTTCGTTTCACCATGCTGCGCCATTGACTTTGAAATGTGCACACGCCGTGCACTGCAACCTCGGCTAAGTGAAATAGAGTATGAGGGGCTTAAACAGCATGCTCTTCCTTCAGGGCTACTGGCTCACATGCAGAGCTTTCATTTCCTAACACACTCGATGCAATAGAGGATAGCTAACTATATTAGGGGCTTTATGGCTAGGGGCTTTACTCGCATTAATCTGGTGGCTTGCTTTTGATGTAGCCTGTAGGAGGCCATAGTACACTAATATGCCTTGCCATTGTTCTCACTATTAATGGCTTTAGACTTCTTCCTACAAAGTAATTCGGTAATTTTTGGTGAAATAGTCTGGGACAATCTGGAGGGCTAGGTGACTAAGAAACATGGTTATGGTAGGCACCTTGGACACCCGCTCCAAGGCTCGAGTTGAACTGCTGATAAAAAATTTGCAGAAGATAATCTTTTTCAAAAGTGGCATTCAGTAGCAGATGCAGTAACTTCAACAACATTTCAGCACTAGTAAAAGCGCTGGAAGCCTCGTTCTGCCAGAGTCGGGTGCCAAAATCTCCCAGACTTCTCTATGCTGCAAAAATTTCTCAATCACCTTATCAGCATGTTGAGAGAGATGACGCAAAAAAGACTAAACAGATAAAATCAGGGACAACACAAGCACGTCTTTCATGATGAAAGATGTGCCCGTGTCATACCCTTTTTCAAAAGCATTTTTTTTTCTCATCTCTGAGATCGTTTGACAATTCCAGGTTTTCAAGGTACTCCTTGTTGGAAGGTGTCGAGGTCTTAACTTGAGGGTGCGACTTTTACATGAGTTGGCATGTGTGCTTTTACATGACTGCCTTTTACACGAGTGTGCACACTGGTAGACAGCCAGAAGAGACTTCCAACTTGCCATCTCTATAAGGGGTCCCTCAGATGCACCGCCCTCTGCCTCTATGCTGATGTCGCCCACATTCCCGGCGAGCCTTTCCTCCTCCGCACTGGCAAGCTTGGGCAGGAACCTTCTGGCCTCGTCCAGGACTGAAAGAACAATTGACATCAGGGAACATGCTCACGGCGCTTGAACAAACAAACTGAAAACTTGCACCTGTGGCAGCCGGTGCTCAAGTCTAAGAAAGAAAAAGAGTGCAAGGAAGGTCCAAAACGGGGATCAAGCTCAGAATGGCTGCTACTGCCAAACGGAACAGACGCGTGCATATAACTATAAATAAAAGTAGGAAACAATTCTGTTTCCCGACACGTGAAGCTTCAAAAACTTTCTCAAGACACAGGATAGAAAGTGATACACCAACCTAGCGACAGAGACATCAAGTAAGAAGGAATGCCAAAGTTACCAAACGAGAAGCAAAATTTTCCCAATCCCAGCACAACTTCATGATTTAAAAGGGTGAATCCAGTTTAGTGTAGATGCATGAGCAGTCAAGCTAGGTCTGTGGCTTACCGCATTTCTTTTCCTAACACAATAATATCTTTTCGCAACAAAAAACATCTCCGGAGCAACACAAAAACTAAAGTTCAAGCATACAGTACACGTAAAAAATGTGCAATCATTAGGTGAAGTGAGGAAAAAACAAACATAGGGTAGAATAGGCAAGTAACAAACACATTCTATTTGATCTTTCTTTATGGCAATAGCATCCCGCTGTAGCCGCAAATATGCAATTCAGCTAACAGGTTGTTTTAAATTTAATTAAACATGCAAGGGTCGCAAGCGAATGTAAAAATTGATGGTGTCAGTAACGCCTCAAATATATATCGGCTGGCAGGGCGCCGCTTCATTGAGTTTCATTATTCCGTAGGGGTATTGAGATAAATTATTCTGTAGGGATGGAGAAGCCTGTCAAACAGTGGATACCACCTTCTTTATTTCTCACTCTACCCAGTATGTGTACTCAAACTAAAACAAAACATTGGTTTGAAATTCGGCCAGATAAGTGCCCTATGTAAATGCATGGCGGCTCACCCGAGCTGACTGCGCGGAAGGTCTTCGGCTTCCCCTTGGACTCCAGGAGGGAACGTAGGTGCTCTTCTCCTAAATACAAACAAGCATGTTAATAAAACAATTTTAAAAATCACGTGGTTTAGACGTTTTGTTAGATGTAACGGCGGTGTGAAAGCACAAATAAGTAGTTCCTATCCCATAGTACACAGCCCCCCGTAAAAAAGGGGAGGGGGGAATGGCACATTCACACCAGTGATGCAATCTATACTCGGGGACAACTTTTCTTGGCACTTCAGGGGAGAGGAGGACAGCCCACGCACAGCTTTATTCAGCACTCAAAATGGGAGAGGGAACACGTGCCTCTACCTTCCACTGCATTGCCAAGAAAGGTTGTTGCCGAGTGTAGTTGCGTGATAACTTCCATCGCAGAGAGAAAGCAACGCGATTTGAGCAGTTGCTAGCCGACCCAACCTTTTGCAATGCGATCTAGTCGTGGAGCGGCTGAGCCACTCAGCAGCTTTTGGGGCGATAGAAAAAAGTGTATTGACTGAGGAAATAGTCAAGGGGAATAGAGGTCCTGGTGGTGGTGGTGGGCAAACGGCCGAAGGCCCGTCCCCTCCTGAACATCTTCTTGATTTAGGTTAGTGGTCCTGTAGTGGCCGTCGGCCGAGGCCTTCTGGCGACCTCTTCCACCCTTTTGACCAGGTGGGCCTGTAGGTCCAGGTCGGGGCTGCGAAGTGAGACCTCCCACTTCTCCTCAAAAGGGATTGCAGGGAAGGTATCCTGGGGGCTTGCTCTGATGATGTGTGCCAGGTTGGCATGGGCACCACATAAGGCGCATGTTGAGGTTGGATAAAGTCTGTGGTGGACAAGGTTCACGGTGGTCGGGTTGGGGAAAACTCCCGTTTGGAGTTGGAACCAGACGTGCGATTGTTCTAAGCTAAGAGATTTGTCCGCCTGCGCATAGATTCTGCAAGAGAGGAGGTAGTAGATGGCAATGTCGTGATAGCCAATCAGACAGTCTTGCGCGGACCAGGCTTTGTGGTAGGGATACGGGGTCGGCCCAGCTTGAATAGAACGTCCTCAGGCTAGGTCATGGGCCGCAGTGTTTCCCTCGAGCCCGGAATATGCGGGGATCCAGATGAGTTTGACCTGGGATTGCGAGGGGGGTTTCTGCGCAAAATTTTGAGTGCAGTTGCGGATATGCGTTTGGTGGTGAAATTTTAGAGAGCGGTTTTAGAATCGGTAATGATTGTTGTGGCGGCGAGGTTGAGCATTAGGGCTAGCACTATTGCCTCCTCCTCCGCCAGTTCCGGGATGGGCGTCTGGACTGTGATTGAATCTAGCGGGTCGTTGTTGGGGTTACTGCGAACTGAGATTGCGATGAAGGCCTCGTGGTGTCCATATTCCGCTGCATCTACGTACACGACTCGAGGGTCGTTTTTGTACTTCTTGTGTAGGGCACGAGTTCATTGCTCCCTCCGATCGGTGTGGTGCATGGGGTGCATCTTGCTGGACAGTGGTTTGGCTATAATGTGTGCATGGATATCTGGAGGAATGGTTGTCACGTCCTGATATAGGGTGTGCTGTCCTATTCTTAGGTTTTGGAGAATGTGTCTTCCTGTGGGGGTGCGGGCGAGGTGTTTGTATTGTCTCATTAGATGGGCTTTGACAAGTTCGCTGCCCTTGTTGCAAAGGCCTAACCCTTCGAGTCTGGCAGTGGACGTGCCAGGGAGAAGGTGTAGCACCGCCTCGTAGGTGCGTCTAATGAGGATATCGATTTTGTCAGTTTCAGCCACGGTTAATTTGAGGCAAGGGATGGAGTAGACTATTCCACTCACGATGGAGGCTTGGAGCAGGCGGCCCCTGTCCTGCTTGGTCAGGCCTGCGTGTTTGTTGGCGACTCTCTTGAGGAGACCTATAGTTTGGTTTACATTTCTTTATATGGTCTGGAGAAAGTTGTGATTGAGTCTGTTGGATTGTATCTGCAGCCCAAGGACTTTGAGTGCAGGGACCTCTGGGATCTCTCTCCCGTCAATGTAGAGTTCGATGTTGGAGGGGCGTTGTTTTTTCTGGTTCGGGGGAATGACGAGTAGTTCAGACTCAATTCCTATCGCTGTGTTGGCGGGGGTCGAGACATGCGTGGAGATTTCATATTGCTTTTTGTTAAGAATAAGGGATTTGATGCTTGCGAATTTGCGGGCTCGCATATGGTCGGGGGTACTGATCATGATGCAGTTAGGATTTTGGGTGAATACGAACTTGGTCTTGGGTACTCAGGGGGACTGGTGCGGATTTAGAGATAATATTGGCAATGGTTGCCTGCCTGCGCCACTGACCTTAGGTCGAGGCCCTCTCTCGGTCGTAGCACGATTTTGATGTCAGTCTCCAGCAAGCGCTCCATCGGTGGGGCTCGACGTAGCAGCAGCCGACTTTTGTGGGGAATCAGTGAGACAGTCACCAGTCCCCGGCGCCGTGTTGGGGTTTTCAGTGTTTACGGCACTCTTGAGGGCTAGGGCTCGTTGCTTAAGCAGGATGTGAGCCCATTCCTCACCGTCGAAGTCCTCGGAGATCTCTTCGCCTTTGACGACGACCTCCATCACTTCAGAGTCGTGGCTAGGAATAGCGGAAGCCTAGCCTTAGCGTGGTCGGCGGGACATTGGCGATAAAGTCGGCAATGCGGCAGACAGCAAGAGCAGAGAAAGTTTGTTTCGCGCGGCACAATGCCTCTTCTTCCCTCGTAAAACGATACTTGGGCGAGCTGATCTCTCAGCGGACGTGCAGCGGTGAGTCGATGGAGCGAGGTGATGTTTACACGAGGATCGCATTCTCTTTCTCCGGGTTTGCGGAGCCCGGAGAGATCGACTGTTCTCGTCGGAGGTCCGCGGTAGTCTCCGTTCGAAGTGAGAGTTTTCGAGAGGCGACTCGCTCATCGCGAGCGCCCCTTTGATTTTTTTGCGATGCAATCTAGTCGCATCGCGCGACTGCTTTACATCGCCAGTGTGAACGCGCCTTCAGTTTATCGTTCACGACCCCACACCACCCACACCCCTTCGAGTGGCGTAACGCCATTGATCTCGAGCACCATGACGCCAAACCAACACTATACTCTGTCTCATCCCACGATGGACTAAAGCCCAACGCTGCAGGCCGCCGGGTCCAATCACGAGCCTGTTAGAAACCACGTGGTATATTTGCTCCGTCGTACGTATCAGTGCGCTAAGACGCGTCATGCGGAGGCGAGTTTTTCGTCTGCTTATCTTCCTGGCGGCTCCGTCCAACGTTAACTCCGTCTGCTTGCTATTACTGAAGACTACCGGAGGGATTAAATACCGTCTGGAAGCGATGAGGCGAAGAGAACCCGGGATCAGAACCAGTGGTCATTGAGAAATCAAGATGAGTCGGATATAGTGTGTTCGACACGGGGGCATGTGTACGGACCGCGTGAGGAAGGGATTGGATCGGATTGTTATTGCTAAGGCGAAATGACTTTGTGTCAGTGTTGCCTGCGTGCCGTCCAGCTTCTCCAAATAGTTGACATGTTTACGAAATCTGGCCAACGAGGTTTATGAAACTAAACAGCATGAACCTTTCTTTCGCCATCATACGTTAGCGCGCTCTCATAACAGAGGACCATAGGCGTTCGATTAGTGCTCTTCGTATTCTGCGTATGAAAATTTCTCTCGCGCACTCTTTCGCAATGCGGATGCAAGCTTTTTTGAGGCAGTGCTCCGCCCGCCAAGCCTTCGGCCCTTAGTCCATCGTAGGGTGAGACGGAGTATAGTGCTCAGTTGCCGACACCGTCCACCATGGCCTTGCTACGGTGCGACGTACCAACACGAGCAAGCACGCCCCAACAGTGCAGAAACCCCAGCACTCACTCGTCACAAGCTCGGCTCGCAGCAGATCCTTCGATCGTTTCGCTTGCCCACGGCCAGAGGCGTCGCTGCTAACGTCGGCATCTGCCATCTCTACGAAGTATGCATTATGATTCAGGGGCAAAGAACGTCTTAGCGCACTAGGTTCGTGAATTCGCGACACAAACACATGCTTAGGCGCGGACCACTGCCGCCGCCATGTTTCTAAACGATTGTGGATTGGCTTGAGTCTATCCGAATATAAACGTGCAAAAATCCAACTTTTATATTCGATAGAATGATTCTACTCAGCTTTTTGGGCAGTAATAAATGATTTATTGCGGAGACCAAGAAGTAATTAAGCAACGAATAAAGCTAACTCAGCTAAACTAAAATGGCAGCGTGACGCTCGCGCAACGATGGCTCGCGCTAAACTCGCGCAGCTCGCGCTGCGGCACGGACGGCCATCTTGCTCGCTGACGATTTGCGGTTTTGCTAGCGTTGCAGAGTCCGGCGGTAACGTGCTCAAGGGTCAACACACGTTTCTTCCTCGTTCGTCTTCATTCGCTGAAGAAGTCTTTTACGACACTATGTAAGCGCTGAGACTTGCTGTTGAGAACACGTGTAAAATTTAATGAAGGCACAGTGCCGCAGGAAAAATGCACAACTCGTCGAAAGCAAGTTTCGCCGCTCGCGGCGTGAGCTTCCTTGGCACGCCGAAGTGCCGCGTCTCTGGGCCTTCGCACGCTTGGATTTTTCCACATACGTAAGTGGAGGGATGAGTAACGAAAATTCGGCGCTTATTTCTTGGTCTATTCGTGTTGAAGGGAGCAGTATCACATCAGACACACCAATCCCAGGCGAAAATTTTCAACTGGGACCAGTTGGTCCCAGTTGCAACTGGTTTATGGAACAATTCCCAGTTGCAACTGGTCCCAGTTGGAGCCGTCCAACTGGTTTATGGAACAATTCCCAGTTGCAACTGGGCCCAGTTGGAGTCGTCCAACTGGTCCCAGTTGGAGTTGGTACCAACTTTAGCAACAATGAAACACGGCACAAAATGGAAGGTTGACAAGACTTTATTGTCAAAAACTTGGAGAATGAAACTAAATAGGTTCGGTGACGTACACGCTCCGGGTTTAGCCACTTGCTTGCGAAGATCGGCCGCTGGCGTCTGTTAGTGAATACTTCCTCAGCTTCTCTTCCCATCGCGTGAAGAAAGGTGCTCACCCGTAATCCCGCGTTGCGCAGGTGAAGTCCTGATAAGATGCGGTAGCGCTCCCACCTTGCAATCTCTGTCACAACAGTCGAACATTTTCGAGGTAGACCTCCCGCCATTTTCGCCATTGTGCTCTCCGCGGCGTGTTCTCTTCCGTCCGGTCTTTCCTGGGTGCCCTCCGATCACTGAACTGCATCGTTCCATCCTCGAAGTTCACCGCCGCCACCATGGTGTGTGTACAGTTAGGTCCAAAGAAGCGCAGCTGTAGTTTTGACATTTTCATAACGACGCCAACTTGGGCGATGGCGACCCTTCCCTACCGCGTCCGTCCGACTCCGGCGTCAGCATAGGCAGCGCGTACCACTAATGCGCACCCGCGTGCCACGGCGGCCGGCTAGCTCTGATTAAAGTCGGTTACAAGTCAAGAAGGTAGGAGAAGCTCCTCCCACAAGTGTGATGCGCCCGTTTCAAATCTCTCCGCAGTCGAAAGAAGCGTTCACTGGAAACGCTCCTTGTTCCGCTTCAATGGATTCCCACTTGTCTCCGATCCCACTTTTTTAAGAAAGCGACCTTTGTATTCATCGGAGAGGGAACCGAGCCCCTGAAAGCAGCCTTTGTATCCATCGGGGGGGAAGCTAATCCCCGAAAGTCGTATTTGTTTCCGTCGGTGGGGGAGAACTCCAATCTCCCTCTCGTGGCTTCCACAATGCTAAGTCAAAGTCGAAAGATAAAGCAAATATGTACAGAAAGGCAAGACCCTCCTCGCGCGTTGGCCGCGACGTCACGGAAACGGCGGGACGCTATTGTATGCGGAGGTGGCGGAGGGATATCCGATTCCCTTTGAGGAGCATTTGCCGCTACCTTCTTAACCTGTAACTGACTATAGTCAAAAGATAAATTTATTTATTAGAAGAAAAAAAAATACTGTAGGTATTTAAATAAATGTTTTAATATATTTTAATAATGCACTAAATGTTCATTTAGGTGAACACATTTTGTCACTAATTATATTTTCCAATTAAAAAATTATTTAGTTAATTAAAAATTTTATATTATTTTTATAAATATATAAATGTACCCCAGTAATTAAAAATTCCCTATTTGTATAAATCTAAAAATGTTAGTGTTTTTAGTTTTCTTCATTAGCAAAGGTCAATACACCCCCAACTTGTCCAAATTGTTGCCCAGTGTTAACTGGGAACGGGAAAGGCATTTGAAGTCCGACTGGGAATCGCTCCAACCAGTTACTTTCCTAACTGGTTCCAGTGCACTCCATTCCCAACTGGGAATGGTTCAAACCAGTTGACTCCCAACTGGGAATGGTTCAAACCAGTTGACTCCCAACTGGGAATGGTTTAAACCAGTTGACCCCTCAGCTGGCCCCAGTTGGACTCCTATTGGTCCCAGTTGATTCCCAGTTGGGACCAGTTAGTCCCAGTTGCTTCCCAGTTGGGATCAGTTAGTCCCAGTTGAAACCAGTTGAGGTGCCAACTGGTCCCAGTTAGAAATTTTCGCCTGGGATCTCTCCTTGAAAAAGACGCAGAAAGGAATTTTAGGACGAATTGAACGGTTAGCAAAGAACACCTGGAGGATGACGCTAACGGCTCGTTTGTAATGCCCGTCTAGGAATCTTGACAGATAGTGACAGATAGTAATACTAAGATTAAGATTACATCACGCTCCGCGAAGGGAGGGCTTCGGCGGTACTTTGAAAATGATTTTCTGCAGCCTCCGTGCACCAAGCAGGGAAAAACAAATCTCAATATTCGTGATACTGGAAGCCAAATGAAGACGATTTAATTATTTTCCTCAAATAAAGAACCGCTTGAGCGGTACTTTCAAAGCGACTTTCTGTAACCTCCGTGCACCAATTTGAAAAAAAAAAAAAAAAATCTAAATATTCGTGATCCTGGATGAAAAACGAGGACGCTTTAAGCGTTTTTCTCAAATACAAAACCGCTTCAGCTTCCCTTTATAGGGAAGCTAAAAATGTTTTTGAAATAAAAACAACAACAAACAGTTGGAGGTGAATTCTGGGGTATATTTATTCCGTGAATCTGAATATCCGCGCTCCAGCTGTCCAAGTAGGCAACGCGGCCTTGCCCAAACAATAAAAAAGAAAAGCGCGCCCGTGGTTGAAATGGCATTGCGCTTGGCTCCTACGCAAAGAGCCCATTTTTTTCTCATTGTCGATTTCTGGTAAATTCGAGAACTCTGTTGCTTGTTCAAGGTTAGAACGTTCTACGATCCGAATTTTCTACGCCAGAAGCCCATGCGTGTACAAAAGTGGCTCCGCGTGGCGAGCCGGAGTCAGTATCGCCCCAGCGCTCGATCTTGCTGCTTCGCCGACATCGAAGCTTGCGAAGTTAGCCTTCCTCTATTTTGTTCTGGGCACAAGTTCGCCCCATTAAACGTTTAGTTTCTCCAGTTAATTCGCCGCCTCATCATTTGCCATTCGTGACATTTTGGTGGAGGTGCGCACTCTAAAAAAAAAGAAAGGGTGTAGCGAGTACACCCACAGGGGTTGTAAGTGCTGCCACATATAGACCATTCCATTTAGCGCTCTCTGGGCGGCACCATTTTGTTCGACCGCAGTGCCCTCTCCACACGTCCGGGAAGTTCAGCGGGTTCGGCGGGGTAAAACGAGAGAGAGGGCACGCGCCCGACTCCGCTAGCAGACGACAAACCGGGAGGTTGCCGTTCTCCATCTTTGGGCTGTATCGGCGGGCTCTACCGAACATCGAACTCTCGCTCGTGGCTGCCGTTGTGAAGTGGTTCGCGTTCTTAGAATAGTAGTGGCTACTCCAAAATCAGCCTATAGCTCTCTGTTGTCCTAATTTGCTAAATGATCAACTAGCATATCTTTTTTTCCGTTACTTAACAGCAGTTGAGTCAGCCGGCAGTACTACCCTCAACTACTGCTTGTATTGCGGCAGGAGAACACGTTTTATTTATTATTTCAGACTTCCACTCATGGTCGCTAAAGGCCTACACCAGTACGAACTTTTGTATAGTAAAAAAGGTACAGCAACCGGATTTACTTTTCGCCAAAGAGACCGGCCAATCTGACACAGTTTTCCTTATTTTTTCTTTTATTTGCACGCAGGTAGCAGCGCAATTGGACCCTGTGAGTCTTTTTATCTAGCATAATATTACACGGCAACTGGCATACCAAAATCTGCGCATCTGCGCTTGAAAGTTCCAAAATTACGCGATTTTAAACAGAGATTGCACGCCAGCCGGACGCTGGCTACAGCCCACTCGGCGGAGCGGACGACATACGGGATGAGAGGGGGAGTGCATTTTTTTCTTTTTTACCCTCTCTGCTATGACCCTAATGGAACGGTCTACACTACGTCCATAAACGTGTCCAAGTACACCCCCAAGTCGACGTGCATACAATATACACCATTTCAAGGGTGTATCTGTGCACCCTTTTATACCCCTGTCAGACGGGCACCTAAAATGACCTTTACGCCAAGGGACCTTTAGTGTAAATGTCATTTAAGCAGTGCCACACACGGCAAATCAAATGGCATTTGGTGAAAAGGTCCTTTTTGTGAACCTGAGTTCCCGCAACTCCTTTACGGCTGCTAAAGGCGTACTATCGACATCAGCGGTCTACACTAGAGAAGCGAATTGAAATAAAAGATCGTACTGGTATCTAAAATCAATATTTTTGTATGTTTATTATTGAAAAAGAGCGTGTTTCACGTATATTCTCTACAGACCTCGCTCTACGAATAGTTTTCTGTACTCACGGCCCCAGCTATCTAGTAGGCCTTGTCGTCGCCTGCTTGCGTCGTCCGCTTCGGCACTTCGGTTTTCCTCCTCTCGATTTTCATTACAATCATAGTTAACCAGCTTTTATCTCCCTACTTTATATTTTTTCATCCTTCAATAGTGTATTGCTAACTGTAATGTGTATATTTAAGCTTTTTTAGAGCGCAGCTCTTAGGCGCCCGTTTCCGGCTAGAGCGGCGTCGCCGTCGGCGTAACCGCGCCGACGCCATAATGCAC